TGGAATCCTATATCATACTCTAGTAAGTAGGTCATAAAGATCCAGCAGTCAAAAGGTGAGCTTGTTATGAAACAATAAGCTGACCAATTTTACATCCATAATCACATCCCCTGTACTCTTAGAGGAACATTCTCTTTCCGCTAAAGTGATAAGAGATAGTCAATCATCATGACGTTGATGAGTTCACAGGAGATGTGTTGAGGCAGGATATTCCTCGTTTATAATAAATGTTGACTTATATATATTTATATCATCATCATCATCATAGTCTCTGCATTAAAACACTCAGCTACGGTGCTGATGACTGATAGGCGGTAAGAAGCTAACTACCAAAAATGTGGAATATATCTATGCACAAAAAAGTTTTTACATAATACAAGTGCAAATATTTACATCTCCGCCGCTCATGTCCTTGATTCTGTTCTTCCATCCGGGATGACCATCTTGAAATGTCGTTTGGACAGTATTAAGTGGAATGGTACAAGCGGATTGCAGATAGCTTGTCAGAAGACACACGATAATATAAGAAAAGCTGCTATATCCTTGTTAGAAGGTAAAATAGTGGCATTCCCCACGGAGACTGTGTACGGATTAGGTGCAAATGCTTTTAATGAGAAAGCAGTAAACTCAATATTTAAAGCAAAGGGAAGGCCTAACGACAATCCACTCATTGTACATGTTTCTAGCTTCAAAATGTTTGAAAAGTATTTCAGTCAGCCAATGCCCTCAAGTTATGATATCTTAACGAAACACTTGTGGCCTGGACCGCTTACTATACTAGTGAATAGTCCGGAAACTCTACCTGGTGAAACGACAGCCCATCTAACGACTGTTGGCGTTCGCATGCCTTCTCATCCTGTTGCAAGGGCTTTGATTGAAATAAGTGGTACACCTCTAGCAGCACCATCAGCTAATAGTTCAGGTAAACCATCGCCCACAACTGCTGATCACGTCTTCGATGACACCTTTCAACGAAATGAAGCAAGAGAAGTTATGGATTTTATACTAGATGGTGGTTCTTCAGATATTGGACTAGAGTCGACTGTTATTGACGGAATATCTGAACCTGGAAAGATTAAGATATTAAGACCGGGTGGCGTTACTGTTGAAGCTATAGCTAATATAGTCGGCATAGAAAATGTAATTTATGAAAGGAACACGGTCGTATCGGATGACTTCAAACCGAATACGCCTGGTATGAAATATAAGCATTATTCACCTAATGCTAAAGTAATGTTGATTCTTCCCTCAACTGCACATTCGAAGAAAGAAAGAAGCGATCCTACTGAAATAATAAAAAAACTACCTCCTAACCAAAGGATTGGATGTATGACACTTAGTGGATCTGATTTGACAAAGAAACTGATTAAAACTGATGATGATAACCTTACGTCACAAAAGTCAAGCATAAGAGATGATTTAGAGATGATACCGTACATGCTTGGCTCGAGTAGAGACACCGCGACTATTGCAAGGAACATCTTCGGTGGTCTTCATGCTTTGGACAAGATCAAAGTGGACTATATTATTATTGAAGGTGTGAGTGAAGTGAATGAAGGTTTAGCAATTATGAATAGACTATATAAAGCAGCTGGTAATATTGACAATGTATTTTTTATTTAATTTTAAATAGCTTTATCTTTTTAAGGACCTCGTTTGATTTTGACTGAGTTATGAGTAATAGTAATAGTAATAGAATTCAACCACTTTGTAGAACAAAGTCTCATAGGAACTCTTTTACGCTTCATGATGTCGCTGTAGCTTTGAAAATCGAAGTACCAATTAAGAACTCACCGATATTTAGACCGGAATCACTTGATATTATGGATAGTAATCAATTAAAGAATGAGTTAATAAATATTGAAAAGCAGAACTTGCACTATCAATCAGGTGAGTAGTTTCATTTTATTTACTTTCACTTGATTTTGTCTTGATAAGAACTTAGTCTAAGTACGGCGATCTCTTATGAGCTATATCAGCAGAATGAGAAACTCAATAAGGATTATGCGGACTTGAATACTGAAATTGAAGCTTTTAAATCACTTATTCAATCACATCTTAAAATCGAAACTTCAGATTTGAATATGCAAAGACGTGAATTGAGCTTCGCGCTCAAGCAAGAAGTTGAGAATGCGAACTCAATGGCTTGGATAGAAGCTCAAGCGAGTGAACTGAAACTAGAGCTTAATGCAGTAAAACAACAGTCAAGTCGCGAGATACTCCAAACTAGAAAGCAATTACGCGATGTAATTTTGGAGCGTGATAACTTAAAACGGGATTTGAAGTTTTCCAAGGAGCGTTTTGATGCTTTACAAAGTCAATCATCCCAGTTAATGCTCGCACGAAAATCATGGTCTGTTTTCCGTCAGGAATGGAGGAGAAATGATGAGCAAAACACTTTCAACACTTCTAATATTCAATTCCCTCAAGTTAAAAATGACAGTCCATTGGCGGAGCGCAGGAAAAGCCTTTCAGGATCAGAAGTAGTTTCTTCATCAGGCTTGACACCAAAAGTTTTGAAGTCAACCAATATACCTTTATCAGAGATCAAATATAAACCATCTTCAAAGATTGGCTTCCCTAATGCTTCATCCAATTCAACGTTATTTAATAAGCGAATAAAACACAAAAAATCTTTCTCTGACAGTGCATTTATCATGAATTCTGATCAAAGGAGGATATTGACACTCGAAAATGAGCTTGAGATTGCTAAATTTGCAAACATGAGAACGCAAGCTGTCTTCACTTCAATTGAAAATTTTACGACATTTATTTTCAATATACCATCGTCTCTAACTTTAAGTCAAGTTTTTTTGGCTATTTATTTGTCAGTGACTTCTATCTTTTTGAATACGGCAATACGTGGGTTAGCTAAAGTGCTGCTATACGCATACTTTTCACTTGTATTGACTCTTTTGATAATTAAATCTCAACTTACGATTACATCATCTAACAAATCAAGTCTTAAAGCTATATTATCAAGAAATTCCACATAAAATCTTAAATCCGTCTAACGCATTTAATTATCATATATCATTAATTAAAGGGTATAACTTTTATGCAGCTGGCCTTAATGCTTTAAGTCTTTGCATCAAAGCATCTTCATTTCTTTCTTTGTTTTCATTTGTATTATCAAGTTCAGGAACGTTATCTACGTTTTGTGCACCTATTTTTTGACTTAATTCGAGGCCTGCTTCATCTGCGACTTGTTGTAAAAGACTATCAACTGCTTCTGGAGGTGTCGATTGAGCTTCAGCTGCATTGTGCATCGTTCCCTCCATGTACTGAGTATGACTATCTAAATCTGAGAATTGAACTTCGAATTTATCCATTATAGCAGACATCTAAGTAAACGTTAGTATAAACAAGGTTTAAAATAAATTGTATTTACCATATCCAGATTCATAGTGTTCATCGCTTTATCCATACCACTGACAACAGACTTCATTGATGAGGAAACTGTTTTCATTGTTACAGCTGTTTCGACCCTTGAGGCTACGCTATCTACTCTTGAAGATAATCGAAGTAAATTTAGAGCCTCACTTTTCTTTCTAATAGCGTTTGATGCGTATATCCGTGCTGTATCTTGATTACCTTTGGATAAAGCCTAATTAATATGAACATATAGTCTTGGTAAGGTATGGATTATTATCTCACCGACTTCAATTTAGTTTTCTCAGTGTTTTCATCCTTTTCAGCTTTCTTTGATTGTCGTACTAGTTGTTTACTAGTAAACTAAAACTTAATTTTAATAAATATAATATTATTATTAATATAAATCTACCTTCAATTGAAATAGTGTCTTTTCTAATGATGACATCTGACAGTTCAGAATCAAGAGGTAAATAATAAATATAATTTAACAAACAAAATCTAAATCCATATCTATTTCGTGACTACTACTCAGTTGAGGTCGTTGAGTGTACTTTCCTTCCATTTTAGAACGTATAGCGTTTAAAAGTTCAATGAAAGAGAAATCTTTATCTCTATTCTGATCTATTGAAACTGTTAGAGATAATATAGTAAATGCCGTAACGTACACAAAACTGTCAGTAGTGCATAGCTCATTGCACCACTTTGACCAGCATCTGCAGCGGTTTGAGTGTCCTTTGAAGCAGAGAACATAATCTAGAATGTACTTAATTATATCATACTGATATACGATTCTACTTACAACATCCGCAGGACTGAAATTAATTTTTTTCTGCTTTCTATCTTGAGCTTTTCCTGTTACTAGTCTTTTGGAAAAGTAGTATGCATCATGCAGTGGTGCTATCATTCCATTAGGTAACCTATGAGAAAAAAGTTCACCACTAGCTTCTTTTAAAACATCAGGTTCTTTTATGTCACCATTACTATCGTCTGAAATCAAGACTTTAATTTTTGCAAAATAATGGTCAATAAACCTACATATAAATGGGAGGTCAAGAGCTGTGCCACTATGACATGAGTCAAATATGGCGGTCAAGCGACATCCAGCTTATTTCTTTTTGTTAATAAATTGATTGTGAAACGTCTCAACATACCCGGAAGTGGCCTTACCAGCTCATCATGCAATGTATCATCAAGAATATGACCAGTATGGACATATGTCAGCTTTTATGTATTTAAAGTAATAATGAAAACCAACCTTCTGAAAATCTACAGGAAATACGGTCTCATCATATCCTAATTGAAAAGTTATCAACAAAAATAACTGAATTTTAATGGCATACCATCTCTTTCGTCCCCTAATATGTCATATAAGTTAAAGATTAGAGATTAAACTTTATAAATACCACTGAGATCTTTTGTACGCCCACCATGACCACTGTAATGAAAAAATAAAGCATCATTCAGTTTTGCACCTTTCACGAGCCAACGCATTGCTTTAAACATGTTTTTCTTGGTCGGTTGCCTACTTTCGTCAAGATCTTTTGAATCTTTAAGCAGCATAATATTTTCAGATTTGTAACCACAACGTTTAATCAAGAACTCCCTTATCCTATCCTACAACAATATGCGTTAATCACCACAGCGTTTCATTGAAGACAAACCTACTGCATCATTTTGACAACCTCCAAGTTCATTCGAAGTACCTACGTAATTTATACCCTAATTTAGTTCAAATTAATGAATTGAATAGATAAGCTAGATGCAGACTAACTATGCACAAAGCTTTTTTGTTCCCCGTACATTCTGAATACTGGTACTTAAGGTTATTATGAGGACCAAAGGTCCTTTGCTCACACGTTGGCTTACGTCTTTGTCGTTGAGGAGTTGACTTTTCACCTGACTTTTCACTCTTTTCATTATGAGGTTTATCAAAATGTACCTGATTTTGACTCTTATAAGGAAGAGGATCACGGTTCCTATATAATATTATCGGTATTAAATTGATAGTTTCATATTCTTTCTCACTCCTTGTATGAAGGCCGGTTGTAACATGGGCCATAGCTTGCCAAGATCCTATGACTTTCTCTATAATAATTTAAAACAAAGCGTTTCCTAATTGATAATACTTACTCTGCAGCTTGATAAGGATAGATTGGCGTTGTAAATTTCCTATTAAATTTATTGTATTCTGGAGGTATTCTCAATCCGAAGTCTTGAGGATGAGGTGGAGGAACTACAGCATTCCCATAAGCTGGATAATGATATAAATTATCGTAACGATAATATTGATTATTATAACGTGTTGATTCAATATCAGCGTTGTTTTGATAATTCATATGTTCTAATAATAGGAAAGATTAGAGAATAATATTAATTAGATAAAAAAATACAACAAAAAATTCAAGATGATCCCGGTCTTGGCGGAATAAATGTACTATTATTAAGCCAAATAGTTGCGGCTTTAGTAAAATCTCCAGCTTCATTTCCATTTGAATATGCTAAGCGAGCATAATATGGTATGTCTGTGTCAGTATCTTCTAATCTGTAAGAAAGAGTTGAGCTATTAGCACTTAGTTTCAGTACGTCATTGATAAGCAATTTAAAACCATCCCAATCAGCATTTGCAGGTATATCATTCCAAAAAATAGTACTGTTGTCCAATCCTGAAAAGCTTGGTAAAAGACTGCCCAGCGCAGCATCTCTTCTCAAGCTATCGGCAGTCTGTAGGATCGAATCCATGCCCCATCGAGCAACACCATTCAATAATAAACCTATCAGGAACCATTGACATATCAATGAAACTCTGGTAGGTAACGCTGTAAGCGGTAAAAGAAGTAGTGCCAGGATGTAATGATGCTATTGTCATGTCAGATGTCGTCAAATCAATACTTTAAACCTACTAATCTAAATGAAAGTTCTGGTAATAAACAGGCTGGCATGATTACAAATAATCCAAGCAAGAAATACCACTTAATATACGTCCAAAACTTTCCATATTTTCTAAAAACGCGTGCTTGATTAAATCCAAGAATGACGATGACAATCACGACTATTACGATAGTTACTATAGCTTCCGGATGTTCTGCAATATCAGGTCCATACAATCTATCTAGTGGACTATCACCAAGTACTGTAACTAATAAGCCTAACCAAAATGGTACTAACGTAAGGATCGTTCTTTCAACGGGCATTTTTTGCCAAAAAGGTAAACAAAATCTGATGGCTAACCTCCAGAGACAATAAGCCACAAATAGAGTAGGTAAGAAATCTTTAAAACCACCTTCAAGATCAGGTGGAAGTGAACGTGGTTCAGATGCTAATTCATTATTCCAATATCCTAAGCAAATAAGTGTCCAATAATAAAGTAATGGTGAGGGTGATAGTAACAGAGATACCAGTGCTGACATGACAATATTGAATGCTAGAATTGGCATCCTTAGATCTTCACAATGAGATGAATCAATGTTATCATTGTCGAAGATGTAAGAAGATGGAAAAGAAGATGGAAAATCTACTGAGCTTATACCATTTTCATCTGAACTTTGAAATGACGTATGTTGACCTATCTGACGTACTGCACCACAACCACCTTTAAATTTACTGATGTAGCCAGAATGATATGCAGAGGAACATATCCATGAATCAGCTCTATAGACTTTTGAATCGCCGCCACCAATTACTAAAGTTACCCCATTCGGCTCATTTAGACCAATGGTTCTCTTATTAGCTAATGTTGTTGAATCACATCCCCTTGGACATCTGAATGGGATTGATGAAGATTCGAATGGTCCACAAGAGAGTCCATCTAGTCCACAACCGTCTAATCTCTTCCAAAATGATTCCGTGCAAGATAGTGTTTTCGGGTTACCTAAACTAGTTGATGCTTCATACCAAGAATATTTTACAAGGAGTGCATTAGCTATTATCCATATCGCGTAAATTATCAATAAAACTAGTTTATTACTCCATCTTTTTGTTAGATTATGCGTTCGTTCTTCAAGCGGTGCTAGGATTTTTGCAATTGAACGCGGAAAATAATGATTTTCAGGACCTTGAGGTTCTTGAGGTAACTTAGGACCATTGAACCATTGGATCACTTTATTATTTTCGACCCTCTGATGTATTTGATCATAGAGGTTCATTAACAAGATATATAATGTAATGTACAACATCTAATAAAAATAATTATCTATACATTTGAAATGCATTATTTCCAGCTAAAGGACTTATTGACATAGCTTCAAGTGACTAATATACCTGTTAGTATGCTAGCTAATGTGTTCATTTATACTACATACCTTTCCTAGTGATTGAGAAGGATTTGATTTTGATAAATGTTCACTTTCATCGTCACTATCATCTTCTTCATCTATAATGGCGACTTCATCCCAGTTTCTATATATACTAGAAATATATTTCTGCGTACGAGGTAAACGATAAGGGTCAAATGGAAAGAATGAATCTAATTCAATTTCTGTTCCATTGTTCTTTGAGACTGCAAGAGATCGAGTCTGTGTATCTTTTTGATATGGTTCTGCACTCTGACTTTGAGTAACACCCAAAAGGGATGTCGATAATGAAGACATGCTAGAAGGTGTAACGTCAGAACGCTTATTACTTTCAATGATAGAGTGACAATAAAGGAATCCAGCGAATTGTGATACTTTTGCGAACTGATTGACAACCGTAGATGCGCAAACCTATGAAATTATTAAATAAATCACTTATTATGATCGATGACTTACTTTCAAAGGATTCAAAGGACTTAAAATAGCTCTTTGAAGGACATCTAATCCAGGTATCCAGGTATTTCCTCCTATAGGAAGCGCTTCTGCATGATCAAAGATGGTTTCGTCATCATTTGATAACATCAGATCCCTCCAACGAAAGCAGAAAATGTAAAATACAGCTTGTACGATAGCGAACCAAACACTGTAAGTGTTCAATTTAAAATTTGTAATTGGTTGAGGTACGTTATCAAGTTCATTACCGATGTAATCACACATTAATCCAACGACACGTTTTGTGGAATCAGAGTCAATAAATCTTGCCCTACTAACATAACTAGCCAGATAAGACGCGGCAACTATTCTCGTCACCGATGGTTCATCACTTTGGAAAATAGCTTTACTCAACAGCATCCCTTGAAATACATCAGCGAAATGCGCGTCATATGATGAGTATTTGAATAAAGTAAATTGAGTATATCTTGATCTAAAAGTTGGTAAAATAGTGCGTTCAAAGACGCTGAGAAGTGTTGAAAATTGATTAAGTTGTAACTCTTGTGTGTTCTGTCTAGTTTTTTCTAGATGTTCAAATAATATCAAAAGCATATCATCTAGTTTTTGAACTAAATCTTTAATTGCTGAGACCTGCATTGGTGCATCCTGACTATCATCACTGAGACCATCATCAGAAGACAAATCAGATAAGAAATCTAAGTTTTCATCATCTGAATCGTCGCTAGACTCCTCATCTGAATATGTTCGACCGACAGCTCTTTCAAAGATATCCGGCTCAGTTTCAAAAATGGCCTCAGTTTCATCTTCAAGCTCATCATCGAGATCTTCAAGTTCAACTTGAATTTCAACCTTTTAATTTGTTAACTGAAAATGTAATTGAGAATTAAAAGAAACCCACATCAATTTGAATGGTTCTATCTACTATCAAACCAAAGATTTCATCGCTCAGTGCAGGACAATAATTGATTATAGATAAAAGATTTTTCATATAAGTTACCTGTTGTACTTTATTTTCTCTCTTATGAGGAAAGTGCCTAATTAAAATTGGTTGAAGAAGTGATGGTAAAGTAGGGACCAGATCGAGTAATTTGATGAGTAGATTGTGTGAACGATCAAAGACAGTACGTCTCTTCAAATTATTTTTATCCTCCTCACTAAGCTTCTCAAGAGCTTTCGAATTCGCTTCTAATAATTTGTTAGATTTGAATGATAAGAGAAATAAGCGTACGATGAGTAAAACCTTTGATTAATTTGCCAAGTAAAAGCTTTATGTAGCCAGGATGTGCACTAACCAACATAAAAACGAAAGTTTTATACGTCTGGACAAAAGAGTGACTTGAAACTGTCCACGAGATTGACATTATAGCTTCAACTAATGATAAATGAGATTTGTCTAATTGGGATACCACATTAGATAAAGCATCGAGCCAAGGTTTGAGCTTCTCAAACTCTTGTATATCAGTTGAAGTGAATTGCGAGATAAGTTCATCATATGGACCAATTTCACCCTTTAAAATAAAATATTAATTGATTAACTGTAAGTTATTGATTATACATACCTCTTTCTTCTTCTCAAGTGCATCATTAACGAATGATACGTAGAATTTACCAACTAAAACGTTAGATTTAGTTTTTATGATTACATCTTGTTCGTTATCTTCTAAACGTTTACCATCTCTAGTCCTCTTTACGCCTTTTGATGGAGAAGCAACCAATGACATATCGTGGTTATTCACAAAGATATTAATTACTAGTAAAATTAATTAAATTTTTTATGTTTTAATAAGATATTATATCTATATCATATTACATTATCTCTATCCTATTATCCACTATTACATCTTTCACTCCAACAGTCATGCAACATTTACCTCAAAAAGCTATACAGGCATTAAAAGATCGTGGTCACACCGGTTCTTTTAAACTTTCAGGTTCAAAATTATACTTTGATAATGGTAAAATTTTCCTCTTTAAATCAGCTTCTAGATCATCAGCAGAGCAATTGATCGGTGAAGCTAAGTCTTTGGCTGATATGTCAACTGCCTTACCAGGAATTTGTCCTGAATTGATTGATACATCTGATCAAGATGACGCAACCTTCTACATGATTACAGAATGGCACGACTTAGGTAGTCTTTCTACTGAACAAATTAAGCGCTTTGGTAAAGACTTGGCACGAATGCATCTTGAAAGCAATGAAACAAATGGTCGATTCGGTTATGATATACCAACATATTGTGGCCATACTCGTTTTAAGAATCAATGGAATAAAAGTTGGATCGATTTCTTGAATAATGACAGATTCGGTTATCTACTAGAAGAAATTTGTGGCAGCAATGGTAGAGGTGATAAAGAGCTCTGGCAATTAGGTCAAACTCTTAGAGATAAAACTGTACCTGCATTATTATCAAAAGTTGATGTAAAACCTTCTTTACTTCAAGGTGATCTATGGGCTGGTAACGCTTCATACTCTCATACTACAAAAAGACCTATCACTTATGACGCTTGCTGCTTCTATGGACATAATGAGGTTTGTTATTAACCTTGTGTCTCTAATCATCTGACATTTTGAAGGCAGAATTAGGAATAGCTGTTATGTTTGGTGGATTCGGTTCTCCATTTTTTGAAGCTTATCATTCAGTTTATCCGAAAGCTGAGCCTGTTGAAGAGTACGGTCAAAGACTTAAGCTGTATGAACTAATACATGTGAGTCATCTCGTTCTCATGTTAAGTTTACCATTAACGATTTTACTAGCATTTGAACCATTATGCTATTTTTGGAGGAATGTATAGGAATGGCGCAGTTAGTATCATGAAAAGCTTAAACAAATATGTTGAATCAAAAGAAAATTGATGGTGAAATGTGTATTGTACAAAATTTAATGTATTGAATCAATTTTACCATCTTTTAATCTGAGATAACGACTCTGGTCTATTCTCCATGGAACTTCATTATCATAATGAGTTATGAAGACTACAGATTGTTCATCATCAAGATTAAATTGTAAATAGTGTCGCGATCTATGAAGGTCCTCCGTAGACATTCCTTGAAACGGCTCATCCAATAAAAGCAAAGGCGGTTTATTGACTAATGCCCGAGCTAATAAAATACAACTTTTTTGACTTGTTGTTAAGGAAATGAATGGTGTGTTAGAGTCAAGTCCTGGTGTAAGGTGCTTCAATAAATGATGAACACGATCCTTCTCATGTTGTAATTTAGTTGGTCTGTAGCAGAAAATACCAGAGAAGCCTGAAGCGACCACATCAAATGCTGTCAAAGTGGTATGTTTTGGGAAAGCTGAAGTAATCTCAGGTGAGATTGATCCAATTAAAGTTGATAAATGAACTGTAGGAATTTTAACACGTGGTGAATTGAATAACGTGATATTTTGAGTAAAAGAATGAGGATGATCACCTGTAATTAATGATAACAATGTTGTCTTACCTGAACCGTTATAACCTTGTAAATGCCATCTTTCACCTGGTTTTATAGTCCAATTTATGTTTCGTAAAATCGGTGTTGATCTGTAAGAAATATTTATATCTTTGAGATCAATCAAAATTTTATCCTGATTGACTTTACCTAAACCGACGTCTGAAGGGGTTGAAAACTTATTGTTTGATGTAATTGTAGATAGAACTTTATCTTTTCTACCCAACTCAATATAATTATCGTCAGTTATTTGGAGAATGTTAGTAGTTGACTCAGGTATTTCATCGGAGTTTTTTAATAGTAAAAGTACGACTGGATTGGAATGTGAATGTAACCTTTTCAAAACTTCCGATAATTTAAGTCTAGATGGAGGGTCTAAACCAGTAAAAGGCTCTTCTAGAATCAACAAATGCTTTTGATTAATCAAAGCTTCAGCGACCTTTAATCTGCGTGACTGGCCGTTACTCAATGCAATCAGAGGTTTGTCCAAGCTGTAAGGTTGAGGTGAGATCAAGGCAAGGGTAAGACAGGTCAACGATTTGTCTTACAGATTAAACAAATCCAAATCAAATGTGACTTTTTGAACAATCTCTGAAGCTCTCTCGGTATCCTTGATTTTGCTTAATAGAAACTCGCGTGTTGTAACCTTATTATCTTTCAAACTCCCATATCGGGCAGTATAGTCAATGAAGTCCGAAGAATTTGATAATCTAGTGGAGAAATTAACAAAATTGTACAGTTGATGAGGGTATTTAATATTGTTATTGTCTATTAGCGGATATTCTATCGAATTAGCAGGTTTATTAATGATTTGTTGATTAAATAGACCATTGACAAGCGTTTTAGTATCATTTCCTAAAAAAGACCAATATTTCTGATTGTCTAACTGAAAATTAAGCGTATTCTTGTATAATAATTGTTGATTTTTATAGAATCTAGCATTCTTTGCTCGTAAAATGACGGTGTTCATTTAAAGACTGAATTTAATTATAAAGCTATATAAGATACAAAATTAAAATGTATATATATATATATATATATATATATATCTTAAAAATTAGCATATTCGTCATATGTCACTGTTATCTTCACAACTTTATGTAATTAAATGCCTACACAACAACTTCCAATGAGACTGAAATCACGAAATTCGAGACAGCAACCTAAACCAAATCAAGTCTGCGCTCAAAGGTTCACAATAATTCCTCTAGGTGCGGATATCGAAGCGACTAAACCTGACGTTAACAACTGGATGAAAATCTAACAGCAATTTATTTATTTCTAACATTTATCTATACATTTGATCATTGTTACAGAATAATTGCCATTAGAATAAAGTAAATTACGGTGAAACATGCGTCTATCATGGAGAACAAATCTTGTACACACATTATTATTGTAGATTTAGAACTTTCACTTTTAGTTCTTTTAGTACATTTTTTTATTATTGATGGGTATTCTATATACCTATAGTTTTGAAATATTCCATGACTTTTTTAAAAATTACCTTTTCATGACATTTAACGGGTTATTGATAAAAACAACCGATGAAAAAGAAATCATACAAATCATAATATCATTCAAACCGGTATCATTTATATTTGCTGACTCAATATTATTGTTATTTGGATCCACATTTATTTATTTACGAGATTAGATTTTGAGCAACAACAAAGTAAATGAACATTAGCAAAAACCAAAAGGCATCAGATAATGCTCAGTTTAACGCATACTTCATACAAAAGAGGTGCCCATCCAAAAATGATAATCAGCATATTATCAAAGTCTGTGTGCTAAGTTATTATGTTCGTGATTAAAGTATATTCCTTAATTTGCAACCCATAGGTCATTTAAATCCATTATAATATAAAGTCGTTTTATTGGAAATTAAAAGAAAGAAACGCTTCAAAGTGTATATACAGTTTGTAATAAAAGTAATACTAAGACAATACTTATTGAAGAGATGGTGTATCTAATAGCCAATCTAGAACTGTATCACAGTTCGAAGAAGATATAATTGTCAACACTAGTATGTAATTATTGAGGTTCATGCTCATTCATTAACTTGAGTAACGGTCAAAAGAGACATCACAAATTTGCACACGAAGTGAAATCAAGGCAAGACAGATCCATTAATGTAGAAGTAATATAATTATTAGGCATCTACCTACTAAATGTAAATATCTATTCGTGTTTTATTGTTGTATTCGCTTACGATCGTTGATTACATCAAAACCTTTTTACCTTCGTACATGATGATTTTTAAGTACCAACATTTAATATATTTTTTTATTTCAAAAGTTACACGGTATCAGAAAAGTTTCAATAGCTAAGGTAGTCTATTATGCATATAAGCTTGTTGACGACTCACTTTTCTTCAGTTAATAGCAATATTTGTTCCGAAATGCATTCAATTATATCTGAAACATCTGGTACATCCTTATATGCTGATTATCTAAAATATCAAATTCTATAATTATGAAACACATATCGCGTAAGCAAATAACCTTATTTAATGGGTCACTGTAAAGTGTATCACACCCAATTTTTTATTCTCAAGGAGTATTAAGCAATACGGTTTGATCTATTTAAAACATATCATGTATTCTTTCTTATTTATTCCTTTTTGAACAATCATTGAAATTTAAGCAAAAATCCTTAAACGGGCGAGTAATCTAAACATTCAGTTGAGCAGCCTTGGCATTTGAAATTACTTCTTGATGTGGTTGAAGTGCAGGTTTAACCCAGTTAAGTATGAAGCTATCAACCTGCTCAGGGGCTCTACCGACGAAAGATTTTGGATCAAGAAGTTTATCTAAATCGTTAACGATTGGCGCAAAGAATGAATCCTTTTTGACTCTCTCAATCAAGTCATTTTCTCTACCAAATTCTTTAACTTCTCTACCTGCTTCATGTGATAAAACTCTGATCTTTTCGTGACATTCTTGTCTATCACCGCCTTTTTTAACAATGGCCATAATAATGTTTTCGGTTGCCATGAAAGGCAATTCTTGTGAAATTCTTCTACCAATGATTGCAGGGTAAACGACTAAACCTTCGCTAATGTTTTGCAAAATTGATAAAAGGATATCAGCGGTTAAGAAAGCAGAAGGCAAACTGATTCTTCTGATTGCTGAATCGTCTAATGTTCTTTCAAACCATTGTACTGCGCTAGTATTTAAAACATCCTGTGATAAAGAAATTAAATGTCTAGCTAATGAGCAGGCTCTTTCAGATCTCATTGGGTTACGCTTGTACGCCATAGCAGATGAACCAATTTGATCTTTTTCAAATGGTTCTTCAACTTCCTTAAGATGAGCTAAGAGTCTAATGTCTGTTGCAATCTTGTGTACAGTTGAACCGAAGTTTGATAAGGCAAGAACGACGTCATTATCAATTTTACGAGAGTATGTTTGTGAGCTAACTGGGTAAGCATATGGGAAACCGAGAAGCTCAGTAACGCGTTTATCAAGTGCTTCAACCTAAATGTATTAGTACTTCTACTTTTTATTGAAAAAAATAAGTACTTACTTTATCATGATCACCATCAAATAACGCAAGGAAAGATGCTTGAGTACCTGTTGTACCTTTAACACCTCTAAATCCAAGATCATCACGAGCTCTGGTGAGATTACGAAGATCCCATAAAAGTTCCTAATTGATTGTTTAGATAAGTTGAAATTATCCTTTTTTTTTTCTAAAAAAAAGGTGTAAAAAATTGAAATACTCACTTGGATCCATAAAGTTGCACGCTTTCCAACTGTAGTTAATTGAGCAGGCTGGAAGTGAGTGAAACCCAAAGTTGGTAAATCGCGGTACTTGTCAGCGAACGCAGTGAATCTATCAATTGTGATAGCGATCTTTTCAATGACCATGTTTAAGCCTTCACGTAAGAAGATAAGATCAGCGTTGCTAAAAGTGTATTAATGTAAGTTCATTTTAACTGAAAATTTTACCAACTCTGTAACAAAGCAAGAAGTTGCTCCTAAACTAGAGTATAAGGTTAGGGACAAGTATTTTTAAAAATCGGAACTTACTGGATGATACCAGCTGCTTCTGGTGCGACAACACCGAAAGTGTGAACGTGTGCCATGACATCATGACGACGACGCTTTTCTTCTTCAGCAGCAATCTTCATTTGATCCTCATCTATAGTCTATAGAAGTGAAAAATTTAGCTAATTGATAGTAAAAGTCGAGTTTATTTACCAAATTATCTGACATCTGTTTAATTGCTTCATCTGAGATTGGTAAACCGAGCTCTTTCTCAGCGATTGCCAAGTTGAGCCAGAGCTTTCTCCAAGTTTGAAAACGCATCTATAAATCATTAGAGGTCGACTATAACCCTTTAAAAGAGAATCGTACTCTAGAGGAAAAGAGATGACTCATCTCTTTTGATGCATAGCGACTATGAATATGTTAAGGAATCTATATATTCATTATAATTAACACATACGATGAAAGTGGTGTCTGATAAGCTTCCATTGTAAGATGATGGTTGTCACTTAAAGAGAAGATTCTAAGATAAAAGACTAAAAGACTAACAAAGGGATAAAAAGTAAATAAATAAACTTATTCAAGGATTTTTAGATACAAATTAACTTATTTCAAATACTCCGAATCTGAGCTTCTTCTTAATGACAATTTACACTATAATTTAGATGATCAAGTAGAGACTTCATTACGAAGTAAAAGTTTGGAAATTTTCTTGAAATCGTCAAAATCGTCAACAGAATAACTGTGTATTGATGTTATAATTGCGTTACAACTTATATATTTAAAAATTATAAAAAAAGGTTTATCAAGATATATCCTAATTAACTTAGTTACCATCAGCCTTTGCTGCGTAAGCAACCAAGTCAACGACACGTCTTGAGTAACCGTATTCGTTGTCGTACCATGAAACGAGCTTAACGAAGTTGTTGTTAAGTGAGATACCAGCGTTCTTGTCAAAGATTGATGATCTGACATCACCGATGAAGTCGTTTGAGACGACTTGTTCGTCGGTGTAACCGAGGATACCCTTGAGTGGACCGTTAGCGGCTTCTTGGATGGCCTTGGTGATGTCTTCGTATGAAGCTGGCTTCTCAAGGCGAGCGGTCAAGTCAACAACTGAAACATCAGTGGTTGGGACACGGAAAGCCATACCAGTGAGCTTGCCGTTAAGGGATGGGATAACCTTACCGACAGCCTTAGCAGCACCAGTTGATGATGGGATGATGTTTTGGCCAGCTGAACGACCACCTCTCCAGTCCTTTCCTGATGGACCATCGACGGTCTTTTGGGTAGCGGTGGTAGCGTGAACAGTGGTCATTAAACCTTCAACGATACCGAACTTGTCGTGGATAACCTTTGCTAATGGAGCAAGGCAGTTGGTGGTACATGAAGCGTTTGAGATGACGGTTTGTGATGGATCGTATGAGTCAAGGTTGACACCGACGACGTACATTGGTGCATCAGCTGATGGAGCAGAGATGATGACCTTCTTAGCACCACCCTTCAAGTGTGCACCTGCCTTTTCAATGGTGGTGAATACACCAGTTGATTCAATGACGTATGAAGCACCAGCCTTACCCCATGGGATAGCAGCTGGGTCTCTCTCAGCGAAGACTTGGATTTCCTTGCCGTTGACGATGAGCTTACCATCCTTGTGGCTAACTTCACCGTTGAATTTACCGTGGGTTGAGTCGTACTTGAACATGTAAACCATGTATTCGAGGTCAATGAATGGGTCATTGACAGCGACGACGTTTACGCCACCGTGCTCGAGAGCGTTACGGAGGACACTAAATGTTAATTAGTAAAAAGTTTAATATAACTCGTTGTAGACTCACATACGACCGATTCTGCCGAAACCGTTGATACCGAGGCTAGCCATTATCTATTTATTTAATTAGAATACTCAATAGATTTACTAGCTATTTTAACTTACTTTTATTTCTTCGTGGTAGTGATGAGAAAACGAACAAGAGCGAAGTGATTTGAATTCCAAGTCAAAATAAAATTTGATGACAACATCGCCTATAGTGGGGGTTACAGCTATTAAAGCCGATTATCGTGATCACCTCGCTTGGAGCAAAATACCTCTTTTTGTTAAAATCGCATTTTTTTGGATATTTTATTATGACGAAGATCCTATTGATAGGTTTCAATCCGCTTTTAGAAATTAATGAATGGTAATTATCCTCTAGGCACGTTTAACATTTCAAAATCTCTACTTTATTTTTATAATTCCTTATAACTCCTTCGGCAACGTTCGCTCTAGCTGTTCTCGTGTGCGAAACGATTACGACATACCGCTTATAACCGTTGATCTTGATAATTAAATATTATCAAGTCACTAATAACGCCGACGGTTACATCTTAGTCTTCGTGCCTAAACGGTTTTGTAATTTGGCACATGATTCGGAAATTCCCAAGACATGATATCGTAAGAATGAATATATTGGTGAAGAAATAAGGCTATAAACAAGTGTTGTGTCATTAAAAAGAGTGTGTTAAAAAACTTTAATAAAGAATGCTTATGAGTGGTTGTGGTAAGTTAATGGAACCTCTGGTTGTTGAATAATCAACATTATGATGATAATTGTGCTCGTCTAATTGGTTGAATCAGTATTTTATTACTTTTATTAAACATTTAAACTCACTCAAATATCTGTAAGTATAAATATCTGTAATCGCGTAAGTTTCCTGACATGCGTTTAAGATCGACTGAATAGAGACTAAAACATTATTATTAGTATGCCAAGAATTGAATAAATAGTATACCTACCCAGGTAAATTCTTAATCTTTGTCAGTTTAACATCCAAAACTACCTCTCCTGCACTATCTACTTGAGATTCACCGTATACAGTATTATTAGCAACTTCATCATCTGTAGAAGTTAAACCAGCAGAAAGATTGGTAGATTGTGAAGAAGATCTCTTAAACATGAGTAAACTACGTAAACCACCACCTGAAGATGAAGAAGACAACAAGTTTGGTTGTTGTGGTTGTTGTTGTGATTGCAATTGTTGTTGTTGCTTCTTCGATGGTCTTACGCATTTTAATCCAACTTGACCTTCCTTCTTTATCATTAATCCAAGATCTTTTGTGATTACTCTCTTTACTTCAGCCATTGCAACTGAAGGTGGTAGAGCTGTGAGTGCATTTTGATCAACTGTACCTGTGTGTGTATCCATAATATCATCGGAAACTGTCTTAAGCTGTGCTGAAGTTTGTGCACCTGCTGTCGATGGACGCATTTTGATATTTACAGATTGTTGATCATTTTGTAATGATTGTGAGTTTGTACTATTTTGTAAAACATCACCAACACTAGCTTTTGCTAATCCTTTATTACGGAACCAATTCATTACTGATTTCGCACGACTAGATGATCCTTTATGTGAATTAATTTGATTATGTGATCCATCAAATGTCGTACCAGCGACATTTGTGAAAGTACCTGAAGGTGGTGATGTAGTTGAAATTTGATTTGATGGTTTTGTATTTGATGATAAAAATGCAGCAGATGATTTACGTTCTCTTTTATTTGAGTTTTCATCATCAATTTTATTGGATTGGTTAAGTGCTTTATTACGATCTTTATTAGCAGAAGAACCCTTACCAAATGGTTCAACCATTAAAGAAAGAGCCTTTCTACGACCACTACCTGTAGAAGATTTCTTTGTAGAATCTTTACTGTTTGATGAAACGTTACCACCTGATGAACGGTTTGATGATAAAATTGATTTGTTTTCATCATCTTGATGTTTGTTCATCATTTTAATTGCACCTGAACTTACAGGTGGTTTGCTAGCTTTATTATCACTGACTTTGTCAGATGATTGATCCGTTGAAATAGCATTTCCTGTTGATAAACCTTTCTGATGACGTGATGATTGCTTTGTAGAAACAACAGGTGCGGTTTCTCTTTTAACTTTCTTATTAGTATTTTCATCCAAATCAATTTTAGATTCTGAAGTTGGTAACGGTACACTATTAACGTTTGGAGTAGCTAAACTTATAGATGTATTAGCTTCTTCAGCAGCGTTAAGAGGAGGAGTTGGTATTTGGTTTGGTAAAGGTGGTAGTTTTGGTAATTGTTCATTTGGTGATAAGTAATTGGTATCAGATGATTTAAGAGGTTCAACATTTTCATCCTCTTGATTTTCATATTCAACTTGAATAGTATGTCTTTGGATATTCCTCTTTGAGGTTGATTGATTATTGGATTGACTATCAGGTGCATCACGCTTTTTATTTTGTGAAGTATCTAAACGATTTTGATATTCAAGGTATTCATTAGCTGCGTCTTGATTAGCTTTTTGTAAGTAATCGACTGGTGATAAGCTGCTAAATTGTTGTTGATATGTAGAGTTTGATGTTGGTATACCCATAGCGGATTGATGACGTGCGTTCTTTGAAGTAATTGAAGGGAATAAAGTTGGATCAGCTTCAGTTTGTGAACGTATGATTGAAGGAGCAACACTTTCCATTTCGAAATGTTGTAATTGTCGCTTCTGTGCCATTCTTTTAGCGTTTAAGAGATCTTGAGAGAGTTGCTCCCATTGATCAACTGATCTATCGAATAAGTGGGAGTAGCTCTTCAACCAAGGGTGACCCATAATATCTTGAACTGAACAACGCTTTGTTGGATCTGGAACAAGCATCATTGAGAGTAAATGACGTGCTTGAGGAGAAACAAAATCAGGGAAAGTGAGAGGAGTTGAGACGATATACTTGTAAAGTAAATTGATATTATCACCTTCAGGGTTTTGAGGGTCATCATCAAAAGGTAAATAACCTGCTAACATTGCGTATAAGATGACACCGCAACTCCAAATATCTACAGCGCTACCAACGTATAAACCATCAGAGATGACTAATTCAGGAGCGGCGTAACAAGGTGAACCACAGGAAGTGGCCATTAGATCGTCTAACCTGTGTTCAAAACGATTAGCGAAACCGAAATCTGTGATAATGATGTTACGACCTCTATCAAGTAAGAGGTTTTCTAATTTGAGATCCCTATGGATAACTTTTTTACTATGTAAATAAGAAACGCCTGAAATTAATTGAGCGAATAAACGGCAAGCATCACGTTCTTTAAGATATTTGTGACGTAGGATGAAATCGAATAGTTCACCACCTGGGGCGTACTCTAAGACAATACCGATATACTTTTCAGTTTCAATAACATCGTATAAACCGACGATATGTGGATGATTTACTGATCTTAAAACGATAATTTCACGTTCAACTTTTGATAATCTTGATTTGTCTGAGACGGAGTTTCTTCTGATGAGTTTAACGGCTACTTGTTCGCCGAATTCAGAGTGTATACCAAGTTTAACTTTACCGAATTCACCCTCGCCTGGAGACAGTTAGCTGGAAAGCGAGGATGAATGTCAAGGACAGCGACTGACCTAGGGTATTTAATAGCAAATAAGGGCCAAAGAATATTTTCTGTCGTTTAGGGTGCAACTTAAAGTATTCAATAGCCAGCGGGTGGTTTAACGATTGATTGAATTTAATTAGATTTGACATCTCTCATCAGCGTAAGAGTACAAGAAAGTAAACTAAGGAATTTGAATGGAATTTATTAAATTTCTTGAATTTCACCAGATTTTATATTAAAGAGAAGTCTGTAATCAAAGTAAATAAAATAGATATCGATCACTAGTCTCACTCACCCTTTAACGATTATTTTCTCGTTGTTGATGTATTCTACCAAGTTCTTCTTGTTGTAGTTTATGTTCTCGAGAGTAATCTCCTCAATCGACATCTCCTTCTTTAATTGGCTGCAGTGCGTGATGAACGGAGACAACCACTGGGTGATAGGGCTGTTTGGATCTGCCTGTCCACCTTCTAAGACAGCCTTGCTCGCAGCCATACCGCCGCAGCTGGTATGTCCACACAAGGCAACCTCCTTGATGTTGAGGTGGTTGATCGCGTAATCGACGACAGACTTTGCGTTGAAGTCATTCTTGTTGAACTGATTAGCGATATTTCTGTGGGTGAATACCTCGCCTAGTTCGCTCTCTAGGATGCTAGCCTCAGAGCATCTGCTGTCACTGCAGCCAATCCACAAAACGCTTGGCCACTGACCCTCAGATGCTTTCTTTAATACATCCGGATTAACTTGCTTTGACCATTGCTGGTTCTTTGTTAATAATTTCGTTATTCCAGACATTCTGGTTTCTCGAAAAAAGGAATAATTAAGATAAAATCGGATTTAAATTTATTATTGTATATTTGGGTAAATTTTTTATTTTAAATAACACATTTTGACAGCTTATATCTCTTGATATATTCTTGATAGATTACCACCACATACTAAAATATGAGCAATCGGAAGTCAAATTCAAGCGTAAAAATACTAAAAGAGTTATTCCCTCACTGGAATGATGATGATTTAAACCAAGTTTTAATTGACGTTAACGGTGTTTTAGAGTCCGCCGTAGCAAGAATCTCTGAAGGTTCGTCTCGATAGCTCTGGTCTCGTGACAGCCGCTTACGCACTATAGGACACGCTTCACAGTTCTCTACCGTACAATCAAAGAAAGAAAAGAAAGCCACACCAGCTCAGCCAGCTCCATCACTTCCATCCGTAAAATCTGACAGTCAAAAGCAGAGATCTGCTCCAACTAGGGGTATGTCCTTTTATTCCCTTGCATTCCTTTCTTATTCTTTTACAGGTCGCGCTAATAGCTCACGAGGTCAGCCCGCTACTAGAGGCTCTTTCAACCCACCACGTGGTCCTAGAGGTGGCTCCGCCAGAACTTCCAACCGTCAAGCTACAAAGCCAAAAGATCAATCTGCTTCAAATTCCGCTACTCCTGCTAAATGGTCCGATAACAAACCTTCAACTTCTTCCGACGCTCCAACATCAGCTACGACAACTCAATCTAAGCAATCTTCCGCTAGCAAGTCTTGGGCTCAAATAGCCAAGCCTCCTTCACCAAAACCTGTACCTATCGCTCAAGTCGATCCGAAGCCTGCACCTGTACCTACAAAAGCAGCCGAAGAATCTACAAACGAGAAAGCTAAAGAAGTTAGTCAACCACCACCAGAGAATATCGCGTGGGACGTTCCTGCACCAGGACCTGCACCTACTGCTCCACCTTCCTCAGCTTGGAACAAGAATGAATCTGCGTGGGCTTCAAACTCGGCCGACACCAACGCAAACGCTTGGATTTCAAAGGAGAACGCTTGGGAAGATAAACCTACTGTAGCAAAATCTGAAGACGATTCTAAACAACCTCAACCTTCAACTCAATCTTCCGCTCCACCAGGCTTTGGCGCTCCAAAGCCAAACTCAAGAGCTGCTCAACGCGCAAGACAAGATGCCGCAGTTGTGATGCCATCAGCAGGTGATAACAAATCTTTCGGTAATGCTATTGGTGTTCAATTCGGTAGCTTGAGCTTGTTAGACAACCCAGCAGCTTATGAAGAACAACAAGAGCAACCAAAGGCTGCTCAACAAGCTCAAGAGTCTATTACTGTCCCACAAGCTGAGCCAGCTGCTCCTGCTCAACCAGCTACTCAACAAGCTCAACAACCAGCTGCCCCACAACAACCTGATATTTCAGCATACACTGCTTCTTCTCAACAACCACAACAGGATGTCTACGGTCAATATTTCCAACAATCACAACAACAACCAGCTACTCAACAAGCTCAACCTTCCCAAACTGATATTACTCAGCAACAACCTCAACAACAACAACAGCCACAACAACAGCAACCAATTACTTCACAAGGTATTCCTCCACAATTCCAGCAATACAATCAAGCAATTACTCCAACTCCAGATGCTTACAGCAACGTTTTCTCAAACTTGGCTGCTCAACCAAACCAATTAAGTGGTGGTGCATTCGGTCAACAAACTCAAAATGATTACGCTGCACTTTACAATGACCAAGCTCAAAGAGTAAGTTAATCGCTTTTTATTACTAACCTTTTGTTGATTCATTTTATAGGACTTTGCCCTCCAACAAGCTAACTACTATGGTCAACAACAACCATCAAGCTTCGGTAGACAAATTGGTCAAGAAGACTCATCAAAGTCAGTACCAACTCCTTCAATCAACCAAGCAACTACTCCATCAATCTCTTCTCAACAACAAACTGCTTCAGGTTACCCAGGTATTACGGCACCAATGCCATATTACTTCAACCCATATGCAGCAGCTTATGGAGCACCAAATGCAGCAGCATTCTATGGCCAAGCAGCAGCTAGCCCATATAATCAATTTCCAAAATATCCAATGTATCCAGCAGGTCCAGCACAACCATCAGCAGGCTTCCAACAACCAGCTCAGCCAAAACCAAGCAATGCAGCTCAAACTGGAAATGGCGCAACTGCAGCAACTTCAAGCCAATCGCCATATGTACAACACTCTACAGCAACCAACGTAGCATCACCTTCACCATATCAATCTTATGATCCTTCAACAGCCTACGATAGCTTTTTGAATCAAACGATTAATAACGCAGGTAGCCCAGCTATAAGCCATCAAGATAAGCATCAATCAAAGCCACAACACCAAAACCCACAACAACAACACCCACAACACCCACAACAACAACCATACAATGCTTTCGGTAGTGCTTATCAAGCACCACCACTCTTCCAAACACCTTCCTTCAGCCATTACCAAGGCTACGGTGGTTGGCAAGCCCAACAAAGATATGGACAAGGCTACCCATAAAAGATATGAATTAAATTATTGTAGTTGTTAAATAACACGGAGGAAATTTATATTTATGAGTCTAAGTAAAACTTTAATAAAATGATAACGTTGTTTATTTCTTGTTTAAATACGTTGATGATCTGATAAATAAATAAATAAATGAACGTATCAACTGCTGGTAATGAATATGATAGCGCTAGGCAGGAGCTAGTTGATGCATTAAAGAAAAAGAAACAATTTGATAAGCAATTGAATAGCATTGAGAGTGAAATCTACGCTAATGAAACTAGTTATCTAGAAGAGACTAATGTACCAGGTGGTGGAAACGTCGTTAGAGGTTTTGATGGTTTCTTAAAGCAATCAAACAATAACTTAATGAGCTCAACTGGTAGCGGTAGACAATCAAACGCAGGTACAAAACGATTTGAAGTCACAGACAATCAAAGAATATTCTCAAATTCATCTGATAGTGTAATTTACAAAGATTAATTATAAATATTCCAACTATTCCTCCATTTAAGGTGTTTATGCTTGCTGATCGGTCCAACCATACCAAAAACAACGCCATTAAAGTGATAAAATGTTACGATGGTGTTCACCGCTAATAAACCAAAAACGAACCATTTGAATCTTTCTGGTATTTGTCTCTTGAATATCAAATGATCAAGTACTAAACCCATTACCAAGATTGCAAAGTATAAAGCAGGAAGATAATGATGTAAGTATGTTACTCTTCCCATTATTAAGAATGGTATGTAGTGGAAAACCCAACCACCAAATGCAATCATTCCGACATACGTAAAGTAATCAATTTCATCTAAACGTCAAATTAATTGATTATCCTTGATGAAATAGTTTAAACTCACTCTTTGTAACATCTCTCACTCTCCTTCTTTCCCTAATTGTATGATATAGACTTATGGCCACAAATACGAACAATGCGAGAGAGGATGTCCACCATACGACGGGATTACCAATTAAATAATATTTTGTATTATGGTCACCCCATCCATTCATTCTTAGACCTAAACGTAAGAATGGCCAGTCAGTTGGTTTACTTGCCAAAATATCTTGTTTATCTGGATTAGGTATGAGAGCATTATTTGACATCATCATAGCAATATTTAAATGCCAGAAGTCTTTCAAAAAGCTTGTCTTGTAAAGCGATTTTTTACCAGCAGGAAGTTTATCATTCCAATGTGATTCGACATTCCAATAAGTGTGATCATCTCTAGGATCATTCTCCTTAGTGCACGTTACTTCAATTTGCTTGAATCCCCACTCAGGGAGGTTTTTATTGGCTGCACGAAGATAGCATCCTAAGTTCTTATTCTTGAATCTCAATCTGGTCGTAAGTGAATGTATTTTGTCTTCTTTACTTAAACGACCTCTGTAAACATCATCAACTACTTCAACAATCCAGTTGTCGTTCGTGTCATCTTCAGTTGATTGTCCAAATGCTGCAACTTCATAGTCTAGTTTTGACAATGGTGCTGGTATATCATGAGCGTGAATGTACCTTGAGTACGGGACGTGCTCTAATCTAATCACATCACCATCATGAAGGAATGTAACATTATCAGCATTATCTCCTTCATTTAGCACCTTCAACTCATTAGCTTTCTCTTCTTGCAATGTTGGGAGAACATTAAATTGATTATTGTCATCTTGATAATGATAACAAGTAACTTGACCTTCAAGTGAACCAAGTGGGAAATTCTGGACATGTGAATGTAATAATCCGCCAGCATAGCCCATTTGCTTCAATGTTATCTTAGATCCATATGCAACTTCAAGTGGTGACTTATAGAATTTATTACCTTTCAAGTTAGCTTGAAAGAGTGATGACATTTGAGAATCACCACTACCACTTCTGTTAAGTATTGCGAAGTGTGCTTTAAATGATGCGACATAAACAATAATTGGGATGAGTATCAGACAGCCTATTCTAGCTACCCAGTGGTATGCGTACGTTTGCTTAGGTAACTTAAGATCACCGAATTTATCCCATAAGTCGGTTATTGTGTAGATTCCTACGACAGCTGTAACAAACAATCCAACCCATTTGACACTACAAACGCATCCAATGGATAAGCCTGTGAATACCAACCACATCCACCAATCAAATCCAAATTGACTACATCTTCGTTAGTTTATATAAATTTCGATCAAGTGAATAACCCACTCATGTCTTTCATTATGGAATTTGGTCAAGAAGAAGACAGTTGTAAAGGTGAAAAAGAGCAACATGCTGTCTAACAAAATGAATCTACTTATTGTTGCCAATGCGGTATCGAATAACACCATGAGAGTAACCAAATGACAACTTCTTTTACTCAATCTGAGCTCTTCTGATGTGTACCAAGCAAGTGGAACAATTAATACACCAAATATAGCTAAATAACCTCTAAATATACCATAATGTAAATCGTTTGGGTATGGTTCACCAGACTTAAACTCAAAATTACCATTGTAGCCCGATAAAGCACCGGCTAATCCAACCAACATTTTACCAAGAGGTGGATGAACATCAAAATAGAAAGTTCTCTTCAAATAATAACTACCAAATTTACCAAAGTGAGCCTCATCCCATACAACAGATGGTTCATAATTGATCCAGATTAATCTAGTTAAAGCACTAATAAAAGTGTATATTAGAGGCGTAATATGTGGTTTTAACTCTTCCTTTGTTGGCATAATATCAGAGAATATACTGTTCCCTTCATTCTTTGTCGCTGCTACATGCTTCCTTCTCGATATGAAGAGTTCATTCTTATCGAACTTATCATAATCGTCGTTCTGACTTAGGCCCTCTAATTCAACTTGCGGTTTACGTCTCTTTATAGTTTCGTTCATTTTATAATAGCTGGGCAATTCCTCTTCATCCATCAATTCAGATGATGGTTAAGGTCGACGATGTCAATCAGTGTTGCTTATTTTTAGTATAACTTTATTTACTATCATATGATACCCCTTTTTACCTGAAAGCACATTCTTCCGTTATTTGTTATTGATAGGATACCTAACCACGTCAGAGACACAGATATATATAGATATGTATGTGTATTTGTATGTATAGTTTCTTGATCTTAAATACGTTTTGGTTAGACATTTATTACTACAACACAACTACTTTCTTAGCTACATCCATGACGTTACCAGTTCCTCAAACTTCGCCAAAAGACAAAAACAGGTATGGTCTTTCTGAGATATAAGTTCAACTATTTATAATTGCATTAGCTTCGCATTTGCTAGTGTTGCTCGCAGATGGCCTGCAATTATCACCAATGTGATTGACGCCGTATACCAATCAAACGCTTTAGACAAATCAGCGACAGCTGATAAATTAGATGATGGAAAGTTTATCATTCAATGTCTTTCTAAACTTCGCCATGAAATGGGTAGAGATCAGCCGTTATCGTGAGTTTGAAGAAGCCTATTAGATTTCTCTTACTTTAACGTAGTCCAATCGATGATCAAGCAGCAGCAAATGTTAATATATACAACGATGAACTTAAGCATTTAGAAACTATAGGTGATAATACTTGGTTTACTGCCCCATGGCTCTTTGCGGAATGTTACATGTATACCAGGATCAGAAGTTACTTTAGTAACAGCAAGTACTATCAACAATATGACCCATTCAAGAAGCAAAAGGATGATACCTTCAGATCATCCAAAGTTTCAGTTTATCAATTGGCAAAAGCTCAACAACAACTTGTCAAAGGCATAACGAAACCAACAGAAGTAGATGAAAGTGTAGAAATCATGTTCATGGAAATGCTCCAAATGTGCTTATGGGGCAATGCAACCGACCTCAGTTTATTAGTTGATCTTGACTACGGTGACGTCCAAAAACTCCAAGCTGTAGGCAAAAAAGCACTGGAGGAGAGCTTTAAAAAGATCATAAAGAATGATATTCCAACTTTGTGGAATTATTTATCTTCAAAGAGAGGTGGTAGAATCGATTTCGTACTTGATAACGCTGGTTATGAGCTATACACCGATTTCATTTTGGCTGACTACATTGTCAACTGTACACCATTCGCTGATGAGATCGTCTTTCATCCAAAGACCATCCCATGGTTCGTTTCTGATGTCTTACCGAAAGACGCACCTGAACTGATCGATCAGCTTATAAACGCTTCAGACTTTTTCCAAGAGCGTAACGACGATGTGGTTGAACTTGGCCAAAGATGGAAGAAACTCTTCGATCAAGGCATTTTCAAGATGTCAGTCCTTCCAACGTATCAATTAGGTGCTCAATCCAATGCCGATTTCTGGTGTACACCATACAGCTACCCTCAAATGACAGAGAAAGCACCTCAACTTGTCCAAGAGCTTAAACAATCTAACTTGGTCATTTTCAAAGGTGATCTCAATTATCGCAAACTCACCTCAGATGGTATATGGGATCCAACCACATCATTCCAGGAAGCTTTGGGTCCTTTATCCGGACAGTTTCCTTTATTAAGCTTGCGTACTAATAAAGCGGATGTTATTGTTGGTCTTGATAAAGATGTTGTTGAAAAAATGGAGAAGGAGTATCCAGATTATAGAATTAGTGGTAAATTCGCTGTTGTCTCATTTGACAAATAGTTGTATAGCTTATGGATATTACTTGAACTGTCTAATTAACAGCTCTACTTCGCTTTCTTCTTAGTTAAAACCACAACTATATGGTAAAAGATAGATACATTGTTAAACACGCATACATATACCAAACAGTAGAAGGTATGAACTTTATATATGATGATGAAATCGAAATGTATTGTTTAGACAATACAAGAGCTTAAGTGCCCTGAACACTTTTAGTTAAATCTTCGTCTAGCTCATTAAAATTAACATGTTCCGCTCCTTGCAAAGAAGATACATCCGCTGAACTCATGAATTGTTCAATCTTATAGTCGTACATCATAGTGTTCAGGTCGCGGTCTCTTCAATACGACTTACATTGTTGAAGGGGGGCTTGATGGTGTATCTTGTTGAGTTATCGAATCCCAGTTAACTCTTACCATAAACCTTACAGGGAATATCTAAAAGCTCCATTGTTTAGTGAGTGTTGCAATTTATTTATGTCTAAGTCGCGTCACCCATCTGCTCTCTTTGAAAGATGCTTTCCAAAGAAGACAATCGGTTGAACCACGTTATTATCATCTCCTGACATCCTAAAGGTTGCTTATTCCTATATTTATGCCTAGCTCTTCTCTGAATCAAATCTCTGGAGGCGAAGGAGCCAGTGAGGATAACAACAATGCAACAAAATATTCTTCCAGTGAAACAAAACAAGCAGTTCCTGCAAGCCCTACAGTTGATCACAGTATAATCAGATTTATTGTTAAGCAGCTGTACAAATGTAGGCCACCTCTTATCTATTTCATACCTGGGTCTAGTTACCAGTCCCATTGGCTTTGCTGTAGCAGTAAAGGTCAAAGGTACCATATTTAAGCCTAAAGTAAAGAGACATGAGCAGGCGAATTAAAGCCCCTAATAACAAAAACTTGGCTGGGTTTCAGACCACTTCTTGCTGTTGTTCCATCCCATAAGGTCAGAGGGTTTCTTTTCTAAGGGAAGACTTTTATAGTATTTATTGTCCGCCTGTCCCTTAATGTTTTCTTATAATTTATTGTCCTCATATTACTATGTATATCTGCGTACCCAGTAATTAAATGGCACTGAATATTCAGCACTTGTCTCCGAATTTGGGTTGGAAAACAAATACTGGGGCCGAACATACAGGATCAACTAGTGATGAGGTATAGATGTGTCTCACCGACCCAAATGACTTACCGAACCGAGTCATCGCATACCAACGAAGAGAAACAATCGCAAAGAGATAATACCAGTGGAGACTACCGAGCAGCTTATCAATCATAAAAGACCTCGATAAAAGAACACCATAAGAAAGACAGTGAAAAACATATATTTATGAGCTCAGAAAATATCGTATAAACCACCAACAACATGTAGACTCTTGAGTTTATAGAAAAACAATTTTTGTAAGTTCACAGAGTGTATATTTTTTTTTAAAAAAAAAATCGATTTTCTCCCTTTTTTGATACTAATCTCACAATTCTAATTGAAATTCAACAGTCAGGATGGCCGAGTGGTTAAGGCGCTTGACTTGAATTTGTTCACATCTTCTGGTATCAAGTACCCATGTGGTGCGCAGGTTCGAATCCTGTTCCTGACGAATTTTTTTGCTTGTCCTTTCAATTTTTGTAATTGAGTTCTTTTAAAAAATATCTTTCAAGTTGAGAAAACTCGCACTTTTTTGTTTTATTTTGCAAGTCACAATGTATTGTAATGAGTTTTGTGAAGAACCCGAAAATGTGAATATCTTATTTGACTGTTCACATTGTATTTCTTATATGTTCATTGATGCATGATTCCAACATTTCTTTAGCGTGTCTATCAGAAATATTGCTGTGTTATTTCACGCCTGACCACTAATTAATACTTGTATATATCTGAGAAGTTAATCATCTCTTTATTTACTCTAGACCATCTACTGACTACTTAGAGTGACATTAAGTATGCAATTAACGTTATCTCTGATGTCATACATCACTGTATTGGTATACAGCACAATGAGCACTTTCTTTGTATTTGAATGGTAATATAAGGCTTTGCTTTATCTCCGCTCTATGTATTTGACTGACCATGGTGTAATCTACCGCATATGTCATACCCTAACATTCCTAATCCAATGCAAACTAAGAAAAAGCTTCACATAAAAGATGTATTGAAAAGATTTATTTGAATACCATATGATTTGATTCACTACCTTCACTTTATCCAAAATTAGTAGCAAGTGATTGAAAGAACATGACATCATTGGATTCAGATGTGGGTTTCTGTTTCGGCTACTTTCTTGAGATTGAACGACGATGATGTTTACAAGAAGCGCACTGAGAACATTAAATCGCAGCACACTTAGGAACGTACAAAAACCACGCTTTCTATCCACAACCATTGCTCGCCTTGAAGCGAACAAGGTTTCACACAATCCACCATCAGATAACGCTCAGCACGCAGCTCAAAATGCTAAAGAAGAAGTTGGTAAAGTCGCGCATGAAGTTGGTGACTACATAAGCGGTGGTCAATCTGCAAGTCTTGGATCAGAACCACACATGCACCCAACAATGGGCCAAGAGTTCCAAACAATGACGCGAGGACTCTATGTAAACATTCCCCGTCCTGCTATTTATTGGGGTGCATTGGGTTAGTATTGAAATATTTCACATTTAAATACTCATGAATGTCTTAGGTGGTGTACCCTACTTAGGTACAGCCATTTCACACATTTACCTCAGCTCACAGCTCTATGCTGCTAATATGGGTGCATCAGGTATTGACATCACTAGCGTGACCGAATTGTTGCAGCAAGTTGAGACAATTCAAGTTGGATACGGTGCAGCCATGCTTTCCTTTTTAGGTGCTATACATTGGGGTATGGAATTCGCAGAGTTTGGTGGTAAGCAAGGTAACAACCGTTACGTTGTTGGTGTAGTACCTGTAGTCATCGCAGCATTGTCAACTCTACCAGGATGGCAATTTGCTATGATTGCACAGTGGACTGGTTTCGCATATCAATGGGGTGTCGACATCAAATTGACGCAAAGGGGATGGACACCTCATTGGTTCGCTGCTTACAGATTTTGGTTGACATTAGCTGTTGGTTCATTGATACTGCTCTCACTTGCTAGCTCGAACTACTATACTCCAAGAGTAGGATCAAACCTCCAAGAGAGAAGAATATTGCAAAGCCAAAAGACCGGTAAGGTCGAAGGACACACCAAGTCCGAGTCTGAGTCAGAAATTGACGAAGACCCATCCGGAAACGCCTTTGGTGTAATAAAGAAAAAGCACGAAGGTGGTGAGGGAGAAGAAGGTAAAGAAGGTAAAGAAGGTGAAGAAAGTGAAGAGAGTAAAGAGAGCAAAGGTGAAAATCAAAGTGAAGGAAAAGGTGAATCAAACGAAGATTCTGAAAAATCTGAAAAATCTGAGTAAAACATCATTAATGCAAGAATATAATGCTATTATTGTAATTACGCCATTGAACATTGAAAAAATAATCTATTTATTTAATGCTTATGTGGTTTCGCTCTGCCTTTGTTTGAGTTTGTCAATAAAATGCTACGATACTTACCCATCTACGAACATATTCCTTGTCGCTGACGGTAGCTGAACGACCATACCATCCATAGTTTTTTGCACATGTACTTGACAACCTAATCGTGAGCTAATTGAATGTCAGATAGCATTACTGTGGGATGTTAGAACCCACGTGTCAGTCAATCCGAATGCCAAATCAAGCATGTCATTCTCATCGTCTGAAGGCTCTTCTAATTGATCGAATACCTCTGGTTCCAGTATAACATGGCAAGTTGAGCATGCACAACTAGCTTCGCATGCACCTAGAGCATATCAACAAAGCGTATAACATGAGGATAGGAAAATACCTTCTAAATCGACATCCCACTCGTGTGCCAAATGTAATAAATCATCGCCTTCATTTGTTTCTATTGTTTTTATCGGATTCTTCTTTGAGTCTACGAAATGCACTTTGATACTAAAGTAATACGGAAATTAAAGTGATATACGAGAAAATAAAAGTACCCACCCAGTGCCCTTTTTAGGCCTGACGATATCACCGTGGAATTTGGCTAGATATACCGTCAGAATAAGCAGCTTCTGATTGGGCGAAACTCACGGAAGGAGCTGGTAAAAGGTCTTTGCCACTGCATTGATGGCCTCAGAGGTGGTGCTATCCTACTTCCTACGCTTTTTGACAATTTCAAACAATTTCTTATCATCTTCTTGGATGTTCAATAGAAAGGGATAAATGCAAGAATACAATTACATAATGCAAACATAATTTTATCTCACTGCTTTTCAACAGGCACCCACCATTGTGGTTCCCAGTTTAATCTACTATACTCAATTTCCTCGTCCTCTTCATCGACAACACCAAAGTCAAAGACATTAATGAATGTCTGTCCGGACATTTTATTAGAAGCTGCGACGAGATATCTGTCTGACATTGAGACTTGCCAAATATGCATTAAGTTGCTAAGTATGTCTTTCTTGAGTTTTCCATCTTTAGCATTCCACATTTTAAGCATTCCATCACTACCTGAGATGATCTTCTGCTCGTCATGAGCCATACAACTAATGGCACTGTCATGTCCATCTAATACATGCTGACAATCACCACTCATAAGGTCCCATATTTTGAGATTTGAATCAGCGCCTGCAGATATCAAACTCGATGAGTTCAGTCCGAGAAGACCGACGAGACTTGAATGACCTGGATTGACGTTATATGGTACCTCATTTTACTTGTAACTTACCATCCAGCGATTGTAGTTGCTCGCCTCGGTCGACTGACCAGACCTTAACTGAACCATCGTAACTTCCGGAGGCGCACTTATTACGAGGAGCATCCAAGACAACCTTATAAACTGGAGCTGATTTAGAACAAAAATCAGTGCTCTAAGCTTAACTCACCCATGTCATTATGACCTCTGAGGACATGCTCGACATCGCCAGTAATGGTATTCCAAATCCGAACAGCTGAGATTTTGTAAGCGGAAAAAGTATTAGAAGAAAAAACTTACTGAAATCGTAACTACCAGAAACCAATGTTTTGCCTTCACCCGCGACACTTCTGACGGCGTTCGTATGTCCAGAGAGTAATTTCATAGCCCACGGATTATTCTCTGTATTTGCGTCACCATCATTAAGATCCCAAGTTTGGTCTCTAGTTGGAGATGGTAGTCTCCAGACTCTGATAGTGAAATCACGAGATCCACTAACGATAATAGGATATGGTGGCTCATACTCCTTAGTCAGGTTGTTATATTTTGGCATGATAATAGCCAGACATCTGACAGTTGAATAATGTCCAGACAAAACGTGAGTACATCTTCCAGATGGTATATCCCAAACTCGGACAGTACGATCAGTAGCGCCCGATACCAAAGTATCACCAATATATTGAAGAGCCCAGACACCACCAGTGTGTCCTCTTAGTCTTCTCCTTAATCTACCTGTTTTTGTACAACTAACGTCAATACTCTTGTCATCGCCATCTGATGCGGTGACGATCTTATCGGAATCGAATTGGAGACAAGTTACGACGTTTTGACCATGCCTTTCAAATTCATATGCAGCTTTTGGTTCGTTATTGAACCAATTTTGTCTAATTGTGTGTCTCTTTTTCAATATATGCTTATATGGGTGATACTTCCAAGTATTTGTCAATTTCTTTGGAGATTCTGAACTACTGTTAATATTAGACATTGGCGGAGGTGTCAAAGGTGTTCTGGTTCCATCCATTTCAGTATCACTCTCCTTTTCCATATTTAGCCGCTCCTTATGACGTGTTCTATTCGCACTAAGATACACCTCCTGACGTTTATTAGCTAAATGTTCTTCATCGCCAAACCACAAGTCTGCTCGTATACCAGCAGCTTTCCAAGCGGCTCTATCATGATCGACAATTTTCTTCCAAGTTTTTGAAACAGATGCCGATCTCGCCAAATCCCTTATATCTAGGAAGTTAAGTATAAGAGAACTAATTTCTAAAGGTAATTGCCCAATAAAATCTTTTTGTAATGCAGGTTTAATGAAATCGTTCACATTTCTAATTGACGAAATATCTGATAAGCGGAGTAAATTGAGGAGAATATGCGATTGAGTGGCTGTGGACAAAGTTGGATACACATTGAGTAGGTGAGGGAATGAAAGTAATACTGGGAGTGTATTACTGTTATTAGCGTTATTGCTCACGCTGTCATCCCATTCCGTGGTGGTTTCCATCCTAGATGGACTAGCTACTGGACTAGGAAGTGGTGATCTCACACTTCCACTACTACCTACAGCTACATTGCCACTGTCATCCTCCCTAAGCTTCTTCTTTGGAGGGCAATCGATTGCTCGCTTTTTTCCCTTGAGATCATAAGAGTGATAGCTTGCTAGGTGTCCATTAGGTAAACTGAAATCGAAGTTTGCGACGTGCTCTGGTATTTCACTATTACTTAGTGGGAATTCTTTAGCATTCAGCTGTTGCTGCTGTGTGGATGAATCGAGACCCTGGATCTGAATTTCCGGATAATTTATGATAGTTTTCTTAGTAGTTGTAACTATCTCAGTTTGTATTGTTGGTTCTAATTGAATATAATGCTTATCATGATTCGACATGGGCGTTCTCTACAATGAAGTTATGACACGCCTGTCAGTCAATAATTGACAATTAGTTAGTTTAATACCAAAATCGATTCAATTACTTCCTAATTCTTCCGACACTCGCTAATCTTAATTTCCGAATTCGGCGTATGTTTATTTTGTCTCAAATAATTTAAATCGTTACAACTAGAAAAGGATAAAGTAAAATGCTAATGCTCTGGAGGATATTCACTATACTCTGGTGCAGGACTCTGATTTGTCACTGTTAACCGGGTATGTGCATCCGATGCAGAATATACAGATGATGAATCTGTACTTTCAAAGCTATACCTACGTCTAGCTTGACTCTCTTCTCTCGCGAAGCTTGAAATTCTTGGTGTTCTATCTTCATCTTCCTCCTCATTCAAATTAACCGGTGAGTACGTTCCATGATTGTAATGATAGGCATCAGTACCTTTCTTCATGGAATCCAATAATGGTTTATCGAAACTATCTTCCATTCTGTGTAACGATCCAGTCGAAACATTGAAATCATTTGGATGTGGTGGTGGTGGTGGGAATGAATCTGATGATTCAGTAATTGATGGCATACCCATAGGGTGTCCAGCAAATGGTATTCTTGGTCCAGTTGATTGGTAATAACTATACGTAGATCCTGGCGTACCCGCGCCATGTCTGTCTATACTACCTGGTAAAACAGTTGATGTAAGTGATCTGACATCCCAATCAAGTTCACCACGATCCCTATTTGGAAGTTCTTCAAGCTGCTCTTCAGTAACTGCCTCATATTTGAGACCATCAGCGATAATCTCGTCTTTGAAGTTGCTTGTCTTGTGAGTTGATTCAGGTAAGACTTCTTCAAGGAGATGCACATGTTTATCGTGTACTTGAACAGTAAACAAATCAGCATGCAAAGCCGCATGACCGAACCTTTTAGCAAGTCTACCTCTCTTAACGTCTGACTTTTGGTTGTGAACTTTACTAGTTGCTGCTTCCTCATTATCTGGAAGATAGTAATTGAACTGCTTTGAGAACTTTCTATTAAGTATATACTTAAACACCACAATTGCGATAATAGGTGGTATTGCTGCTGCCCATTTACCGACGCTCCATCCCATTTTCAATCCAAGTGATAATAACATAATGGCTTGCATCGCTATTAAACCAAACATCAAGCGGTTCATGATAACATTCCAAATACGACCACCAGTTTCAACTTCCGTGATAAATACGTACATTAATTGGTACTTTTGAACGAAAGCACTGATTAAGAAGATGATGAGAGCGGCAGCAGCAACGAGTGGCGCTATTGGTGCATAAATTAATGCAACACATGCCATGAAGAGCATAGAGGCGTAGTAAACTGCATATTCAAATGGTGGTGGGCGTGTCCATTCCTAGACCTTGCATTAGTAAAACACTATGAAGTAAAGCAAACGCACCTTGATATCTCTTGGTGTTCTACCAAAGACGTGTGTACGAACAAAGATGAAAATAAGATTGCCAAGTTGAGCAAGGTCGAAGAAGACAAGAAAACCTCTCAATGGGAACCACTTCAACCAGTAAGAACTTTGACTGACATAGGCACTTTCGATGGATTCAGGAAGAGTTGTCATAGATTTGACAATGTCAACAAAGCTATTTTGCTTTTTAACTTGAGAAACAATATCGCTTATCAAATGGAATCCAACACTTATCAAAGTGAAGATGAAAAGTTGAGATATAACCAAGAATGCAAATAAACGTGCAATAACTGCTCTATCTAATCTGGATTCAGTCGCAGCACCTTTAAATTCTGTGAGTTTTCTGATGATAATTGGCAAATAGTATGAAAATAAACCAGCGACTAATGGAGGAAGTATACCAGCCATAATTGCGAATGTCCATGGTGAACTGCTTTGCCAATCTCTAAGTCCTTGAAAGTAAACGGCAGTTGCCGAAATATTAGCCAAGAAGGAGATAAAAATGAGTGGAATTGTATTAAGGAAGCAAACAAATGCCAATAAGAGCCATCCCCATAATTTACTTAGCTTAGAAGGAGGGTGAGTGAGATTTTTCCAGATTATATCTTTTGGATTTGGTGCTAACTGTATGGTAGTATTATGTGGATGTTTATTTTCACACTTTTGTGCGACAGTATGAGCTGCAGGAATTGAAACCAAGGAAGCAAATCCAAAATTATCTGGTCTTTTAAAGTCCAGCTCATTTCTAGTTGAATCTATTTCCATTTCGTAACGCTTTATCTTTTCAGTATAGTATGAAATAGCATCAACTTTCTGACCACCAAAACAGAGAAAACCACCAATTCTATGAAGTGGACGTGGTCTGTTCATTATAGTACCCTTTTTGAAGTAAGTCGTAAGTGTTTGCTCGAGTCTCCTGACAGCATCATTATGTTTCTCTATAAGGGTTGGTAATTTACCAACTTTCCTCGAAACGTGTGTAGAGCTAAACTCATAAGGAATGTCAATTGCGCGTTTCTTCTTCTTTGAAATTGAATTAGGATCGCTTTTGAGAATAGAGAGTAAACCTTGATCAGACATGAGTTTTCTTGGTAAATTTTGTATCATGAGTGTTCTAGCGTATAAACTAGTTTGATACTCCTCAGATCTAAACCATTCATTGCGCAAAGCTACCATTTCGCGGGTGTGCACCCAAATCCTCCAAAGTACGACAGCAACTATGACATAAGAAGCGGCGCAATGAGCCCAGAGTACACGACCACCAACGGCCATAATAGTAGTTGAATCTAACCATGTTCTATCAGATTCGTTGATGTTTTTATAATTGTAAACCATATTTACTGGGATAAGCGCACCGCAACAAATGATAACGATACAGATAAAAACCTCGCATAGTAATCTGAGAAAGCGGACGAAAGTGACCGCATCTAGACCAATTTTATCGATTAATTGAGATTCTTTCATTGTGAACATTGGTTTCACCCAACTGAATAAGCTGTCATTGAGTGCTGGGAGGTGCTTGATAGCTTCCAAAGACTGCTTAGCTTTAGGTGCGTATACGAGTTTATTCCGTGGTCTGAGAAGAGAGAATACGATGATTGTGAGTAATGAAATGCCAGTCATTACTGCGAATTGTAACCATACAGCAGATGCGTCGACATGTTTGCTACTATTGAATGTCTATAATAAAGGATAAGATGAGTGTAAAATATGTATTTGAAAAAAACTCACCTCCAGCGCATTCTGTGAAATGTCTGCAAAGTTTACCATTGCTGTGTGACAAATAAAGTCTGTTTGTTGATTTTATGCGATAGCGGACAGTTGATGCGGACGTAAGTAAAAGTGGAGAAAACAAGTTAAAATGAAGGTAAGAAACCAACAACTTTAGTTGACAGGTTCTAGCTTTTTCGCTCACTGGTCGAGAAGCTGCAGTTTTCTCGGTAACTGATGAAGTCAGCGCCCTAGTCTCAGAAAGATAATAAATAAAAAATTACAAAGGCGCGCCTTGATCTGGCAGTCTCTCTATAGCATATCTGTGGCTGACGATGTACATTAGTGGTATACCCTAGAGTGCGTTAATAGGAAAATTTTAAACAAAGAAACTTCAACTTACAGGTACTTTCCGTACTCTTCTTCGCAATTCCCTATCACAGGTGGCTACAATGTAACACTTGTGCGCTTGTATACGCTGTACAATGCAATCGTCCGCATATGTACCTGTATGTGAACAAGGAAGGCGGAGGAAGCGGGGATCTTTAGCAACCCTTTGGATCATCGTTATAATTACGCTATTTCAACCTGAGAATACCCACCTTAAAGCCATTCTGTATTTTGTTCCCAACTTCTCCAACTCAGCGATAACGCAGTCGGATATACAGGGAATACCTACACCCGTTAGTCAATATGACGTTAACAAAAAGTATAAATAAACTCACACTTGGCAAATAAACAATCCATCATACCCTGCACTAAATCGAGCTTGTTTTGTAGTGAAAAGTTAATGACTGTGGTGGTATAAGCGAGATAAGCAAATGAGTACCTAGTAGACTTACAGTTAGTATCGACAAGTACGTGATAAGGTGGCGCTAATGCTTCGTTGTGACTGAAGAAAAGACTGTGGGACATCTGTGGACTGTAGGACATTAGATAGCTGTAGAAATAGCGTGAATATAACCCACGTATGCTTGACAGCCTTCTCTTTCTCCTGCTTCTCCTTTGCCGCTGCCTTCTCTTGATTATGCTTCAAACGAGGATCATTTGGGTTGAGCATACGCTTAACTTGGGCGAAATTCCTCGTTTTCTTAGCTTTACCCTGTTATTTATTAGTAAATCATATTTATTTATTTATCAGGATATTCTCACCATGACTGTTCACCGATAAGAAGCTTTTACAGCAACGTCGAGGATTAATATGGAGAGACCATTACAGCCACCAACATTATTCAAACCTATTTCTAGCGTAGAAGTATCAGATGAGCAGGCGCAAATATTAGTATCTGCCTTTTTGGATAGCTACACAGAGCCAACACCAACAAAAGCTGCACTCGAAAGACTGAGAGCTGGTTTAAAGGGTGAGGATGCACCAGTAGAAGAAACAGCAGAAAATGCAGAAGAAATGGCAGAATAGATTACTTTATCGGTGGGTTGTGAATCTTCCTTTTGACCTTACTAACTCCGTAGAAAGTTAGAATGTATTATATGTAATTAATAGATATACACAACCAATTGGGCTGGATTGAGCGTGATTGTCTTCCTAAATGGTCACCTATCGGTGTTTAATTGAAATACTTACAGCGTTGGCTAGATATTAAGATATTCAAGTAATCTATCATACAACACTAGTCTGCTTTTGTTAGCGAAGGACTTAAACTCTCAAAGAGCTAGATAAGGACTATTATTTAAAAGGTTATAACTTACCAGAAATTTGAACCGTCCGAGCGTATGGTACACTGGCTGGAGTACTAACCAATAAAAATATCAATTTATTAATTGACTCCCATTATTGTCTCAAATATCTGTAGTTGTAGTTGTACAACGTATAGTTGACTTACTATGAAGGGATGATATAAATAAGCACAATAAATCAAACACCTTTTTGTACGCATTATCGCAAACAATATCGTTAGTCACAATAAGGATGACAATCATGTAACTCAAAAGGCAAACTATTTGACTACGACTTATCAAAAATGAGTAGTGAATTGTGTGTTATTTTGTAATAAAAATACATTTAAACGATTATCTTTTCTAATATAAAAAACTATGACTATTCATGAGTAGTTTACTCCTTCTTTTCTTCACCTTCTGGCTTTTGTTCACCTTCGTTTGATTGTCTGTTCTTGTAAACTTGTTCGAAAAGCTTAAGTGAAGCTTGTTGAGTTTCGTCAATTTGGGTCTTGATTTCTTCTGAAGTGATTTCTTCTCCTGATTGACCCTTTGCACCTAATTCTCTAAGCTTAGCAACTGATTCCTTAACCTTGTTGGCTTCCTCTTCGTTAATTTGGCTAGCGAATTCTCCCAATGCCTTGTCAGTGTCAGTAGCAATGCTCTCTGCCTTGTTAGCCATTTCAATAACGTTCTTACGTTCCTTGTCAGCTTCAGCGTACTTCTCAGATTCTTCAACCATGGATGAGATTTCCTTCTCTGAGAGACCAGATGATGATGAAATAGTCATTGATTGATCCTTGTTAGTAGCTCTGTCCTTAGCAGTAACGTGAACAATACCATCAGCGTCAATGTCGAAGGTAATTTCAATTTGTGGAACACCCTTTGGTGCTGGTGGGATACCAACCAATTGGAAGTTACCGAGCATCTTGTTGTCTCTAACTAATTCTCTTTCACCTTGGTAGATCTTAACTTCAATAGCTGATTGACCATCTGCGGCAGTTGAGAAAACTTGTGACTTCTTGGTTGGGATGGTAGTGTTACGGTTGATCAATCTAGTGAAGACACCACCGAGAGTTTCAATACCGAGTGAAAGTGGGGTAACATCCAACAACAAGATGTCAGTAACGTTACCAGCCAAGACACCACCTTGGATAGAAGCACCAATAGCAACAGCTTCATCTGGGTTAACACCCTTAGATGGGTCACGACCGAAAGTGCCCTTAACGGTTTCGGTAACCTTTGGCATTCTAGTCATACCACCAACGAGGATAACATCGTTGATTTCTGATGACTTAACACCAGCATCACCGAGAGCCTTCTTACATGGTGAGATGGTACGTTCGATCAAGTCACCAACGATCTTCTCGAATTGTGAACGGTTAAGCTTCAAGTTCAAGTGCTTTGGACCGGAAGCATCAGCAGTAATGTATGGTAAGCTGACTTCAGTTTGTGAAGCGGAAGACAATTCAATCTTTGCCTTTTCAGCAGCTTCTCTGACACGTTGAACTGCTAATCTGTCCTTAGTCAAGTCAACACCGTCTGAGTTCTTAAATTCTCCAATGATGTGGTTGACAAGGGCAATGTCAAAGTCTTCACCACCAAGGTGAGTGTCACCGTTAGTTGACTTTACTTCAAAGACACCCTTTTGCATTTCAAGAATTGAGATATCGAAAGTACCACCACCAAGATCGTATACGGCGATGACACCAGAGTCTTCCTTTTCGAGACCGTAAGCGAGAGCAGCAGCGGTTGGTTCGTTAATGACACGCATAACTTCCAAACCGGCGATAGTACCAGCATCCTTGGTAGCTTGACGTTGTGAGTCGTTGAAGTAAGCTGGAACAGTGATGACTGCGTGCTTAACTGATTTACCGAGGTAGTTTGATGCGGTTTCCTTCATCTTTTCAACGACGAAAGCACCAATTTGTGAAGGTGAAAACTTTTGTCCACGAGCTTCAACCCAAGCGTCACCGTTTGAGTGAGGAACGATCTTGAACGGAACTTGGTTCAAATCCTTTTGAACTTCCTTGTCTGTGAATTTACGACCGATTAAACGCTTGGTTGCGCTGTTGAGCGGTTAGTTGAATGAAACTCTAGTCAAAAAAAAAACGCACAAAAGAGTGTTCTCTGGGTTAACGACAGCTTGACGCTTGGCTGGTACACCAACGAGTCTTTCACCGTCCTTTGAGAAGGCAACGACGGATGGTGTAGTACGGCCACCTTCGGCGTTTTCTAAAACTCTTGGAGTTTGACCTTCCATGATGGAAACACATGAGTTGGTTGTACCAAGATCAATACCACAGACTGGACCTGTAGCACGTCCGTTTGATTGGAATCTTGTGGCGAGTTTCTAATGAATTGTGAGCAAATCGGGGTACAAAAAGAAATAGAAAACTCACTGGAACTGCCCTTGGAATTCTATTGAAAGCAGTTGAGCGGAGTGTGCGTGGAAGCATTTCTAGTGTTACCCTTTGCGGTTAAAGAAGTGAAGCGAGAGTCTTCTTCGCATCTTCAGATTTTTCATCTGGAAATTCACCGAACATTCTGCATTAATAAAAACTAAAGATCAATAAAAATAAATTTTGTATTCAATACTAACACCTTTCATTTATACTCGCTTGAGTTTTCTGACTCGTCCGATGTATTTTTCACTAAAAAACATTCTTAAAACATTCATTAAAGATTCATTAAGGATAAATTAAGTTTCAATAATTTAAAGTGATTGTACAATGCGTTCATCTTCACTGGATGTACCAAAGACAACGCTAATTAAACCGTGGTCTGGCTTAACCCATTGACGCTTCTCTGTATCCCAAATACTCAAGTCATAAATGCTGAGTTCGAATTCAGCAGTCTTGGTTTCACCTGGTGCGAGTGGAACCTTTGCGAAATCTCTCAAAACGAGTGGTGGTTCACCACTGTGTCTTGGGAATTGAAGATAGAGTTGTACGACTTCAGCACCGTAAATTTCACCAGTGTTTGTTACGTCAATAGAAACCTTGTAGGCAGGTTTGTGCAATGATTCTTGTACAGATGCACCAAACATATCTGGATCGTATTCCTCATGTTCAGTCTCGCCTACTTCTTCAATTTGGAGGTTATCTAAATCAAATGTGGTATAACTCAATCCAAATCCGAATGGATATCTTGGTTCGATGTTATCTTGTTGGAAATGTCTGTAGTCAACGAAAATTGACTCAGTGTAGTTCAATTGTGGAACATCAGAGGAGTCATGGTAAACAACTTCAGTCTGAGGTAATATTAACTAAAAATCCGCGTAAACACATCTAAACTCACTCCATAATCCTCTCTTTGTTTAGCGATAGTGAATGGAAGCTTAGCTGATGGGTTGTAGTAACCGAACAAAACATCAGTGATAGCATTTCCACTCTCTTGACCAGGGAAACCAGCCCAGAGAATAGCAGTAACATTAGGATGTTCAACCCATTCCTCGACATCCAGTTGTCCAGGTGCGTGAATGACAACGATTGTGTTCTCATTGTGAGCTGCAGTGGCCTTGACAACTTCATCACCATTGTTCCATGCAGTGAGGTTGTTTCTATCACCTTCATTTCCTTGTACGGTAAGGTATTGCTCACCACTGTCACTGTTAACAAAGACAATGGCAGCTTCCTTTCCTTGAACGACGCTGTTGAAGCCATCGTTGTTAATGTCCCAGTTGTTGAGCCAGTTGTCAACACTGAAACCATCGAGTGCACCTCTTTCTTCTAATGCTGATAGTGGATCAACGAGGTATGGGAACTCGTTTGCACCGCTACCCCAACCAACAGCAACTGTACCATCAACACAAGCTCTATCTGCGCATCCATTTGGTCCTTTTGAAGCTGGACCTGCATCACTACCAACTACGGCAATACCAGCGCTTAAATTGCTACCGTCTAATGGTAAAGCGTTGTTATCATTCTTGAGCAAGACGGTAGAAGCTGAACCCAACTCCTTGATAAGTGATGCATGGTCATGTTTAACATCCCTAACTGGACCTCTGGTTGGATCATTCTCGTCAAAGAAGTTAAAGTTAACTTCTGGGTAGTTCTCTTCATCTTGACCGAGGAGATACCAAGCAGCGACGATTCTAGTAGCCATATCGTTTACTCTCTCCTCTGGAACGGTACCGTTAGCGACTGCCTCTGTGAGGTTTGCACCGAAGTAGCTCCAACCGGAGTAGAAAGTAGAATCACCTGGCATACTCATATCCAAACCAGCGAGAGCTGAAGGTGTACCAGAGTACTGAGCTTGCCAATCAGATTGTACGTAACCTTGGAAAGCGAGCTCGTGTTTCAAAACACCATTAAGAAGGTAGCTATTCTCGCAAGCCCAAGATTGCAAAATTTTGTTGTATGAACACATAACAGATGCAACATTGGCTTGGACTGCTTTGACGTATGGATGGAGGTAGATCTCTCTAATTGCTCTATCATCGACGTTTGATGACGAGGTGTAACGGTAGTGTTCTTGGTTGTTGACAAAGTAGTGCTTAGCCGTTGCTTGAACACCAGCGTCTTGAAGACCGTAAATAGTTGATGATCCAAGTTCACCTTGGAGGTATGGGTCTGCGCCGAATCCTTCCCAGTTTCTACCACCGGTTGGGTTTCTACCGAAATCAATTGAAGGTGACAAAGCGACATGAGCACCTTTCTCCTTGAACTCAGTTCCCATAGCTAAACCTCTTTGATATGCCAAGTCCTTATCAAACGAAGCGGCGACGTTGATACCAGCTGGGAATGCAGAAGCTTGCTCAACTTGACGAACACCAAGTGGACCATCTTGAAGACACAAGCCTGGGAAAACATCTCTAATAGGAGCGATATTACCAACACATGGGCCATTACCCTATAATCCGTAAGTATGTTTCAGAATAACAAAGAGGAAAAATCTCACCCATCCAACACCTGTAGTGATATTTACTCTCTCTTCAACTGATAAAGAATAGACTAAATCACGAGCTTTACCAGTTGCTTCTGCCCATGCACCTGTACCTGGTGTTTCAGGAGTTGGGAAGAAATCAGGGTGAGTAGGTAAATGTTCACTGTCACCATTGAATGGAACAGGTTCAACGGTTGGAGGCTCTTCACCGATATCGGCAGGTGCGTCATTATCATTAGTTGGTGCGTTAGGATTCGTTGCTGGAGCAGATTGTGCAGAGGTGTAACCCAAGAGTGTGGCTGCCAATGCAACCACTTTTAAATTAAAATACATTACCTAAAAGGAGTCGTTAGTAGTTTATATGTATTGAGAAGAGACAAGCGCTTGAACTATAATGATATTTCTTAGTCTGGTATGAATCTATGCCAATGTTTGGAATGTTTAAATAGGTTGATCATGAGAAAAATGCATGTGATTTTATAATTGGGTGGGGTATATTTTATTTGCTAAACTAATGATACAGGTGCATGGTAAAAATTGATCACTGAACACTAAATTCTGGATCAACGTCATCATCCTCGTCTGAACTAACGATCACGGCTTTAGGCTTGCGCGATCTTTTATTTGGATAATTTAAACTGTCATGAAGAGGCCTCTTGAGAGCATTCTTCGGAGGTGGGTGATGTTGTGGTGGTGCTGGTGGAGGTGAACCGAGAGTATCCGAGAAGAGTTGGTTGTCAATGATGATCTCGTCTTCTTCTTCTTCTTGCTCGATGTTTTTATTTGCGTTCATAACCAAATGTTTTTCCAAACAGTTGTTCCTCGCCAATCGAAGCTTATCTAGGCTGACCTTGTTTGACTTATCAAGCGTGTTTTGAAGGATATTCTTAAGATAGATGTTCAAAGATGTGGACATAAACTCCAAACATCTGCTGTCGTAGTTAGTGAGATCGTTATCGACGACGGCCAGTTTGAGTCTTTTGTGTAGGTTGTCGTAAGATGGAAGTTGCCTGGTCTCTGAGCATAGGTTTATATCGAAGGGCAGTGGTTGTAGAGCATCTACAGAGTCTTCGGTATCATCAGGCTGGTCAATGTTTATTGACTTGAGTCTATTCCTTTCATTCTCAGATAATGACCTAATTGAGTTAGTTTCCAAGGTGAGGAATGGCTTGTTTATCTGTTTGATTGTGTATTTGTTGATAGAGGATGAGTGTAGTATTGATAGTAGCAGTTTATTGTGCAAGCTCTCTATGAATAGTTAGAATATCCTACTCGAGACGAAGCACCCACTCTCAAACTCGCTGAAGCCGGAGATGAACTGGTTAAATTGGAATTTATTGATAAAACCGAGCAAGTAGAAGCGCAACTGCTTCTTATAATTTTCCCCTTTTATTTCTATTAATTTTTCTTTATACTCCATTTAATCACTAAGAACACTCTTCACTCCCTCACGCTTTCTCTTTATTTTCATTTTTTATTTTATTAATGTCACAGCCTTCAGATAACCCTGTAAGTCGTTATTTATTATTCATAACTATCTCACACTCGCTTTTAGATATTTGAACACCGTAGAGCACACTTATACGTCGGAAACTTAAGTCCACGTGTAACTGAGTACATGTTGACAGAGGTACGTTATTATTTACTCTTTATTTATTTTCCATCTCACCCCTTTGAAAGATTTTCGCTGTCGCTGGTCACGTACAATCCGTAAAAATAATCCCAGATAGAAACTTCAGTCACGGTGGTTTAAATTACGGTTTCGTTGAGTACACTGATATGAGAGCTGCTGAGACCGCTTTGCAAACTTTGAACGGTAGAAAAATCTTTGATACCGGTTCGTATATTCTTTTATCTACCAACGACGCTAAATTCCCTTAGAAATTAGAGTAAACTGGGCTTATCAAGGCAACAACAAGCAGGAAGATACTACAAACCATTTCCATGTCTTCGTTGGTGATCTCTCTCCAGAGGTCAATGATGAAATCCTCTCAAAAGCGTTCTCTGGTTTCAAATCTATCTCAGATGCAAGAGTCATGTGGGATATGAACACCGGTAAATCACGTGGATACGGTTTCTTATCATTTAGAGAAAAAACCGACGCTGAACAAGCTATTTCAACTATGAACGGCGAGTGGTTAGGTTCACGCGCAATCAGAGTAAACTGGGCAAACCAAAAGACTCAAACTGGTTCACACAGATTGAACGATTTGATGCCAACTATGAACGCATTCAATGGTCCATTGTCTTACGAAGCTGTCTTCCAACAAACTCCTGCTTACAACACCACTGTATATATTGGAAATCTTACTCCTTACACTACACAAGCTGACTTGGTTCCAATCTTCCAAGCTTTCGGTTACATTATTGAAGTACGTATGCAAGCTGACAGAGGTTTCGCATTTGTAAAGTTAGACTCACATGAAAATGCATCAATGGCAATCGTTCAACTTCAAGGTACCTTGATTCAAGGCAGACCAATAAAGTGTTCTTGGGGTAGAGATAGAACAGCTAACGCTAATAATGTTATGCAACAACAGAACGCACAAGCAGCAGCTGCTGCCGCTGCCGCTGCAGCTGCGGGTGGACCAGTTGATCCAAGTCAATTCAATGGCGCATACGGTCAATTGCCTTTGTACAACTTGCCACAAGTTCAACCATACGGCGCTCAATTCGGTTATCCACCACAGGCTAACCCAGCAGCAGCAGGTGTTGCAATGCCAGGCATTGATCCAAACCAATGGAGTCAATACTTTGCTGCACAACAAGCAGCTGCCGCAGCTCAATTAGGTCAACAACCACCACCACCACCAAATGCTCAAGGTGCTCCTTCTCCATACGCCGCATACGCAATTCCTTCAAACGCTCCACAGCAAGCTGATCAAATACCTCAATAGACGTATAAAAATGAACTTACTACTTAATCAAAATGGACGATTAGAAAAATCAATACAATTTGCGAGTTTCTCTCATATCTATCTTCCCTTTTTTTGTCATTTTGACTAATAGTTATTGTTTTGGGGTGTTGCTATCTGTCTCATTTTATCTCAAAAATTTTCACTTTATTTTCACTTTACACTTTTCACTTTTTTGTTAAAATTTCAATATACATAAATTAAATCTATCTATAGAAAAGAAGAATGACAATAAATTAACTAAAAATGACAAAGAAGTTGAGAGAGACTATAAGAATGAGATATTGTAAGAGATTATATAAGTCGTAATAGTCGTAAATATTAAAATGTTGACCATGCCCATGTCAAAGATTTAGCTAAACTCTGACCCATACTATAAGCAGGTTGCTCTTTAACTTTAATATCACCATCAATGATGACATTCTCTTGCCTTCTTGATTTATTTATTGGTATATTCAAACTTGAAGTGTATGTTGAATGTGAAGGTGTAACTGGTGGTGTAAATGCTGGTAATTTACCTAATGCTTGTCTAGCGGAGGTTGATGCCAAAACGTAAGAATGAAGTGGACCAGAATTTGGTTGTTGGTTTGATGCAGGTGGAGTAATTTCATTTAAGCTTGTAGAAGATTTGTAGAGGTTTGTTGAAATTGGTGGTACAAAGTAGCTATTAGATTGTTGTTGTTGTGTCATCATTTTAACGTATTGATGATTGATGTTCTGTTGTTTTGAAAGGGAGGAAGAAGGTGAGGATATACTTGATGACGATGTTGGACTGATACACAATTGGGGCGTTCTTGGTTGTGTTTGCTCGTTGATAGCCAATGATTGTGATGACATACTCTTTGCATAACCAGACCAGCTCGTCAAATCTTGATAGCAATCGTCACAGACGCGTGCTACGACATTTCTAGAAGTATCATTCTTCCGTGGAAGGATATAATCGCAAGAAGTTGTATCTACCAAACTTGCGGAATGTGAAGAATGAGGTTGACAGAAGACACCGCCGCACTTTCTACAATGATGGCGACGCTCTAATAAGTTAAAGCTAGTTGAGCAAGTTACTATGTCGCACTCGGCGGAATCTGAATCAGGCTAAATATGATTGGTCATTAGTTAAGCGACGGTCGGGTAAAATCGGTGGGCTAACCTTCCATAGGGATTTTGGTAATAAAGCAGGTAAATCAGGCTTAGATTCGACGGCCAAATCTAAACTAGAAGTTGATGCTATAGGTGTAGACTTTGATGCGGCTTTCTTGCTCTGTTTGGTGGAGGACGGAATGAAGGAAAGCCAGGGCTCATCGTCTGTATTGTTGAGATTCGGTGTACTCTGATTACTATTCGACATTTCATACTGTGGCAGTCTGTCTAGTTTCAAGCCATTCTTGTTCTTAACTGCGGTACGTGAGGCAGGAGGTGAATTTGAGCGGGAAACCAAAGGGGATAGGTTTGAAGACCTAGTAGTTGTCACTGGAGGTTGCGATTGTGAGCCTAGAGAGTATTTGTCAGTGTTCTATGGTCAGTTGAGGAGCAAACAACTCACGCTTCTCGTTGACAACACGCTGTACAGCTTGGTGATCAACGACGAAACCCTTGACTGAATTTGATGGAGAGATTGACCTTTGTGACATTTGTGAGGGTGTGATTTTGAAGTTGAGAAATGAGTGACAGCTATAGCTCAAGGCGGATTGGCCAACAATAAATTAAAATCAAAATAAATTAAATGTACAAAGAAAATATACTTTTATTACGCTCTCATATTCCTATATCTTTATTAATTTAAATTAGCACTCCACATTCCAGTATGACTGCATTTGCCGTTATCTCAGGGTACAATATATACATGTATCCACCTACCAGGAGATAGACAGTATTTTACACATAAGATACACAACATATACGCATATCTGTTACATATACTTCTTTATCTCTAACCATCATGGCATCCATCTACAGCCACAGTACAGGCAGCAGTCTGGTGATAGTTCTACCACTAATACTGCTATTCTCAACTCTCACCTTCTTGTTCTTACTATTTAGCTTAGCTTTGCTCGTCTTACGTCTTAAGAAGCGTTCAATCTCGTTATCCAACGGCGGGAGATATAGACGTCTCACACGTCTTACAAACAGCAACAACCAGCTATTCTTGCCATTTAATGATGATCACCTCAATCTTGCTCCTATTGATCTCACTGATATGGACTTTGATAACGGTCTCGCAGGATGGGCGACCGAAGAATCTGGCGGTCAGCAGGCTGCTATAGAACGTTATTACAATTCCCTTCAGCAGCCTGAGATGATGGGTATTCAAAGGGCTAGAGGTGGGTTTTATATGCTATGCACACCCCTTTTTCTTATCTTTTCATTAGATTATCAAGAAGCTCATCCACCAGCTAGTCTAGCTACTGCTATAACTCTATCTCAGTATCTCACTATTCAAGAAAAGGGCGTTTCTGCCTGGTCTTTTGAGCCTGATTATGAGAGTTTACCTCCGATACTCGTACAAGCACGTACAGAACTCACATTCTTGGCTGACGGTGAGGGACTCTCTCCTTCTGAAGGTGGTGCATGTTCTGTACAAACAAACCTTCCAATTCCTCGCTCTAATGACACCTATTACTTTGAAGCCAAGTTATTCGAAATTACTCCAAGTACTAAAGTCTCATTTGGATTAGCTACAAAGCCTTATCCTAGCTTTAGACTTCCTGGTGATTGCAAGTATTCAGTTTCATATGACACAGAGGGACAAGCTGCCTACAACTATCCATTCACTAGTCACACGATCGGTTCGCCGCTTCTTGAAGGTGATGTACTAGGCATTGGCTACAAACCACGTACTGGAACTGTTTTCTTTACAAGGAATGGTAAAAGGTTAGACCCTGCTCCATATGATGGTGCATTCCATGCATTCGGTAATTCAAACGCTGAAGGCGTCAACCCATTAGATTTATTCCCAACTATTGGTAGTACCGGTGCAGCGGTTGTTCATGTTAATTTCGGTCAAGCAGGCTTTGTTTTCATTGAGGCTAACGTCAAGAAATGGGGACTGGCACCTATGTCTGGCACATTGGCACCACCACCTGCTTATGGACACAATAGCGGATCACTATTGCTTGAATCTGCTGCTAACAAAGATACTGAAGATAGCGAAAACGACGAAAGACGTCCACTCACTTTTGACGAGAGGAGAAGACTTGAGAGAAGACTAAATGAGCGTCTGAAAGCTGAATCAGAGGGTAAAGATGATATCGATCCGGGTGTTGGAACTTCTACCACAAATAGAATTTCAACCAGGCCAGAGGATGACGGAATTATAAACAATCCGCCAACTCCTAATCAATTGGATATTAGTCTTACAGAATTAGAAAGGAGACGCTCAACACAGGCTCTTAACGAGCAAGACAATAGCCAAGATGAAGCTGTAGAAGAAGAGGTACCTAGTGAAATCCCAGAAACGGCTGAGTCGAATGGTGATGCACCACCACCACATTATGCACCGATAGATCCACAACGGTATCCTGATGGTGTTAGTTTGACTGACATCCCAGTGAGTAGTAGATATCCCACAAATTAATTCACTAACACGATTAGTCGGACGAATTAGTGAGGATGATTGGAGATACTTGATAACGAAACGAGACGTATTAGATTAATTGCATTATTTTTGTTATACTACTAAGACTCATAAATTTCATTGTTGTATTAATAACGTTAATAATGTTCTTGATAGTAAACTATCAAATGATAAGAGAATGAGAGGGCAACGAAACGGAGAGAGAAATATAGCGTCAACATCCTCCGTGTTTGGCTTGCCCTCTACTATACCTATACCTGCGATAAGCCAACAGCAGCAGCAACGGCGTTCTAGTACAGCAGCACAGTCACCCCCAAGTGGATTCTTACGAAGACAGAGTTCTACGCCATCTACACCACCTTCTGTCGATGTTTTAATGGAGGATACAAATCAGCTTCAACCGCAATTCCCACAGTCTGGTGGATATCATAACGGTAAAGTCACAAGTCGTCCAGTTAATAGACGTTCAAACTTACTACCAAAGTCTAAGAATTTCAATAGAGTACAAGATCAACTTATTCAAGAAACAATTCCACAACAGTATGAAGTAATATCTGAAGCTAATGTACAAAGGTTATTACATAGCGCACCAGCATCACCATTATTACCGAGAACACCTAAAGCGAAATCTAGAGCGAGTGCAGGTCGTTTCCCAGAATCATATGTTGATGAAGACGAAGATGATTACTTATTCGGTAAGATGTCAAGTGAATCAGAAGATGATAATACATCCGTAGCTACAAGTAATCCAATAGGAATGAGTGAAGATATGGAAATGACTACATCTGATCATTCTAACAACACTGAGGCTGTTCAAAAAGCAATGCGTCCACCACCAACTAAACCACCAACTAACACTTGGACAGAATTTCGTGAACCATTACATCCCGCTAAAGCATCTGCTTCTGCTTCACCTTCAACGAATGTTTCACGTCTTAGTCAGGGTAATATATTTGATATGGATGTTTCAACAAGTTCACCATCTGCAACAACACCAGGACATACAGGTAAAGCACCAAAAAGGAAATGTGAGTTTAATCTTTACATTAAATAGATTAATTCTAATGAAAATCATCGTAGTAACTGAAACAGATAGATATGAACCATATGCATATAATAGTATGAAAAGACGAGCAGTTTCACCAAGTCTTGCGATTTCAGTTAGTCCATCAACGATAAATACTTCAAACGGTGGATCTAATAATAATAATAATAATAATAATAATACAACATGCACAAACTTTAAAACAAAAAGATCAAATAGTTCTCATCAACAAAATTCACGTTCATCAAGTCCACAATTAAGTTCAGTAGTCGCTGCAGCAAGTACACCAGGTAAAGGTAGTGGTATGGGATATGGTACCACAGCATTAGGATTAGCAGCAAGTTCAGGTGCAAAATGGGGAAATGATAACGTTATTGGTTTAAACACTAATGACAATGAGTCAGCATTAGAAACTGGTTCTTCGTATACATCAGAAGAAGCAATAAAATCACGTGGGGAAGGTGTAGATGGTATTTCACGTATGAGTTTAGGATAAAGAAATTAATGAACTTTCAATAATAACCGTTAGATTAATAATAATAGTAAAATTGTTTACAATAATGAAGAAGTAAAAACAGTCATACCATAATGTAATTAATGTTAAGTAAATGTAATTAAATTTCTGGAAATTGTTGATAATTCAAATGATTGGATGACTAATTGAATTTTGAAAGATATGAAAGCAAGAAAAATCTCTACTCCACTGATCCATGTGCATATACATGAGCAATTTGCGGAGTAGCTGCAGGTGAATTTGAACTATTGGTAAAAGGAATATTATTAAGTGTCGACGATGTATTGGTACTACCGTTAAGATGTTGTTGTAATTCTTTTTGATGTTTCTGTTGTGCTTGTCTTTGTTCTAAGGTTAGACCACCAAGTATAACAGCTTCATCGATGGATTTAAGCGCATCAGATTCATCCAGTGATTTATTATTAAGCGCATGTTCATAATGTATCCTTTCAATTTCTCCATCTGTAATTATACCATGTATCCATTCATGTTCAAGTAAATCTTTCGGTTGTACTCTCAATTCAGGGTTGATTTCTAACATTGGTAGTAAGAATGACGTCAAGGTTTCAGCTTCTTCTTTAGACATTAAATACTTCTCTCTTAAAACCCTATCCAATGGCCAATATCGTAATTTATGTATACGTCTTAATTCACCTCTCCTGTTGAATAAATCGAGGGAATATTTACCGTTAATAAATTCTTTTGGAATATTTCCCAATAATTCCATAATTTGCGCCATATGATCGTCATCTTTACCATACTTTGAACCAGCTTGAGGATCAAATAAGTAATCACCAGTGATTAACTCAAATATCATACAAGCTGTTGACCATAAATCGGCCGAAGGACCCCATTGTCCACCTAAAATTACTTCTGGGCACCTATATTGTCTAGTTTGTATATCATTCGTGAAATGATGATCAATCCAACAAGCATTACCTAAATCAGCAATTTTACATGCTAATCTTTCTAAACTTTCAGGATCATATGGTGCGGTTGGTATATCTTCTGATGTCGGACTATGTTGTTGTTGTTGTAAGTGTGGTGGTGCATGTGAAGGTCTTGGATCTTGTGGTAGTGATGTAGAAAATGGTGAATCTGATGCTATTTTCGTTGGTTCTCCAGGTTGTGGATTTTGATTTGTTAGTGTAGTTTGTGAGGTTGTGGGGATATTAGATGTACTATTATTTGCAGTATTTGCACTTGTACTTGGTTGTGAACTTGGAGCTTGTTGAGATAACAAAGAAGGTCCTTGTGGTTTTGGTGCTTTGGCAGTTGTCTTCTCGCCAAAGTAATTATCATCTTTGAATGGTTTAGCAAGTGGTGAAGATGCTTTATTCTCTAATTTCACACCTTTGAGATCTTGGCCAATGGTATCAGTAGCAGATGCAAAACCATTGTTAACTTGGGTTGATTTAAAGCTACTAGGTGATTGTCCAATACCAGGTACACCTGATATTTTCGACATACCAAAACTCCATTTATCCATCATTGGACTACCAACTAGAGAACTTGATGGAGAAGGAAGTGGTTGTGAACCTGTAATGAAGATACCTTCCCTTCTAGGAGTTTGAGCACCACCTCTACCTTGTGAAGGTGGTACACCGACCAATTTCGTTGGTACAGCTTGAGGGGTGTTCTCTAATTCAGCTCTAACGACTGCTTCAACGTCATCAATGCAAATTAAAACATTTTCAGGTTTTATATCGGTGTGTATGATACCGCATTTATTGTGCATGTAATCTAAACTGAGTAAAACCTGCTTTGCGACTTGTTTGACGATTGGTATAGGGACACCTCTATGTTGATAACGCTTAATCAAACCCAACAAGTTCTCACCTAAAACTTCAAAAACCATACATACGTGACTACCATTTGGACCTTTATGACGGAAGTGATCCAGTAAGAGAACGGAATGCCTCCGACCTGCATGACGAGGTTCAGAGCTGACGAGGCGTTGTAATAATTTTATCTCATCGAGTGCAGTCTCTGTGTAGTGTGGAGCGGATTTAACAATTTTGAGAGCAACGTGTTTGTTTGTTCTAATTTGTGTGATTAGATTGGCTATGCGAGAAATTAGTGAAATAAACTCACTTATGGTCTTTAGCTAACCAAACCTACTAAATGTTAGTGAATAATATAGCGAATAAGTCTGTCTTACCAAGGAAAAGTGTCCCCATCCAAGTTTACGGACGATGGTGTATCTACCATCAGCGAAAGTGTCACCAACTGCGGAGGTGTACATTTAGAGTGGCTAATACAGCTATCGAGTAAACTCACTCATCGTATGATGATAGCCACCTTTACAGTAATCCTCGAGATCTTCCTCTTCTATAGGACTGTGAGACAGAATGATAAATCAGGGGATAGGCTAACCTTCAGAGTTCACTGACTCTGAGTCACATGATTCGTAACTCCCGGATACTGATTGGTTATTGTATGACTGTACTTGCTGTGGGATAGCGCTCGACCTGCTTGGCAAATTCATTGAGATTGAACTGATTTAGTTAATACTAGCTTCTATGCTGTTTATATGGACATACGTGCTCGGATTATTCATCTTTGTTTTCTAGATTTTAATACTAAGATTTCTATAATGATGGTAATGAACCAAGTGTCGAGATCCTCACTTGAGCTCTTCTGGTGTATAGATTATAATTTAGGCGCTATAATACAACAATATTATAAAATCGTTCCACAAGGTATATCGACTACCTACTCATTTTCGGTATTCAATTCTGATTGGCTAATCCGGCCTCTTATCTATTTGACAAATCGAGAGATAAAATTCAAATGTTTATGACTTAAGTAATGTCAATGTATAATAAATGAATGAAGTTCCGTTTAGATAATTGCATTTTCACTTTCAAACTTTACTTCAACATCAATCAATCATATCTGAAACATTCCCCAGTTTTTACTGTAATTTCATTCGATTACTAATCATATCAAAATAGAAAGCACATTTTCATACATTTTATCTTATCCTTTAATTCTCTTGCACGTAATTACCTGGGAATACACCCTCACTGCCATTCAGTCGGCCGGTCCACCTAGAAAGTTACACGTAAGTTATGGCAGATGGTTGTTGAAAATTTCACTCACCAATCATTGGCTGAATCTGTACGTTGTACAACCTCAATTTGATCTCCAACTCTAAATCCAAGATCTCCTGGTGCCTGTGTGTTTTAACTCCATTAGCACCGATTACATCACAAGTTAAATCATAAACCTACCTGTGGTTCAAAATCATATAAAGCTGTAACTGTAGTACCTTTTGGTTTTGGTTTCATCGGTGGTGGCGGTGGTGGTCTTTTTGAGGCCGCAGATGCACTTGTTGATGCTTCATATGCCGGAGGCGCAGAGCTAAAAACCGATGAGGATCTACCCAAGCCTGATGGACCTGCAGGTGACTTTACATCTGCACCACTTGCGCTTCCCTCAGCCGATTGCTCTGATGTCTTCGATTTATTTCTCCTTATCTGGGCACCGAATTTACCAGTGGAAACTTAAATTAAAATAAGCAAAACATAAAATAAAATGTAAGAGCTTAACTTACGAGCCGTGAGTCGCTTCGTGAGATCTTCGACTTGCAAAGTAGCACCTTGATCGTTCGCGAGGTAAGCAGATTCAGCGTCACCAGAGCTAAGATCGTATTTGTCGCTAGCGAAGTTCTGAACCTTGTCTAAGATTACTGTGGGATTTTTAATTAGAGGTAATAAGCAGGTTATAGTTTTCCCTACGATAGTAAATATTGAGTCTTGTTTGTCGTTAGTTGTGCATCATATGAACGATAGAGTATACTCACTGCATGTAGTAGAATGAATGGAAGAGTGGTGTCATGAACTTCTGTGCCATGAAGAACAACTGTGGGAGCTCTGTCTTGAGCAAGTTGTTGTAATGCTCATACTCGGCTTGAGCATTTTCGAACTCATTTTCAAGCTGTTAACTATGAGTATGTGTCTATCAAGTAGACTAATATACCCACCTTGAAAAGGTTCTTCTCGTCACTCATACTCTTATCTTTCTTTTCACGGAGTTTAGAAAGCGAGTTGTTGAAGCGATCGAAATCAAGTAGCTATTGGGAGCGTTAACATGGCCGACACATTTTGAGTAATAGCCTACCTTATGATTGCGCTTTACGATTGTTTTGCGACAACGCTGGAGGAGTTCTTTGAATTCTTTAGCTGGGGTCATAACTCTACCCTCGATCAAGTCTAATTCAGGTGCAAGTGTATCTTTCAGCTCGGCCATCAAAACCTGATATAGAGTGATGTTGTTCAGTGTCAACTCAGATCTAGGGTTCTTTTTGTCGAGATCGACATCTTGTGAACCGCTGTTGTATGGTTTATTAGCTGGCTAAATAGCCACTATAATTTTAACCCACATTGGCTGGAAAATAGTTTCGAAAGCCTTACCGAAATCGGCACCTGATCTAAGCAAACCTGGTTGATATATTAATGAATAGTAAACTTCATACGCTATTACCCACCTTGTACAGAATCGCGGAATAAACGAGAATCTTTAACTAATCTGTCTGCACCCATTTCGATGATTTGCATCTGTGTAGATATTATGAGCTAATGACGAGTTTCTCAGTAATAAAACTAACTCTACGCTCAAATTCATCGAATTCTGCGTCACTTGTGGCTGGTCATCGTATGAATTACTATCTCTGTCGATCTCCTAGTATACCCACTCTGAGCACGACCGATTTTAGAGCTCATTTGGTGTGGAGCTCGTCTAATACTCTTTATCATTCCTTTCAGACTTTGTTAGCTATTTCTCTTTTCATCATACATTTATGATCCTCACCTTTCATCTTGATTAGTTGATAGTTACGGTGTAAGGTGCACAGCTTGAGTATGTTTGTTAAAATATATATGCCAACTCAAGGTAAAGGTTATATCTCTAGTATTTTATATTACAATCTACGGTACACTCCTAAATCGGTATTCGCATCAGACTTGGCATACTATGTTAAGTATCAGACATAAAAGATGGTATATAACTATATAAAAACTATGGCTTTAATTCTACAACTCACTATGACTATTCTCTATGACTTTGCTACTACCCTTTTTAAGTGGCTTGAATAGTATAGATAGCACAGTAGCGCCTTTATCATATACGCGCCTTTTTAGTACGAATAAGACGCAGAATGAGAAGAAAAGTATACTAGCGAATATTGCTAACTTATCGAGCATATTTCCCCTCTCGAGCTGCTTTAAGAGCACTTTAGAGTTATTGAGTAAGTCTGTGAAATTAAAATACTGATCAAGTGTTGTTGTAATCAAGTCACTACTCTCCTGCCACGTTTGGTGGTTCACTATTGACTGGTCAAGGTTCGCTTTCATCATTTGGGTGGTTTTTATGAGTGCATCCGTCACTTGATCTGTACTAGCATCTATCGAACTATTGTCCGCCTCATTATTTGGTTTTCTCGCTCTCTCGAAAAGTTCTGTGTTGTCTGCTGAATCTATCTTACGTTTTGACGATAATGCGGCTGATCTAAACTTTATTCTCAATCTGATATCGTTAGATGAAAGTTTGAGTGTTGTTATAGCACTTACAGCTGTAAACGCTCTTGTAATTTCTTAGATTCAACTTCAAGAGGTGTATCATCAGTATCGTATATGACTTCCTTTTGCACTATTAGATAATGCTTCATGTATACGGTGCTGACTCACATCCACCGATTGTTGTATCGTATTGAACTTATTCCTTATATTCGCTACGCTATCGTTGTGCACTTTGACTGTCGTAGCTGAGTCGAGTGACAAGAGATTAGGTATATCTACATGATCAATATCATCTAACTTTATATTTAATTGATTGATAGCATTCTCCATAATTCTAGATACTAGCGTGATGACGTCTGAAATCAAGAGTATTTATAATAAATTATTAGAAATATATTCTCAAAAACTACCAATATGGGTTATCAATTCATTAAAACTATTAAAATATTACCCTAAGACGCGTATGACGAGTATAACAACACATGACAGATCTCAGACATTCATCCTATTGAGCGAACAACCAAGTAATAAAGAATGACAAAGCTACACTACCTCTTATTATGTACAACCTACCACGATCCAGACGTTTGTGGATTCAATAGCTGGGTTAGTAGATTAGCCCCTTTGTTCACACGCTCAAAACTATATACAGAAGCGTCAATGGCAACTCCCTTGTGTATCCAGGATAGTGAGCACAGTTTATATACGTGTACAGCACCACTAATACACTATGCAGAATGAGAAAAAGAAGAGAGAGTATATCGACCTCATCATTCATGGCGTCGCCAGCGATTGGGTGAAGAGTTGCTTGAAGGACAAAGAAGGCAAGCTCTATAACCCAGGTAGGATACTTATACTCTCTATTATATCCCTCCTAACCATCCCAGAATGTCTCCAAGTCGAAGGACCACCGCTCGTGACGAACTCTGCGCCAGACGGTAACTACATCCCACTCGTAAAGGTCGACGACCGCATTGAATTACGTGCGTATAATCCACACTAGCGATTTGTCTAACTAAGACAGTTTCGGCACAACCAATCGAGGGCGGCTCAAAGAAGCAGAGGAAGCTCAGTAAACAGGGTCTAAAGTGATTCAGCTGACCGTCTATCATTACTTTACGATTGTAAGACTGTACGAACCGTTAAGTTTTGTAACGAAACGAAATGAATAATCTTCCATAATGAAATGATGCTTTTACATGGTCTGCTTAAGACGCTTATTAATAGCCACTTCAGATTTCGGACTTGGGGGTTGCTCGTAGTCACTTTGGTTGTGCTTCGGATCAACACTGTCCATTTGCGCCTGCGCGTGGACACCATTATCATTCATATTGAGGTCAAACTCGTGAAGGCTTTGCTTGAGATTTGAATGCGTGTGTACTGCATTATTATGCCTCATAGAGCGGGCATGCGTCGTTGATACAGTCTTCCTGAATGTATTGTTGAGATCTGATGGTGTACAGGTACCACTACCAGGCGTTAATGGTGTTGCTGGATTGCTTGGTCGTCTGTTGACGCGTTTGTTCCACCATCTACCCAATACGCGCTTTACCCATGGGTCAATACCCAAATACTATGCTTACTTTTAGTTACAATGACGAATCTAATGAGTTAAATCTCACCTCACTATTTTGTACTAGACCCTCCCACTTTACAGCGTGCCAGTCAAGGTGGCTCTCTAAGAAAGGACCGTGGCCACAATAGAGCGCTTGAACGAGGTACAGGAAAGCATATGGATCTGGGAGAGGAAGGTATATAGCACCACTAGAAGGTAATATACGCGGAACGGTTGTTGATCTAGCATTATTTTCTTTTTGAAGTTCGTGCAATGTCTTACGAGTATCCGCGACAACAGTTTCAGTTTTTACTTGAATACTTCTAGTATCTGCTTGATTATTAAAACAATCCATGATGTCCAACTTCTCACAAATCGTTTTAAACATATTAGACTGTGTTACGAGAAAGTCCTTATGGAGATATAAGACCAACAGACGCGATTGTGATGGCGAAGGATCCTCTTCAATATTATGAGTTGGTCTTAGTAAACTGCCACTGCCAGCTTCGCTTACAACTGATGGAGTCCTGCTGGGTTTCACAGTACTCATGCTTGCGAAACTTGCTCGGGGTGTTTGGCTATCGTGAGACACTGGAGGCCAAAACATAGTATAATCATCTAAAAAATCTGGGCTTGAGATGTCATAGTTGAATTTAGTACCTATACCAGCTGTAGCTGCCATCGATACCTCCGATGAGCGTCGTCTAGCGCTAAATGGAGTGTGAACATCAAGGAGATTGGTGAATGAGCGAGATCTCTTCACAGATGTGCTTTTGTCATCAAATGGTAAGACTATGGGTGTATACTTAGAATAGAATTTGGTGCTGTTAGCATTACCTACCAACTACACAATCAGAGGTATCGTATTTCTCCCAGTATTTTAACGCAGTGGAGTGCAAATGTTCTAACTCCTTGTTGTGTTCTATAGTCGCAGATTGCAATCCGGGCGTTGGTTGGAGGTACCCAGTTGGTGGTCCGCTAGAGTTTGTTGGCTGTAAATGTAGTGCTGCAGGGCGTTTACGTTCAAAACTACTCATGTTTGTTTATATAAAAAGTTAATATTCATCTTTGTCACATTTATTTTAGAGAACAATGAACTTTAAGCAGGAACGAAATCGTCAGCGAGGGTCCCTCAGTAATTTGTAAATTTTTATGGTTGAGATCGTAGCGACAGTAAATGCTGTTAAAATCGTGTAATTCTTCAGCTTCTTGTCCCTCTTCTTTGTTATTTCCTCTGCGTCAGCATACGATATATCTGGGCGGAATGTGACCAGCTCGTATAGACTCATCCAGCCGCTATTAGCAGCCGTTGGGAATGTAGTACGAGCTAAAATGTTAGCTGATGGCACGGAAGGTGGTCGGAAAACTTTATTGAGCACCCCATCTATCTGTTTTCTAAGTAAATAAATAGGGTTTATCACTTTAGATCTCATCTCCACACTGTATTTGAGGATGAGTTGTGAGTAGACACATACCAGAGACCACTTACTAGTTGCCCATTGCGAGATTTACTATACTCTTCAGATCACGCTCTCTTTCTTCACTATATCTATTCAATGAATTCAAAAGTGATTCATGTTTTACTTTCTTGCTGCTACTAACACCCTCACTATCCATCAAGGATAACAATACTCTGACGTCCTCAAAACCAGCATTCATGCCTTGTCCATAGAATGGAACCATCGAGTGTGCTGCATCGCCTAGTACAACTGCACGATCTTTGTAGTGATAAGGTGAGCACTATTGGATGTTAAAGGAGTTGCGTAGTAGTTTGGACACCAACCTTGATTGTGACAAGAGATCCTTTTGGATTATTGATGTAGTCCTCCGCTGCGCTCTCCTCACCCATAAGTTTGAGTGCGTCTGGGAAATCCTGACGGAAGAATTGGATGAAATTGTCCTTATTATCAGCCAGCTCGGTGAATTTCTCAAACGGAGCAAACAAGGTGCAAGTGAATGAGTGATCCTTGAAAGATGTCAGCGAGGAATATAAAATGCAAACAAACAAACCTGATTTGGGAGTGCAATAAGCATGAACGACTGACGAGGCCAAATGTGTAAATGATTTGGATCTAATAAGAAGCTGGGTTCGCCAGTCTCTGGATCGATTGGTCCAGGTGGTATAGAGAGTTCTAAGTAAGCATGTGGGATGTACTCTTGGGCATAATTCATTCTTGAGAAGGTCAGAATGAACAATCTTACTCAAATGTGTCCACACCTTATAACTCTCATTAATTGATTGCGTACTACTGAGTGCGCACCATCTGCGCCGATCATGAAATCCCATCTGTTATCAGACTGCAAACCTTCTGTGGTTTCGTAAGATAACTCGCGTTCGTCGAAGTTGACAGCACGTATTTTAGACTTAAACTTAAAAGATACGTTTGGAATGCTTTCAGCTTCACTTATGAGTGCATTGTTTAGTTTCTGTCTATCAATTGCGTAAATACACTAGTGAGATATGAGATATGACGCATGAATTGAACACATAACCCACTTCTCCTTTATTGCTGTATAACTGGCTATCTAAGCTACCGTCTGTAATATGTATCATGCGTCCTTTCATCGGTATCGTTGCATTCGTCACGAGATTGTGATAGAGATTACCATTCTCACCGTCTATGGCTTTGATAGTTGTAAGTGCTCTGGAAGATATCGCAAGGTTGATAGAGCGTCTAGATAGTTTCTCCATCTGTGAAGGTGATCTAGGATCTTCTCTGTTGTTAGATAAGCTGATAACCGAAGATTAACAAACCATCTCTGCTCTCGTATACAAGGACATTCCAGCCTTTGTTAGCGAAGCCAATTGCTGCTATACAGCCCACTAAACCCGCACCTGAAATCACAACTGTACGACTATCGCTGGCAGAGTTCATGGAAGGAAATGAAGAGAAAATAATAAATTAGATGTATATTTTAATAATTCATATTAAATAGTAGATATATACATTATATTAACTCCTTCGAGAAGCTTCTCCAACTCACCAAAAGTCTTCGCTGCTCTCTTCAGAGGAACCGTCAACGTCGTCTATTGTGAGTGAAATAAGGCTGATTTAATAGAGATATACTATTTTATCAGTCCACTTTCTTATCCCCAGATGCTGACCAAATGTTCTACAGACTTCTACGACTTTACGAGCAGTTTAAGTAAATTTCTTCGTTGATCTCTGACATCCATCATCTAATATTTATTATAGAAAATGTCACAAACTACTCACCAATTCCAAGCTGAAATCTCACAGCTTCTTGATTTGATTATCAACACTTTCTACTCAAACAAGGAAATTTTCCTTCGTGAATTGATCTCCAACTCTTCAGATGCACTCGACAAGATCCGTTACTCATCCCTTACTGACCCTTCAGTCCTCGACTCACAAAAGGACATGTTCATCAGACTCACTCCAATCAAGGACCAAAAGTGCTTGATCATCCGTGATTCTGGTGTTGGTATGACAAAGGCTGATTTGGTTAACAACTTGGGTACCATCGCAAAGTCAGGTACTAAGGCTTTCATGGAAGCTCTCTCAGCTGGTGCTGACGTTTCTATGATTGGTCAATTCGGTGTTGGTTTCTACTCAGCTTACCTTGTCGCTGAAAAGGTTGAAGTCATCACCAAGCACAACGATGATGAGCAATACATTTGGGAGTCATCTGCTGGTGGTACTTTCACCATCACTCAAGACACCACCAACCCACCACTCGGCCGTGGTACTGAAATGCGTTTGTACTTGAAGGAAGACCAACTCGAATACCTCGAGGAGAAGCGTATCAAGGAAGTTGTTAAGAAGCACTCAGAGTTCATCTCATACCCAATCCAACTTCTCGTCGAAAAGGAAGTTGAAAAGGAGGTCGAAGACGAGTCAGCTGAAGCAAAGACCGAAGACGACAAGCCAAAGATCGAGGAAGTCGAAGATGAAGACGCTAAGAAGGAAAAGAAGACTAAGACAGTCAAGGAAACCGTCAAGGAAGAGGAAGAGCTTAACAAGACCAAGCCAATCTGGACCCGCAACCCACAAGACATCTCCAACGAGGACTACGCCTCATTCTACAAGTCTCTCACCAACGACTGGGAAGACCACTGCAGCGTCAAGCACTTCTCCGTTGAAGGTCAACTTGAATTCAAGGCCCTCCTTTACGTTCCAAAGCGTGCTCCATTCGACCTCTTCGAAACCAAGAAGAAGCGTAACAACATCAAGCTCTACGTTCGTCGTGTCTTCATTATGGACGATTGTGAAGATCTTATCCCAGAATACCTTAACTTCATCAAGGGTGGGTGCTAATATTTTTTCTCGGTATCATTACTAACGTACATCCAGGTATCGTTGACTCTGAAGATCTCCCATTAAACATCTCCCGTGAGACTCTTCAACAAAACAAGATCCTCAAGGTCATCCGTAAGAACATTGTCAAGAAGTGTCTTGAAGCCTTCTCAGAAATTGCTGAGGACAAGGAGAACTTCGCCAAGTTCTACGAAGCCTTCGGCAAGAACATCAAGCTCGGTATCCACGAAGATGCTCAAAACCGTGCTAAGCTCGCTGAATTCCTCAGATTCCACTCAACCAAGTCAGGTGAAGAGCAAACCAGCTTGAAGGACTACATTACCCGTATGCCAGAAGTCCAAAAGAACATCTACTACCTCACTGGTGAATCACTCTCATCAGTTAAGGACTCACCATTCTTGGAAGTTCTCAAGAAGAAGGGCTTCGAAGTTCTTCTCATGGTTGACCCAATTGACGAATACGCTGTCACTCAACTCAAGGAATTCGAGGGCCGTAAGATGGTCTGTGTTTCTAAGGAAGGCCTTGAACTTGAAGAAACTGAAGAGGAGAAGGCTAAGCGTGAGCAAGAAGCCAAGGACTACGAAGACCTCTGTAAGTCAGTTAAGGAAGCTCTTGGTGACAAGGTCGAAAAGGTTGTTGTCTCAAACAGAATCCAAGACTCACCAATGGTTCTCGTTACCTCAAACTTCGGTTGGTCAGCTAACTTCGAGAGAATCATGAAGGCACAAGCTTTACGTGATGCTTCAATGTCAGCATACATGGCTTCAAAGAAGACTCTTGAAATTAACCCACAAAACTCAATCATTCAAGAACTCAAGCGTAAGGTTCAAGAAGACTCAGCTGACAAGACTGTCCGTGACCTCACCTTCCTCTTGTTCGAAACCGCTTTACTTACCTCTGGTTTCACCCTTGATGACCCAACCTCATTCGCTAAGCGTATTAACAGAATGGTTTCACTTGGTCTTTCAATTGACGAAACTGAAGCTGTTCCAGCTGCTACTGAGAACAAGGATGACGTTCCTCCACTCGAAGGTGAAGGTGCTGGTGCAATGGAAGAAATTGACTAAATTAATGCTCGCATATAACTTTTCTTTACTTCGTTTTAGGTGTATTTCTCATAAAATGACTTTTTAAATAGCTTATTGTTTGTGATTTTAAGTAGTTTTTTGTTGTGGGAGTGACGCAAAATATGTATTTTTAAAAGAAAGACCGCTCTGCGGGTATATATGAAACAAAAAAAAGTTCGTAGTAGAGTAAAAAGATATTAAAGAAATCCAATTGTCATATTATTCGGTCAGTATTATTCAGCTAGTCTTTTCGCTAAATATCGCGCAAAAATATTTAGTGTTGAGCAGCGTGGTGACGACGACGCTTAGCGTTGGTACCACCATTGTTTGAGGCACCAGCATAGAGTACTGGACCAACCTTGTTGATATCGTATACGAAACCGTCTTGGTAGATATCAACTTGCTCTGAGTCCCAGTTGTAAAGTTGACCAGCAGGTGTGAGAGCTGGGAAAGGTGATCCGTTTGGAGTTGTTGATGTCAAGTCCAATTGAATACAAGCTGGGTAGTGTTGAGGAGCATTTACCTATCGTTGTCGTTAGATCGAGTAAACTAGTATGAAAATTTTCTCACCTCGTGGTAAGAAATGTGCTCAACTCTGAGTAAGTATTGACCAGCTGGAATGTCACCAGGAAGTTGCATAACAATCCATGAGCCTTCATCGACCATTGACTTGGTAGCACCCCAGAGACCGTTGCCATTTGAGGTACCGTATGGCATGTGGTCAATCCAACCTTGCTCATTTGGAACAGTCATGTCATGGCCGTCTTGGTAGATCTTGAAGAAGTTGGCGTTAGATGAGTCGAATGTGGTACAGTCGTTGTTATCACATGGAGCCAAATAACCAAAGACAGCACCCTCTGGGTGTGGCCATGATGTTCCATCTGGACCGGCACTACCTTTCCAGTGAACGTTGACGTATGAACCAGCTTGTGTAGTGACGACGGTTGGACTGCACCGATTAGCTTTGATAAACAAAGATGGAAAAACTTACGTTGGGGATTGTCCAGCCAAACCACATGAGATCAATGATGGGTTGTAAATATCGTCACCGCCAACATATCCAGTGTTAGCTGGGAATTGTCTAACTGCTGAGTTTTGGTTTGCTGCTGAAGCCCAATTGTCGGCACCCTGGTAATCTTGGTAGTTGGCGCTGAAAACGTCAACTGTACCATGAGCAGCTGCAGCTGCAATCATTGAAGCAACAAAAGCGATTGTAGATGATTTGAATAACATTCTAGTTTATAATTCTAATATACCTGTATTAGCGAGTGTGGAGGCTTAAAACCTAATGAGTGTGGTAGGCGGTCTAAAGGTGTTGGGTTTAGGTCGTCGTTGTTTTACTCCAAGACTGATTAGTCGCTAATACCGCGCCAGAGGCCCATGCGTAAGTTAGGCACGCGAGCTATTATAAGATGGCGAGAACAACTTCCCTTAAAAGGAAGCGGAATGCATTTTTTTACAGCTTATATATCGTGTTTACTATTTTTGGTGCTTTTTTAAATTCTAAGACAATTTATCCCCATTACGCGTCCTCGTAAGTCAAATCATATGTGTAACTGATTATCCGGACCCTGATAGATTTGCCTCAACATAGCTTTTATGTGTATTCTAGAATATTGCAAATTGTTTGGCATGGATATGCGCGTTATAGCTAAGATTTTACGCTAAATTTGGCTAAATTTAGAACCATCTTTCGATAATCGTTCTATTCACGTCCGCACAACTATTTTAGTATCATGTGCATTAGTGCCGTCCACAGGATGACTTATCATATCATTTTGCAAAGAGAAATTTTAAAGCCAACTCCACTCACTATACTTGAGTCATTAGTAGTTTTATGGCTTTTCGGAGTGTTCAGTAGCGACACTCGGATTTGATCTCTGAGGATGTGATATGTGATTGTGGTTATCTCCGAGATGTTTAGAGATTGCACTATACATGTAGGCTCCATATGATATTCCTGTTTACTTGGAGCATTACAAAAGTCTGCAGGTAACGATAATATGAAAAGCCTTGGATAGTCAGTAACATTACATTATACCTTATTTGAATTTAGAACCATATCTATATTCTTTACCACCTTAGTAATTCGCTGGCCTTTGTTCTGTTCTTACCTCAGGGAAAGGAAGAAAAATAGTACATAAGAATGTGAAGAGAGTCAGAAGATAATGAGAATACACAAGGCTTCCGAGCACACTTTTCACCTTCTATTTAGCTATGTCAACTGAAATTTTAGATTATGTAACGGCTAAGATGATCTTACTAGGAAATCGAAGTGAAGTGTGTATGAATCTTCTTCTATGTGTTATAAGGTATTAATTGATTGGTCATGATATTGCTTCTGCTTTAATCTCAATGTATTATTATCGTGTATATGATATAATGGAATAATGATGAATGATAAAGGGGCTTTTTAAAGGACTACATCAGATTCTTGATCATACATTAGATTAAAACTATAGCTGCGATGATTTATTTTATGTAATGTTTCAGCAAGACGTTATGTTATGTATTCCTGTGAGCGTGTCTATCATTAAATATATTTGATGTTGACTGTACGAAAGACATAATAATAGGAAGCTTGAACATAAGCGTATGGATCTATTTCTCAATGAAAGTGATTGTTCTAGGCATTAGCGAAGCATGATATCACTGTTCATTCGACAATTGCCTTGGACCCCCATATACAGCCATTCATCAAGGATTCGAATAAGATATGGGGTAGTGAATTACTTCAAATTAGCTTGAATCGAATGAAAAAGAAGGTCCTCAAGTATCGTGACCATGTTCTGGTTACGTTAGTGCCTATTGACTTCAGTGCATGGGTGTTATGAGCACTCCCACAGCGGAGCAATTCTAGCAATGGCGCAGGATTCCCCAAACTGGTACTATTTTCAACGTTTCATTTCATACGTGCTTGTTAGAAGAGCTACTAATTTCCTATTGGTCTAGAAGTGACGTCACTGAGGAGATGTCTTGGTAAAATGTGTTTCAAGTATTAATTAAGAATCGTAAATATTATTCTGTAAACTAAGCCTATCCAAACAAGCCCCTCAAACACCTTGGATGTAAGTGGAATTAAGATGAATACTACATATTACAAAACTCCATTCAACTAATCATTATGAAACCTTGAGATATTGGAAAGTGATATTGCAATCTTAGGAGTAACTACTTAAAAAGAGCAATATCCTGTATATGTTTACCAGTATTGACATTTGCTCTTGTTCCAGTGAAGATCAAGGCAGTTGTTTCCAAAATCACAGCCTGCCTGAGGTCCTTTATAGAGACACATACTGTTAGTACTTGCGTTGCTGTCATAAAGACAGTCATGTCCAGCTACACTGATACCATCATCAGTAGTACATTTATCGATGATTTTTTGTAACCTATCAGCTCTTTCTTTACCCGAAAATGTGGCACCACTTGATTCCCAGATAGTATCACCATTTTCAAACCAATGGTGCTCACCATCTACTTTTCCTGCCTTTAAGTCCTTGACTAATTGTTTTGCTTCACTAGCCAAGGTGTAGTACTTGGTGTCACAACATACCTCTGGTGTACCATGTATGTCAAAAGCTAATACTGAAGAAATAGCAATTGTCATAAGTGTAAGTGTTTTTGTTATTGGAGTCATTGGATGTTTGAATATGTATTGAAAGAGAACTAGCTAATTGGGATATTTATTTAATTCCTGGCGCCACAGCATTGGAAAATTTCCGACAACGTGATCTCATGTTAAAGTTCCGATACTTTGTTTTGCTGTGTTTCATGCAAGGTACAAATTGGAATAATTTGATACAGATGACACAAACAAAATATTTGATTAGTCTACTAGAATAAACCATACATATATTTAGCTAAATTATAGGAGTCATCAATGTGTGATCTTCTGATAAAGCTCAACATAATACGCTGTGCACATTTATTCCGAGAAGATATCAACAGACATGATTTTTTGATATGTATTGGATATTCGTAAAAAAAAAACTCTATGAACCTAATTGTCCTTTTTCTCCTGTAAAGTAAATGTTTGCGATACATAGTCACCGATGTGGTATTTTAAAAAGTCCCGCATAACAAAATATACTGAATAAATTAATCATGTATGTACATGAATTATTGCAACGTATCAAAAACGAAAGTCAGGTAAATTAAAAAAACAAAACAAAAATAATCCGTCAGGAACAGGATTCGAACCTGCGCACCACATGGGTATTTGATACCTTTAAGTTCAGTGAACTATTCGAGTCAAACGCCTTAACCACTCGGCCATCCTGACATGAAATGAGAGCTATTCTTTGCATTATACTATTCAAGACGTCACAATTAACATTTCATCGAAAATTTCAAAATTTTTCATATTCTCGTGATTAAGGAACTCCAGAAGCTTATTGTTATCAAGAACAGTCAAGAGGACATAGGTTAGCAGAACATTATACAATATTAATCAGGAAAAGCTTTTAGTTAATTGGACATTCCCTCTGGATCCTCGTAATATGGGGCAGATTGATAGATGCAGTTAGACTTTGTATCTTATTGATAGGTTTCGAATTCGTCGTTATCTTAATTTCATCTCATTATTGCTATGAATTGTAAACATGTTTGATAGTTGTTAAAAAGGTCATTGTCCACCTGAAATATTGATCACTTACATGTATTTTGCATTGAATCATTGTTCTCGCTTTCTCTCCTTCTCTCCTCATTTAAGACCATCATTATGTATGAATGTTCCATCTGGCATCACAGATCATCGTAAATATGGTAAACATTGTCATAGGTGTGTATTCGTCTCATACTGACGGTTCGTGTTATTCCAAAGATGTAATCTACATGGATCAAGATTGTCTACTTTTCTATCTCCTTTTAAAATTTACCATTTTAATTTCGGCGTTAGAACCTTCACGATATTGGGTAGCACAACAACTGAGGCACCCCTTCTTTTCAGGTAACTCAGAGGTTTATCAACCTAAAGCTAGTTTCATATTCAGCGGTTGCGGCACGAGCCCCTCAATTTATTTATACACCCCTTGCGACCAGTACGCTGGATGCATCATATGAGGGAGTGTCATCGTTTTATATTTGTTCCAACTGGCAGTAACATATATATTTAATTGTATTAATAATGTGTAACGGGTGGTTATACTTGGAGCTGCTGAAGAGATGTTAGGAATTGCATCATACCAGAGTCTAGGTGCTTGACCATATGTAAATTATAGTAATCAGGGATGTATTCTGGTTCAACGCGTTCGCATAACTCTAAATGGGTTATATTGCTTCATAATAACGCGTTTAGTCCCTGCTTCTCTTAGAACTGCTTCAAAGACCCATAGAAATTCAGGTACAGCGCTGAGCATACATAGTCTATTAGTTGTTATGCGCAAGAATAAAGGTAGGAACAAGATATCAGTTAGGCACAAGCGGTCTGTGAAGACTATATAAGGAGACGTATTTTATACAAAAACATCATCGATAGTAAAACATATACTAACATTGCCAATAACAGCAACTATTTAAGCCCAATCTTTTTCCTAGAGGGTTGGAGGGCTGGTATTGACTGGAGTCTTCCGTTCCGCCTGTCCCGAAGGTATGCTTATACTTCCTATATAAGTAACAAAGGTATATATATTCCCATATTCCTGAGAGCTAAAATCAGAAAGACTATTTGGAAGATTGTGAATAAATCAGCGTCATTGTAATTTGTTCTCCAGAAGAGGTCCTCCTGAGCTTGAGAACAATATATGATTGCAATGTTTGTATCAAAAGTACTAGAGTCAAAAATATAAGACATAACATGAAAAGTCACGAAATATCTGTCAAATTTATTACTTATTTAGTTCTTTACCTTTCTGTTTATTGATTTATTCGATAATGTCGCTCTATTTCTGTTTAGTGGAGGAAATTTTATAAAGTGGCTGTATTAATTGTAAATGCTTGTTCTGTATTTGTTCATATTTAACTCAGTTTTTGTACTAAAGTCAGATAATTATATTTATTGATTGAACCAATAACATAAGAAGAATACCCATGTATAACGTTTAGACAGTCTAGAAGGGAAGGGAAAAAAGAGATATAATACAATAGAATATAAAGTAGAAAAATCGTGTTTGTACATCGAGATGGTTGAGTCAGTGTATGAGATTAGAAGCAACGCAATTTGCTCTCTATTAATAAAATTAAATGTGCCAAGTCTCAAAACAAACCACTTACTTCTCTTTTGCATATCTTCTACACGTTGCTCAAGTTGAGCTCTAGCTCTATCCCTTTGGGCCCTCTCTTGGTCAAGTTTCATAGCAGATTGTCTCCTCTCTTCAACAACACTATTACGAGTGCTGTCTATTTCTTGCTGCTTCGAATCTATCTCTTGACGAAGTTTGTTGACTTCACTGGTAGCAACGTCGCGATCTTTTACGAGATCGTTCATGTTAACGCGTGCTTTCCTGAGTGACCTTTCAGAATCTGTTATGTGTAAGCTTATTATCAGTCGTAACTACCAATACTCACCCATCAAGGCATTCTCGAGAGTTTGTACTAAATCGATATTAGCTTGAAGATCAGCTTCACAATGATCAAGCTGCTTTGTGAGCGTCTTAATCTGCTGCTCAGCCTCTTCCAGCTGCTTGTTCGTATCAGGGTACATATCAGATTGTGAACGCATGCTAGTTGCACTTTCTGGACGTGATGAGGACGACTGCCTTTGTTTTCCATTTTGAGGTGGTGGTGGTGGCGGAATCGACGGTGGTGGTGTAGGTGGAGGTACATTCGAACCTCCTGAGTTACCACGGGAAAGACGTGGGGATTTAGGAGCAGCATCAATCAACACCGGTGACTGTAACTCATTGTCTTTAACTCTAACAGTCTCGTAATCCCTAAGAGCACTCTCTAAACGAAGCTTCTCCTGTGTTAGTTCTGATATTTCCTCCTTCGATCTTGTCAACTCGAGCTGCTGATACTCATAAGAATTGTTGCGAGTTTCGTAGTCATTGACGCGATTCTGGAGATTGTCTCTGTCTAAGCATGCACTTTCCATAGTCTTCTCCAACTCTTTCATCGTTTCAAGCGCTTTGGCGAACTCCTTCTGATCTGATTCAGATTTCTGTTTTTGGGTTTCCAATTGAGCTTTCAACATGGATGTTTCATCATAGCCACCACCACTTTCATAACGCTTAGTAGCGAGCTCGTCTCTCTCCATCTCCACGCCTGAGAGTGTTTCTTTGAGTTTGCTATTCTCAACTTCGTGTCCTTGTAAGTGACCCTTAACGCGTAATAATTCCTCTTCAAGCGCGCGAAGTTTGCTTGTGTGTCCTTCCTCTAATTCCTGTCTAACACCATCACGTGTGTTGCTGACATTCTCATCATGTTCAAGCTTGAGGTTTCCAATAGTTTTTGCATGTTCGTCATGTAACTCCCTTTGAGCATCACTAGCCAGAGTAGATGCTCTTTCAACCTCTTCTTTGTGTTTTCTACGTATGTCATTAATATTCTCTTCATGATTAGATGCCATTTTGTTCTTAACCTCTTCAATCTCCTTGATGAGAGTTTCATTAGATGATTTCAGTACATTCACTACTTGCTCATATTCCTTCTTGATTCCCTCAAGGGAGCTTTCGTGAGATATCTTTATTTTTTCAATGACGTTGTTACGTTCAACTTCCTTTTCTTCAGTTTTTTCACCATCATTCTTAATCTCGTTGATAGTTTTCTCATATTCCAAGTTGTTATTGTAGATCACTTCTTCATGCTGAGCTTTCAAGCTTGCGAGCTCAATTAAGTGAGAATCTGTAAGTGTTTTCTTAGCTGTGATAAACTCTTTCTCATTTTCTTCAAGTTGTTCCTCTAATTTCTTGAGCTCCTCTTCACGCTCGTCAAGCTTGTTCCTATATGCTTCAACCTCCATCGACATGTTCGTGATTTGTATCTTGGTGAGTGACTTGAGATCTTCATTCTGACGTTTTTCAAGCTCGTAAGATGATTTCAATCTTTCAATATGTTCGCTGTGAGCAGATTCCTTGATTGCCATTGAGCTAGTCATATAATTAGATTTATATGTGATATAATCGGAGAGCACCCACCTCATTAGTTCATTGTAACGTGATATATGCTCCTCTTTAATATCAACAGCCTTAGCGTCATCTTTTTCATCACCTTTAGCACTCTTTTCAGCGTCAGCAGTTCTTAATTGAGGTATTTCCTTCTCGAGAATGTTAATCTCATCATCTCTATCCTTGAGCGTCTTTTGTAATGTCTGAATTTCTCTTTCCAAACTCTCAACTGATCTAGTAGGTTGTTGTACTTGTAAATTATTCAAGCTCAAGCGAGGACTGACACCCCCTGGTGAAGGAGGACCTGCCCAACTCGAACGCGATCGACGATGTGAGGACAAGTCCTGTGATAATAATAAAGAAGGTGTACGCACGTGTCCATTCTGATGATTTATTCCTGTTCCTGTTGGTGTTGATGGTTGGTGAGTCGTTATTGGGGTTGTTGGACTTGTCCCTCCTGGCGATGTTGCCAGGGGCTGTCGACCAAAAAAAGCCGAAGTTCTGGCCAAATTGGTTGGTGATTGAAGGTTTTGCATTGAATTTCTACGTGGTATATTCAAACTATTCCTTCTACCATCTTTAGTTGAGTTTGATTGAAGAGCAATACCACCTGATTCAAATGATAACTTTCTTCTCAGTTTACCAGTGGATTGGTCAACTATATGGGTAGTAGGTTGTGGACCAGTTGCAATCACTCCATCCTCATTCATACCCATAACTTTGTTCTCCTCTATATGACCAGTCAATTCACCAATCTCTTTCAAAGCGTCACGGTATCTTGATTGAACAGATTCCAACTCATTGAGAGTCTTTTTGTGCATAAGTTGTATCTTCTGTAACTCTCCTCTCAATTCAATCAACTCTGATTGAATGATCTGTTCATTCTTCGATTCGTGTTGCTCAGGTGTATTTGGAGGGGTTATCTCCCTAACACCGTTAGTGTTGACCTTTCCACCTTCCAACTTGAGAGCTGTAGCAAGCTTGCTCTTCTCAGACTCTACCTCTTCGAGGCGCTTGATAGCTTCATTTCTGGCGGCGCCTTCCTGCTCAGCGCTCTTCTTGAGTGACTCAGACTCTTCGAGTATCTTCACCCTTTCTGTCATAAGTTCACCTAATCTGGTTTCAAGGTGGGTATGTTTGGAGTTACCCTCGTCAATTGCAGTGAGGAGAGCGTTCTTGTCATCACTATCGTTGTACAAGTTGAGACGCTCTTTAAGTTGCTCAAGTTGCTCATCACGTTCACGAGCATCCTTTTCGAGTTTCTCGATTTGTGAAACAAGCTCAACATTCACTTGCTCAGCGTTGCTCAATTTGCTCTCTAAGTCACGGATGTATTGCTCATTCTTTGATTCCATTTCACGATGCTTGGTAAGGTCCTTTCGAACATCAATCAAAGCAGCAGCAGAGTTATCATCGCCATCTGTCAATGACTTCAATTGACCTTCCAAATCTTTGACATACGCCTCAGTAGTTGACTCTCTTGTCAACAACTTTTGTAATCTTGCATGTAAATCCTCAATTACGGTGGTATTCTTTGATTCCTTTTCGACGAGTTCATCAAACTCATTCTCTCTTTCAGTGTAAACCATATTGGTATGATTAACCGCAGCTTTAGTAAGCTTGAGTTCTGATTCTAAGGTATTGATTGTACGTTCATATTCCTCAATGACTGGTGCGACCATTTCAGCGAAAGAGCTGGCCTTCTGTTGAACATTTTGTGACCCCTCAGACTGAGCATTTGATAATTGCATTCTTAATCTCTCTAATTCTGAGGTAGACTCTTCGTATTTATTTTCTAAATTTTCAACTTCTTCTTTAGATTTAACATCATCGAGTGAACTTGAGAGTGGTATTTTACCAGATTTTAAAGCATTAACATCTTTTCTTAACTTTGTTACGGTATTCTGAAGCCATTCTATATTTTCCCAACCGGCTTCAACTTGATTTACTTCAGCTTTGTTTTTGATATTTCTTGCTCTGTTTGCATATTTGAGCGTATTTATAGTTTCATTAGTATTGTATTCTGCTGGACTGACACATGCAATCATCGCGGTTTGGGCATTACCTCCTAGACTGTCTTGTAAAAGTCGCGTGAGTTTTGAATCTCTATATGGTATATAAGTTTTTGCTCTTGCTTTTGAAGGGTCGCCTAATGCACTAATAACATTACCAAGAGCTAAAAGACCAGAGTTGATTGAAATTGCTTCACTAGCTCTAGCACCTTGAGCAGCCGTTCTCTTTAATCTCTCAGAACCGGCCAAATCGACAAAATGGAACTTAGAAGTGATCGTCACGTAATTCTCATCATCGTCATCATCATCTACCCGTTTACCGAATGATGGTGATGGTGATCTTGCTCCCAAACTTGACGGTGGTCGTAAACCAGATTTGAAGGAAGTAGGTGTAGAAGGTCTGCCGAATGTAGGTGAAGTGACTCTCTGGGCTATACCTGATACAGGCCTTAAACGTGGGGTAGAAGGCGCTGCTGGTGGAGTTCCTGGACCGACATATTTCTTTTGGGTCAACGTTAAGGAGAAGATAGCGTGACTACGTGAAGATTGCGCATTCATTTCAGTCTCGTTGGTTTGACGGACATTTGAACCCTGACGCAAGTTCTTGAGTACGTCCGTTGAGCTATTTACTTGTGGTTCTCTAAGACCTGACCAGATGATGGTACCATTGCTGGCTTCTCTAATAGTCACCGGGGTCTTTTCTATACCACTGCCATAGCTGGTTTTGTCTGCGCCCAATAAATCGATAAGATCCTCATTGTAGATCTCAACGAAGGAGTTCTTGATTGAGTAGTCGACTGTTTTTGCATCGAGGGAGCGGAATATTTGATTGACAGCTCTAGGGACAATACCGGTTGTGTGTGATATCGTGGTATCTTGATTATCATCAGAAATGCTTGTACCCACTGCGGGAATGTTTAAGAAGCGAAATAAGGTTGTCTCAGAAACTCACTGGTATAGGATTTACCTGAACTTGTCTGACCGTAGGCCAAAACTGTTACGTTATAGCCGTCTATGAAACTTTCGACTAATTTCTCTACGTTATCGTTATAAACGACGTCCTGCGTATCAGAGGGTCCGTGTACTCTATCAAAAGAGAAGCTAGAACCGTCTATATTTACGGTATTAGTAGAAGATGGCTGTACTACAGTCTTCTGCCATCTCGTTGGTATAGAATTATTGTCTTGAGATGTAGATGGGCGTATCCTAACCGTGACTTTAACGGAAGTGAGCGCGTTAGATTGTTTATTCCTTGGAGACATATCTAGTTAGTCTTTTGCATATATTTCGGTATTTCGCGATCGCTGTAGTACTCCAAGTTGCTTCGCTTCTTACTTTCTCGACGACGGGATGAACAAATGAATAAAATATTTACAAGGCAAATAACAGACGATAGTGACGATAATGGTGATAAACCTGTTAGTAGTCTTACTAGTCAATCTATCGTCATCTCTCCTAATCTCCCATAGAACCCAAAGCTCTATATCGTCGTATTTCTGTTAATAATCTGTCTACTCTTGGTTGTATCATCGGCTGTTGTAGCCCGTACTTGGTATATACGCAGACGTGCTATGGTTTTAGGTTTGGATTATCCACCCCAGACCGGTCTATTCCCGTTCTTCAACGGTCACATGAACTCAAACAACGAGGGTAGCGAAATGGAGAACCTAGGACAATTAGGTAAAAAGCCTGAATTGTTTGAAGTTTATTTAGACAGAGACACTACCGTTCAATTCGATAAACAGCGCGTACGTCTATCCGCTCATTTCGCCGGCGTCTTTTAACCCCACACTAGCCATTCGCAGCCACTTTATCAGTTCCACAGGAGATGATATCTTCATTAAACCCTTCTGATCAGCCTGAATCTGATAGCGATAGCTATCTCCCAAACCCCAGCTGGTATAATGCTTCTGCACAGCTTGCACGTTTTTCTCGAACAAGAAGCAGATTCTGGCCTCCAGTATACCGCGGCAGAGATGCACAATACGATCGTAGACGTCGTTTACAAGCTCTTGCTGAACTCGCTCGTGAGCGCCAGGAAGAGGAGCGTCAAAGGAGATACGCTGAGCGTAACCCCACAAAATCACTTCCACCCCCTATTAAGGAGAACGTCACAACTCCCTCAATCAGTTTATCAATGTTAGTAGAACTCCCGACAAAGAATAAATCGGTCGATGAACTCCCTGATCTCGTTATCGGTTTATCAGAGACAAAGTTAAAACAGTCTGCAACTAAAGATGTCGAACAGTTAGTCCGAATTTCATTATAAGGAGATTATATGTATGCTATAGTATGAAATTTTGTTGTAAACTATTTGATTTGAACATGGTATAAAATTTTATTGTCCATTTGGATGTGATTGACTATGCTTGTTGCGTATTTCGTTTAGTTGATTGTGCATTTGATTTACACCAATTACTAGTGCTTGTATCGCGCCTTCTCCGAGTAGCATTGTTGGATATTGATGCGTACCTTGATGTTCACCTTTATAGAGTGCATGTTGAATCTGCAAAGTGTTCATCGCTGATGAGTATTGCTGATAAAGCTCTCTATAGTTTTCGTCGTCATTGAGTTTTTTGTCCAATCCTTTAAGCTTTGGTTTGGGTGGTGGTGGTGTAGACTCTTCTGAAGAAGTGTAATCCACCTTAGTGCGTTGTCTGGCTTTTGTTGTACTGTCTTCTACTTATCTAGTCAGCTCATGTACCCTCTAAGCGGCTTCACTTACCCTTTCTGAGACGCTTTGTCGTTGACTCCTTAGCTGACTGGGTAGAAGCACTCTTCTTTAGAGTCTCGGACGTGGCGTCAGTTTCGCGCTTCCTCTTGCCATTACTCTCTTTGCTCACGGTTGACGAGGAGTGTGTTGACAAAACACTCGGACTTCTAGAACTTGTTGATGGTTGCTCCTTCTCTTTCTCTTTCTCTTTCTCTTTTTCTTTTTCCTTCTCTTTTGTACCGCTCGCGTCTTTTGCAGTGAGCATTGCCTTAGCGGGCGACGGTGACCTGCTAATTTTCTTTCCTTGAGATGCGCGCAATAGATTCTGCCTTGTTTTCCCCGGAGCAGCCTTCTTCGATGTCGTAGTCGAACTAGTCTTCTCATTCTCTTTGGCAGTACTAGCAATGCATTGGCTTATCTTTCCTGTTTTGCGCTTGACTGCTGCAGCTACTTGCTGCTTTTCCGCATCGGAGTATTGTCTCCAGTTATCGACCTCTACATCATCCCACAGCTCATGCTTAAGGTGATAGATCGGAGTTGGAGCTTGCATTGTTTTCTGAGAGTATGCAACTTGGTTTAATAAATAGTGTATATCCTGAGGATTTGCTTGTAACTTGCTAGTCGCTTCACTTGCTTCAACACTTTTCAATGCTAGGAGTTGAATAAGGCGTGTTTTAAGATGTACGAGTTTGTCTGGATGAGTTGAAGGTGTAGCTGTTGGAGTTGCTGTTGATGGTGTTGGTGCTGCTGTTGCTGCAGGCGAGGGTGTAGGTAGGGCGGATGGACGTGGCTGTGGAGGCTTCTTAGCACCTGTTCTACCAGTAGCAGGAGGGGTATCCAATAAGACTGCCTTCTTCGACTCTTTCTCTTTTGCAAGCTGATCTTGCCGCTGACGTAGTGACGTTTGCTGAGAGCTGATTGACTGCGTGAGCTGCATAGGTGTAGCTCTAGCGACACTGCCATTGTGTTCTATATAGTTCTCCCCAGCGTTTGGCTTCTCAGTGATGTCGTACCTCAGATCATCGACTAGCAATCCGCCAGCATCTAGTTCTAGGCTGCTAAATTTATTTAAATTAATTAATTTATAAAATTTCATTTAACTTTATGTTTTTATTTAGACAGTCTTTTATTAAATCAAGCTCGAGCAGTTGTTTTGGTGTTGGTCGTAATTTAACATCTTTTATCAGGCACTTGTCGACGAATTCTTCAGCTTTTGAACCAAATTTTGTCAGACGAGGTGGATCCTCATTGACGATGTATTGCAGGAGGTCCAAAATAGACATCACTCCCTTTTTCTTCTTCGGCGTGTGTGTCTTGATTGTTTGCTTCGTAGCCAGGCCCTGGGTTACTCCGATCGTCGTACCTGCTCTTGATGACGCACGTGGACGTGTTGCATTCGATGGGCTCAACGTCGAGTTAGCGTTGAGCGTCAAATCGTCCTCCATTCCTTCATTATCACTCTCATCTTCTTCTATATCTGAGAATGGGAATCTACCAAGTGCTATTTCAACGAGTGTAATACCTAAACTCCATACATCTGATTTTACGGTATACTGCGCACCTTGTATACGCTCTGGAGACATATATGTTGACGTACCGACGAAAGTGTCCGCTATTGAATTGATAAGCTCACCAGAGACACCAAAATCACATAATTTAATCTGCCCTTTCGAGTTTATCAAAATATTTGACGGTTTCACATCTCTGTGTATAATTCTATGCACATCATAGAGGTAAGTCAAACCGCGGAGGACACTCAAAGCGATCTGACCAAATACATCGTATGGCACAGGCCCTTTCTTCTTTATTATGCGATCGAGTGAGCTGGATAGGTGAGTCAACTATAATATAATTGTTTCAAGATCGACGCACCCTCTATCCATGTATTCCATACACATACAGATATGCGGTCCTTCTAAGTAAGCACCGTAGAATTCAATGATATAGTCAGAATGACAGTGATGCAGAATTTGTAATTCGCGCAGTATCTGCCTGCGTATTGGTGACTGACTCTCAATCAGGATGGTCTTTTTAGCCATTGTTGTGCTAGTAGGCTCATGAATAACTTTGCTCACGGTACCTCCATTCCCTGATCCCAGCTCATCCTGGAATTTAAGCTCATCGCCTCTAAGTTCCTTCTGCCCGGTCGGATCCAAAAGGGCTATCCTCTCACAAAGATCATCCTCTGTATTCTGCTGCCGTGGCGTGTTCGTCGACGTAGGCTGCAGCGGCGGTGGTCTACTCTTGCGCTGGTGCTGCTGCTGTTGTTGTTCTTGTGCTTTCGGCTGTTGTTCTTTGGGTATCGACTTCTTATCTTCTACTGATAGCTGTAGATTCTTGAAATTCCTCTTCTTTCTAATCGGCAGTCCTAGGCCGTTCGTCTCGTGTTCTGACATATTTCGTCAAGGTGGCCGTTCAACTAATCGTCGATATCTAAACAGGTATAAATTAAAATTAAAATATTTTTTACATTATTAAACAGCATTTCGCTGATTTCTTCTTCTTCGCCGGTCTTTGTTCTTCTTTGTAGTGTCTCTGCGCTGGGGGCACCTGCTGTACAGGGCTACGTAAGATATTTGAACGATCGTCAAACGTCTGCTGGGATACTGGTCTAAGGCTATAGTCTGGTTGTAATGTATTATGAATTGACTGTGGTGTCGTTATTATCTCTTCTGGTTGCATCGACGCGTCTGACAGTTGTGAAGCGCGGTAGTCGTGTATAGTGTCTAGTTCAATCTCATTCTTACTCCTCCTGTTGTCTGGCTTTTTGTTCAAACTACCAGTGCTACTCCAGATTTCGTCCTCACGATGCTTTTCCATCTCCATCTTTCTCGCGAGTGTTGGTACAACGACATCATCCCAGCTTTTGCCTGGTGGTAAGTTTGTCGATGTTGACGGTGGGACACTCCACGGCTCAAGGTCGACATCAGTCTCAGGCGTTGGTGGTCTATATGGCTCAGATTGTCTGCCCTTCGTTGGTACTCTCCTCTTGACTTTCTTTTTTGGCTTGTTCTGGTTATCATACATACCAAATGAGCTGTAACTACGTCCACCTTGGGATCTATTCGTTGATTGTGGTATATTCTTCGCCGCTGAGCTCGTACTGGGTCTGGTAATCTCCGTATCAACGACTTCCTGCGCATTTTCTTGTTCGTATCCACCATAAACATCTTCTGATTCTTTCATATATCCCGTATGGCCGAGCTTAGCAATTTCTAACATCTCCTCATCATTGCTTCTATGTCTATTGTGCATCATTGATACGTTGGTATTTGCGCGTGGTCTAACCCTCCTTGGTATGTTGCTCTTCGTTAAGACGTTGCTGGTGTTTGGCTGTCTATTTCGCTTCGGGAACTTTATGCGAGCGTTCGTCGACTCTATGAAGGTGTCCTCCTCTGTACTATCATCCGAAGCAGTACCATCTGGCATCTTTTCATGCAACAAGCTCGCGGGCAATGGTTCAACGAAGGCAAAGTTATCTTTGCTCCGTGATGATTTAGCTTTTGGTGTAGGTATCGCGTTGACAGGGGATAGAGTAGACATCTGACTGTATTGCTTCAATGGCCCATTAGCTCCCTCATTATGGGCTGACATCCTTTTTGTTAGCTCGCTGCTCTCCGACTCGAGTCCTGGAGGATGATATCAGCGGGGAATGCCTAGTATAACTTATTTATCTCACTCTTTCTCAAGGCAGGGACAATCTCGCCATCCCAGCGACGCGCCGTCATAATATTTATATTTCTGATATGACCGTGGTATGATGGATGGAACGAACCAAGCGGGACGTTTATTTTGACAAATATAAACAAGTTTATATGATAAAACACTATCTATTATAAAAACAAAGCGAAATTACTGTACAAATGTATGATTACTTGAGGTAAAAATAGCCAATCACTAAGATTAACAACAAGGCAAATATTATTCTCAGATATGTTTGATCTGCGGGTGCTGTTTGTTCTATCCGTGCTGTCTGAGTTGTAGACTGTTCAGCAGGCAACGACAGCTCTGGTGTTGTAACTGAGTGCTTCTCCAGATCGATGAACATATCACTGTTGAAGATAAACGCTTTGCTAGCTTCGTCTATAAGTATTTCTGTGTGCCTCTTTAGCCGTGTAATAGTTATAAGATTCTACTTACGTTTCTCCTCAACCGATTGCGCGATGATATCTAAAGATTTTCTAAACCAGTTCTTTATATTCTTAACTTCGGCTGCGTTGGCTGGATATTCCTGGCTAGGGTCTAGTGGTGGGAAATCATAGAACTGCTTAGCGTCCAGTTGCTCTAACATGTATGCCTTGCCCAACTTCCTCTGAATGATTTGACCACCACTAAGATCACCAAGGTAGCGTACATAAGCATGGCTAGCGAGTTGTAAGCCATCCGCTGAAGCAATCCTCTCCCTGTATGTCTGTAAACTTGGTGGTAACTGCTTCAAAACAGCTTCTGCGAAGGGATGTTCACGCCAATTTTGCTCTCCTTTTTCGCTTTGGAATTCTTTAGTTGATGCACTCAATAAATTTGTCAAATCGCTCTTCAACGCTGGTGCTCTAGCCAATACATCGAGTCTGCTCAGAGGGGATAAATGTGGATCGCTACTGTTCTTCTGTATAGCTATTTCCAGTGTATCATACAACTCATGCAACCATATCGTGTACTTGACGAAAGTAGAGAATGGCATTTGGGCACTAAGGAGCCGAACAGCCGTTGGTGACTGCGCTACCAAATCGTGCGCTATTTGCGTACCGCTTTTGAGCAACTTTGACGCAGGTGTCTGCTCGATATCCGCCGTGTTCATATCAATAACCTGATAGTAGGAGACAACAGCGATAAGCCGATCCGAAAGCTAAGATTACACCATAAAATATAAAATTTCCTAATACACTATGACAAAGTAAAGCATTTTTATCTTAGCATAGCCTAATCAGGGAAATCAGCACATCAGCCAGCGTTCGCGATCAGGGGTTAGTCACTAACGTCACGAAAGAGCACAGATTGTGCATAGGATCGGTGATAGGAAAGAGTCATTGGAACCCGCCCGACATTGTAGATCACTGTCAAGTACATACCTCACTAGATTCTGATTAGTCTGACAGCTAAATGCTTGGATACGAACCCGCACCTCTAATGCCAACGGCAGCAGTACCAGGGATACTCATTGTAAGCGCAAGTGGCAGAGACGTCGCGTGTGCACTCCCCAACAACTTATCTGTACGTTTACGTTTCAAATAGGGGCTTTGTTGACATATACGAGGATGCAATGGCATCTGCCAAAGAGCGTTGGAGTATACCGAATGATTTAGTTTTTAGATTGGGCGTTAAGGTCTGTCTCAGTTTTCTTTTTCCACAAATATAGCTCACCCCACTCGCAGAAGAAAGACGCACCAGGCTATCTCGCTAATACAGCTCAAGGAGATCTTATTATACTAGGTGACGATGCCGTTTACCAGCTTGTGAAGATGGGAAAGGTAAGACACTACAGGCACGGACATCATCAGCTTACAACGACCAGAGTGTCTTGCGCACTGAAATACAAGTTTATGCATCAAAAGAAGTCAAACCTAAGGAGGAAAGTAAGTGGTGGTGCTTCATGACGCTTATTGATCGATTAACTTGCCGTTCTGGCCGGTTAGAACCACCACCACCGCCTCCTGAGCCCGGTGAGTGTGTTATATAACTTTAAACATATATCTGACTACTCTGTAGTACCTGTTCGTTTATGACTTCTGTTTATATCCACGTAACGCTCCCCGCAGATAAAAATTACAGTGGAGAATTCGAAAGGCAAGATGTTCAGATTGGACACCAAAGCTCTGCCAGATATCAACATGGACTGGTCACAGAGTCAAGGCGGTCAATCGATGGTTGGCAGTTTTCTCGGTGAGTGATCCCTCCTCGACTTTTCTCTTGTCTCACTTTATACTTTCCAGGTCAACTTACTATTAAGCCACAAACGGACCCAGAAGGCAGAATAACATTCAGCGGCAAGGAAATACCGAATGGTAGGTGTCGCACTACCACAGTTCATAGTTTACGATTCAAATTCAGATTTGAACTTCTCCACATTTACGAACAACAAGAATGTGCGGTCGGAATGACTGATTATTTGTAACTGACACGATTGCAGGAAATGAAGACGGTTCAATTCCGCAAAAGCTCAAGCAAACCGTTTATACAGATCTTCTCGCCAATTGAACAATTCCTCACACTAGAGTTGTCACTTTCTGGATCCTGGCAGTGCAAGTCGACTTGGCCGGCATCTGAAATCAAGAAAGAAAAAGAGAAACAACTTGTTGGGTTCTTCCTGCGTGTTGGACCAGGTACGACTATAGAAGATGTAGTTAGCGGCTGCAAAACAGCGGGCTTGTCGTGGGAGGCAGTGTAGGCATCGCGTTGTATTTACTGTGTTACTAACAAGGGAGTAGTCCGAACGCAGGATGCCCTCGTCTTTCTCCAGATGACAAAACACCTTTCGATCCGGCAAATCCTGATCTTGTAGATTACAACGGGGTGGGTGATTAGAAGCCAAAATTCATTGCTCAAATGGTATAGGTTTTGCTTTCTGCTAAAGATTGTCCAGCTAGGCTAGACAAGGTGAGTGCAGATGTCCTACAAACATGGGTGTTTAATGTGCCTCTCAAGATTCTCGCTGAACAATTCAAAATCGACCCACTCGTCAGAACAAACTTTATGGCAGACATAACGTAAGTCATACCGCATTTCACTTATTTAGCTAACCTCATTAGACCACATTTATTCAGATATCCTAATATAGCATTTAGATTCCTACCACAAGGTGCGTCAGTGTCTTAGATGACCCATAAATACTCAAATTTTAACAGACTTTTACGAACCCGCCGCCACCCTTGCCATACGTCCAACGCCAGAGGTAACAGGTAGAATCTTCCTGCTCTGGCAGGGCGTTACAGATGCTGACAAATGGAAAGCCAGCAAAAAGCGCGACAAGATGCCAATAAATTGGGCAGAGATTGTCGGCTTTAACACAGAATCGCTCACAAACGACTCTCTGTTCAGATGCATAGAGGTAGGATGGATGGAAGTTGTTTCATAATCTATAATCTCTCTTAATTTTTACGAATTACGAAATTGCAATTGTTAAATTATAATCTTAGCTCCTTACTGTTGTTTTTTGTGATGAATCTGTTTTATTGCCCTATGCCCTTCGAGTGTAGCTTGTGCTGGAAGATTTAGGATCTTACTCAAGGTGTTTATGTCCTTCAATGATGGAATCTGGTTGTTTTGGTAGAATCTGTCAATTTCCTCGCTCTTACGCGGTTGTAATTGACTATTAGCGTGTAGTTGACCAAGGTAATTAGCACCTCTGTGGGCTGTATGGTATGTTAATTGATGTAATTCCACATAAAACATGACGCACCTCTCCAATGAGACCATGCGCGCCAGAGAAGGTAAAAGAGAGGCAAATTCGGCACTATGGGTATTATAGCAACCGGACTATACTTGTTAGTTGTTAAATCACATCCAGAATATCACTTACAACGTGACTGGTGATATAGCCAAGTATAACCACATTTTTTTACGATATTGATCAGATCTACTAATAAATGATTCCTTTACTGTGTCCAAGAGTATTTTATCGGATATCACGGATTCCGGGTAGAGAATATCGAGCTTGTGGGAAGTATTCACAGCTACACCATGTGCTGGCTCGATATGCTTTAGCGCCCACTCCTCGTATGGCACTCTATCCATGACAGCCTCTCCGCCGTTCCAAATCCGCTTCTTCCAGTGTCCTTCCGGAGACTCGCTGAGTTTGTTCCATTGTCTATCGCTCCAATTGACGGCTTTTGTCATTAAATTTGCCTCAACGGCAGTCTTAGGTGGTAGGGTCAATAGCGTGATAGGTGGAGTCTGCCTATATGCTTTGAGTGGCAGTGCAATCAGCTTCAACTTAGAAGACATAGTGGGGGTTGAATAGAAAGAATGTATAGCATATAAAAATGTCTGGATACAATTTGCACATTTCTGCATAGCTAAACGCCGCTTTCCCATTGGTCAGGAGCTACCGGTTCAGCTTTCCGTGATAATCGCAGAGATGACATCGTTCGAATTAAGATTGTCTATCTTGGAATTAAATAGCCATCATGTTCAGAGCAACAGGAAATATAACAAAATCATTCAACAGGGCCTCATTTAGGCGGATAAGCACTGCTAGTAGATCACCTTCGATTCGCTATGGATTGATCTGCAGCGCCGGTTTGGCGTTCACGGTGGCAGTGACGACGTCGAAGCTGTCGCTGGAAAGCCAGCAAGTCCCAGAAGAGGCGCTCTCTGAAGCCAATCCAGCGAAAGCGCGCTATGTGGCATTTGACGAGGTGCAGAAGCACACGACCCCCGAATCTTGTTGGGTTATCATTGAGGGGCAAGTTTATGAGTGAGTTTCTTCTTTTATGACTGTTTATTTGCTAACATTGGCACTCCACAGCGTGACTGATTTCCTAGAGGCACATCCAGGAGGTGCGAAAGTAATCCTCAGGAACTCTGGTAAGGACGCTACAACGCTTTATGCGCCAATACATCCAAAGGGCACAATTGAAAATAACCTCCCACCGGAATGCCACTTGGGCGCTGTCGATCCTACCACTCTGCCGGACATACAGGAGGAGGAGAGCGACGAGCAGCGCAGGGTACGCACAGCAAGAGAAAACATACCACCGCTAGGTGCGATGGTATCTCTCGAGGATTTCGAGAAGCTGGCGACCGATATCCTTCCAAACACCGCCTATGCATACTACTCGAGTGCTGGTGACGACGAAGACACCTTGCGGGAAAACATCAATGCGTGGAAGAAATACTGGTTCAGACCACGGGTTCTTAACGACATCACCAAGATCGACCTCAGCACCACAATCATGGGTATCAAGAGCGCGCTGCCAATTTTCATAAGCCCCGCGGCGATGGCTAGACTTGGACATCCACTCGGTGAAATAAACCTCACAAAAGGTGCTGCCCAGACTGGAATCATCCAGGGCATATCGAGCAACGCGAGCTGCACATTAGAGGAGATGTGCGAAGCGAGGGATGCTGGCCAACCACTTATTTTCCAACTCTATCTTAATTGGGATAGAAAGAAGAGTGAGGAGATTGTACGCAAGGTTGAAGAGCTCAAAATAAACGGAATTATGTTTACAGTGGATGCACCAGTTCCTGGTAAGCGCGAGAGGGATCTGCGCGCGAAGGGAGACTTTGATGATGATGAGGGGGGCACAAAGGGTGTCGCACAGGCTATTAGTGGATATCAAGCCGCCGATCTGTCCTGGAAAGATGTCGATTGGTTGAAGTCGATAACTGATCTGCCACTGATCATCAAAGGTGTGCAGTCAGTAGAGGATGCCAAGCTCGCGGCTGAGTCTGGTGTGAAGGGTATTGTGTTGTCCAACCATGGTGGCAGGCAGCTGAATTTCGCACCTGCATCGATCGACGTTTTGAGAGAAATACGCGAAGAGGCACCGGAAGTGTTCGAAAAGCTAGAAGTCTACGTGGATGGAGGTGTAAGACGCGGTACTGATGTCCTGAAGGCGCTTTGTTTGGGTGCTACGGCTGTAGGATTAGGTAGGCCATTCTTGTATGCCCAAAGCGCGTATGGAGAGCAAGGAGTAGTGAGAGCAGTACAGAGTAAGTTATTCAATACTTTTATGATATGTTTCCTTTAACGAATATTAGTTTTAGAAGAAGAATTGGCTACCGGATTAAGATTGTTAGGCGTGACGGATGTCAGCCAATTAAACCCATCAATGCTTAGATACATAGATCAGAGAATAAAAACATAGAATTTGTACTTCAGAATTTAATTCGATATTTCGTTATCATCTGAGACTAAGCGAGCATTGGTCGCCTTCTTCTAAGACTATCAAAACAAATGCCGCGTGAATTGATAAATATTTCTGTGAGTCTATTTGCTATCGTAATCCTAGCTAACGATATCAGGCTGGTCAAGCAGGTCCGTAGCTATCCATTATCCCGTAGATTTGCGCTAACGTAATGGGCGTGCAGGTAACCAAGTTAGCAAAAATTTCTGGGAAACACTCTTGATTGAACATGGCCTCACAAATGATGGCTACGTCAAACCAGATACGTCCGATATGCAGCTCGAGAGACTGAATGTATACTTCAACGAGATAAACTATCAAGACAAGGCTCGTTACGTTCCTAGGAGCATCAATGTCGATTTAGAACCAAACACTATGGAGGTATGTATAGCACGTCCAACTGCGCCCCTCTGAGACGCCATAGGTACTCAGACAATCAAAGATTGGATCATTGTTCTCACCATCAAGCTTCATAAATGGACAATCGGGCGCTGGTAATAACTTCGGTAAAGGTTACTACACTGAGGGTGCTGAATTGGTCGATACGATTCTCGATAGTGCCCGTCGTGAAGCCGAGCAAGTCGATTCTTTACAAGGTTTCCAGCTTAACCACTCTCTCGGTGGTGGTACAGGTTCTGGTTTAGGTACACTCCTTATGAGCAAGCTTCGCGAAGAATTCCCAGATCGTATGATGGCAACTTTCTCTATCATTCCATCACCAAAGGTGGGAAGCATTACAATGTTCTATGGCATAATTGACGCGTTACTAGGTTTCTGACACGGTTGTTGAACCATACAACGCGGTATTAGCTACGAACCAGCTTATCGAGAACTCTGACTTGACTTTCATGCTTGACAATGAAGCATTGTACAGAATCTGCCAAAACACATTGAAATCAGAGTCACCAAATTATGACAGTCTTAACTCTCTAATTTCTAGAGCCATGGCCGGTGTCTCAACTTCATTGAGATTCCCATCACAGTTAAACTCCGACTTAAGAAAGTTGGCAGTAAACATGATACCATTCCCAAGATTACACTTCTTGTGTACCTCTGTTGCACCACTCACAAGCTTACAAAATAGATCATACCAATCTACGAACGTACAGGACTTGACAGCTAGCTTATTTAATAACGCAAACAAGCTCGCTCAATTGCCTAAATATGGTAGATATATGACTGCAGCTGCGCTCTACCAAGGTCCAATGGGAATGCGCGATATTGAAGACTCGATTATGGGATATCAAAGCAAGAACAGTGATGAGTTTGTTGAGTGGATTCCACACAATGTGAGTATTGGCTGATTAACTTAGCCACGTTATTGACGCTCTATAGGTTCTCACATCTCACACGTCTGTCTCACCAATTGATTCAAAGACTGGAGGTACATTTATCGCTAACACTACGGCTGTCCAAGAGCTCTTTAACAGAAACGCTAGCATGTTCAGTGCTATGTTAAAGAGAAGAGCCTACTTGCACTGGTACACGGGTGAAGGTGGGTAATCAGATGTCAACTTCTGCAATATACTAAATAACTACAGGAATGGATGAAATGGAATTCACAGAAGCTGAATCCAACTTGATGGACTTGATCGCAGAATACCAACAATACGAAAACGCTGGCGCTGATGAAGAAGAATACGGAGAGGAGGAATATTATGAAGAGGAAGCCGTTGAAATGTAGAAAATGATCATTTTTTTTGTAATTAAAGCCTTTTTATTTTCACCCTTCTTTATATTTTACGCGTGCATACGAAAGCGATCTCTCGTAGATACACCCAACGCTGAAAATGGACGTGAGTGGATAAACAGCGAGAGATGAAAATCTCTAACGGCTTCGTTTACCAGGCAATTCTTGATTTCAGTCAAGATCTCGACGTTGGATTACTAGATCGTATAGTTGCTGCATTCTTTGCCGGTGCTGGGCAGGAAGTGAGTAGATTGAGAGATGAACGCCCGCATACTAAGATAGTGTAGCAACAAATGGCACAGCGCGTTTTGACGCAATTCCAAGTTAGTTTATCCTGCTTTTACCGCCTTAGAAATCTCACCCCTATCGCCATTTTAGGAACACCCAGATTCGTGGCAAAGAGTACCAGCTATTCTCGAAATGAGTCCGAATCCACAGACTAAAGTGTGTTTTCATAGCTCTCCTCGACTTCTCCGCTGACGTAGTAACAGTACATTGGCTTACAAATCTTGGAGAAACTCATACAAACGAAATGGAAAGTATTGCCAGTCGACCAACAACAAGGTATCCGCAACTTTATTGTCAACGCCGTCATCAAAACATCTGAGGACGAGGCTGTTATGCGCAGGGAGAAGACCTATCTCAACAAATTGAACCTGATTTTAGTACAGGTGGGTTTAATACCCTATTATACTCTTATCTAACCATCCTTAGATCCTCAAACAAGCTTGGCCTAGGGATTGGCCGTCATTCATACCTGAAATCGTTACCTCCTCAAAAACCAACCTTAGTCTCTGCGAGAACAACATGATTATCCTTAAGCTTCTTTCTGAAGAGATCTTCGATTATTCCGCTGAGCAAATGACCCAGGCTAAGACAAAGGCTCTCAAAAATTCAATGTGTGGAGAGTTCTCCGAAATCTTCCAACTCTGCTCGGAAGTTCTCGAGAAGGCAGTCAAGCCATCACTTATTAAGGCAACACTCGATACTCTCTTGAAGTTCCTCAACTGGATCCCGTTGGGCTACATCTTTGAGACTAACATCATTGATATGCTTATCTCTAGAGTGCGTTTTGAACTCAAATAGTGTAACACGCTAACTAGATATAGTTCCTTGAGGTCCCAGAATTCAGAAATGTTACTCTTAAATGTCTTGCGGAAATCAGCTCTCTCAAGGTAACTCCAGAATATGACGCAAAGTTCGTCTTACTTTTTAACATGGTAATGACAATTGTCAACAAAATGATTCCACCATCAACAGATATTGCAGGCGCGTATGAGTCTTCTAATGATTCCGACCAAGAGCTTATCCTCAACTTGGCCCTTTTCCTCACCAACTTCCTTGGATCTCATCTCTCTTTGGTCGAAACTCCAGAGAACAAAGACGTACTCCTGAATGCTCACCTCTATCTCGTTAAAATATCCCAAGTTCCAGAACGTGAAATTTTCAAAATTTGTCTAGAGTACTGGTCAGTTTTGGTCGCTGAACTTTACGATGAAGTGCAGCACACCCCAATGGCTGAAATGAACCCACTTCTTGGTCTAAACATGAACGTCGCAGGTGCATCCGGTGGTCAAAACCTTCGCAAGAACATCTACAATGAGGTTCTTTCCAACTTGCGTTTAGTTATGATTGAAAGGATGGTCAAACCAGAAGAAGTCCTCATTGTTGAGAATGACGAAGGTGAAATCGTCAGAGAATTCCTCAAAGAATCTGATACCATTGTCCTTTACAAGGATATGAGGGGTGTACTCGTTTACTTGACTCACTTGGATGTCTACGATACCGAAACAATTATGACTGAAAAGCTTGCCAAGCAGGTCGATGGCTCCGAATGGTCTTGGTCTAATTTGAACACTCTTTGTTGGGCAATTGGTAGTATTTCAGGTGCCATGAACGAAGACACAGAGAAGAGATTCCTTGTTACTGTTATCAAGGATCTCCTCGGATTGTGTGAAATCAAACGTGGCAAAGACAACAAAGCGGTCGTTGCATCAGATATCATGTACATCGTCGGTCAATATCCACGTTTCCTCAAGGCGCACTGGAAATTCTTGAAGACGGTCGTCAACAAATTATTCGAATTCATGCACGAGACCCACGAAGGTGTCCAAGATATGGCTTGTGATACGTTCATTAAGATTGCTCAAAAATGTAGAAGACACTTCGTTATGCAACAATCAGCCGAGCAAGAACCATTCATTGACGAAATTCTCCGCAATTTGCATCGTATTACTATCGATTTGGCACCACAACAGGTTCATACATTCTACGAAGCTGTCGGTTCGATGATTGCAGTACAACCAAACAAACCAGTACAGGAGAACCTTATTGCGAAACTCATGGACTTGCCAAACAATGCTTGGGATACTCTTATGCAGCAAGCTGCCAGCAACGTTGACGTACTTTCCGTACCTGAAAACATCAAAATCCTTTCAAACGTCTTGAAGACTAACGTTTCTGCGTGCTCCTCCATCGGTAGCTTCTACCTCCCACAAATTGGTAGAATTTACATGGATATGCTTGGTCTTTATAAGGCTGTCAGTGGTGTAATCAGTGAAACTGTTGCTGCTGAAGGTAACATCGCAACAAGGACACCAAAGGTTAGAGGTTTGAGAACCATCAAAAAGGAAGTACTTAGATTAGTTGAAACCTACATCAAAAAGGCAGAAGATTTAGAGACTGTCAATGCCAACTTCATTCCACCACTATTTGAGGCTATTTTGTTAGATTACAATCGCAACGTTCCTTCAGCAAGAGATGCTGAAGTTCTCAATGTCACCGCCACAATCGTCAACAAGCTTGGACCATTGCTCACAGAACAAATTCCACCAATCCTTGACGCCATCTTTGAGTGCACTCTCAGTATGATTAACCAGGACTTTGCGGAATTCCCGGAGCATCGCGTTGGCTTTTTCAAATTATTGCGGGCAATCAACTACCACTGTTTCCCAGGTGAGTTGATTTCTTTGCACGTCGTACTTACTAACAGTTATAGCTCTTTTGCAACTCCCACCATCACAGTTCAAGCTCACAATGGACTCCGTTGTCTGGGCCATAAAACACACTATGCGTGATATTGCCGACACTGGTCTTAATTTGGCTCTCGAGGTTATTGACAACATAGTAAAAACAGACACATCAGTCGCTAACGCCTTCTTCCAAACTTACTACTTGAGTTTATTGCAAGATTCATTCTACGTTCTCACCGACTCAGATCACAAGAGTGGTTTCAAATTGCAGTCAGTTTTGTTGGCGAGGTTATACGCATTAGTTAGCAAAGTCGGTATCTCAGCACCACTTTATGATCCAGCCCAGGTTGATCCTTCCACAAGTAATGTCATCTTTGTTAGAGACTACACCGCCAACCTCCTTGCGAACGCTTTCCCACATTTACAACCTGTACAGATCCAATCATTCGTAACCGGATTATTCGAATTGCATGAAGATCCTGCAAGATTCAAATTACATTTGAGAGACTTCTTGATTCAATTGAAGGAGTTACAAGGTGATCATGCAGGTGCACCAGCAATCGAGCAGGCGAACGCACCGGGTGCTGCTGCTATAGAATTCGAGCAACAAGAGGAGGAAAGAAAGCAACGTGAAGCTGCAAGAAATGCCGTACCTGGTATGATCAAACCTGCTCTGCTTGAAGACGAGGAACTCTAAAATAAACAACTATTTAACCACGATTCTATCATTCTTTTCCGATATCTATAAGTATTATATTTTGCATACATAAATCTTAATCATGAAAATCTAAGCGAAGTGAATTGCATGTTGATATACTTCCAAACGTGATGATCTTGATATCTCTATATTCTCATCTTCGCACATTCCTCAGAAGCTTGAATATCTAACGACCTTACTCATTAATGATTTGAGTCTTAGTTTCATCCAGCTTAATGGTGTTTCAATAGTATATCCTCCTCTTGCATTTTCTCATCACCGCAATCACTTAAATATCCTATTTTCTCAACCACAATCACGTCTATCTCATTCCTGCTGAGTTCCATTCCGTTGTCTTACAATTCTGGTCACCAACTGCGTGACAACATAACTAACCTGTTAGAAGCATGCCTTGGTTTGATCGTTACATAAAACAGCTATGTAGTCTGAGGCGCTGAAATGCTTGCTGGGAAATTTCCGGTATGTAATTTGAGTGTTTTCATACTACTCACTAATGGCTTTTCTCTGTCACACTGGATAATCTTTGCTCGCATGACCTTAGAGCTCCTATTAATTGTTCTAGTTGCCATTTGGACACTGATGGCGCCACAAGTAATCTCCTATGTACGCTATCGAGCTGCTGTATTCACCCACAGCAGAGCATGTAATAATAATAATGCATGCTTCCTAACCATCCTTTTATCGTCTTATACTAATATGTTTGCATTCGATGTAGAATAATGTCAGGCGATGATCTGTCGTGCGGATATCCCTTTAAACATGCATGCGAGGTCAGGGCAGTATCATGGGTGGAATGATCGCCGGCCGTGCTCAGCTCCATGTGAAGACCCGACCGACCTGACAGGCTATTTCTCGTGCGTGACGTCATCTGAAAATTTTCTGAGCTCGAGCTTGGCAAGTAGAGTTGACATATGTATGAGTACAGTCTCATCCAAGGAATCCAATGGTTCAATGGTTTGAAATGAAAATTTTCACCAGCTATGCTGAGGTCCCAGGTTCGATCCCTGGTAGGTGCAACAGCACCTGTAGCACAGTGGTAGTTGCGCAGCACTTGTACGATTCCTTTTTGCTGCTTGATACAGTTATCTTACTGTCTGTCGTTTTGGCGGTACTTTTTATGCTGAAATCCGCTGACATGTTTATAACCACCTAGCAATGCCTGTGGACTTGGAACACATATTTTATTGGCGGCATGCTGGCGATTGTCTCACTATAAACTCAGTCGCTGATATTGTTATGCGGAAATAAGGCATACTGTACATGTAAGCGTCAGTCCTGTTGTTGTCATTACATATATGCCCGCTCTGGATGATCTTGTCATAAATGGCCTGATCTTGGTATGTAGCGATATCAGCTTATGTTTGCACTTGAAGTTGCACACTCAACATCTAAGTGCGAAATGGAGTTTGATTTCCAGAGTGCTTTTCATCCTGCCACACCGCCGTATACTGACTCTAGCGGGGCCGAATTCGACGAAGCTATATCGTCACTCCTTGAACAATCACCTCAAGAACAACATGTGGATATAAGTGACACGAATGAGTTGCAGAATTGGCTACAGAGCCAACCTATTTTTAATGCCTACGAAGATCCCTTCCAGTCCCTGCAAGCTGGCTTACTGAACACTGATAGCGTTGGTGTCGACCCACGAGGAGGGTTGATGCTGCCAGATTTACAAGCCATGGAGAACGTTCAACCTCAGGAAGCTAGTAAACCTGTTAATCAACCAAAGGCGACGAAACGGAAAGCTGGAGATAGCAGCAATATCACTAAAAAGCAAAAATCAGAAGCGCAGAAACGTGAGTTAGGGTATCTTCACATTCCTCATTGACAATGCATTAGAGAGATTTCCTAAGCCGCCCCAGCCTGTACCTCCTGCTCCTAGCCATGGTGGACCGAAGAACCCGTCACATAATGCAGTAGAAAGACGCTATAGGAACAATATCAATACGCGTATGCTCTCTTTACGTTGTACAGTACCAGCTTTAGTTGCACAACCACCACCTCAGACGTCATCCAGACGTAAACCGCCGCCATTATACGTGGAGGGTGTAGCAGTACCCAACAAGATCAACAAGCAGACGGTGCTTATCGGTGCAACTGATTACATTCGTCGCTTGAGGGGTAGAGAGCAACGTTTGATGCGTGAGGTTGAATTATTACGGGCTACCTTGCCCCCAGCGGAGAAGATATCATGGGAAAAAGAATGGGGTGCAGTAGATGATAGAGATTTATATGATACAATTGAAGATTTCGTCCCACCAGACAACACTTTTGTCGACTTGGTTGATGAGCCAATATCATCGACGTCGGACGAGCAACAATCGCAGCAGTCACCATCTAGCGATGGTAGCAGCGCACCTAGATATCTCCTCGGTATGTTTTTATCATTTGGTTTACTTCAAAAGCCCTATCAGAAGCAACAACATCTATTCAGAAGGCGATTCGAGGAAGGCACAATTTTGTCAAGCAGTCTCCCTTCAAATGCTACGGATGAGCAATTTCAGTGGAGACAGCATATTATACCGGACCTCTACCACCCGCATGTCCATGATATCATTCAGACGATTCTCATCTGTTTGACGTTGGCTGTTTTGCTCTATCCGCTTCTTCCAAGCGTTAAAAGTAATCCTTTAGTGAAGGGCGTGGAAATAGGTTGGATGTCTCTTCAACGTCTTTTTAGTTTCAAGAGAGGTGAAACAACTGATGTCACGATCAAGCATGCTCAAAGGCAAATATATAGCTCCAAAGGTGAGTGCTACATAATCTATTCGCTATAAATGACTAATATTGAAGCAGATTACTCGAAGATAGATAAGTTACACACGTACATGACACTTGCTTCATCGCGTCAAATCAAGGAATCTCCATTAGCATTGGCAACAGCAGCGTTGCACAGCAGCTCTAACAAGCATTGGAAAGCTGCACAAGCTATGAAAACTCTTGAGAATGAGCCGAGATATGTTCAGTTAGCACTAGAAAGGGATCTCAATGATGCACTTCAGCTATGTAAAATGGGAGATAACACTAGTGAATTGAATGTGTTACAGAAAATCTCCACGAATGTTTCCATACTAGCACTCGAAGAGCTTTGGAGTTTGATATTCACTCAAATCGTTGAAGAAAAGGCATCTGCTAGTGATGTACAACTAATCAACAAAGCTATCACTCAATTAATGATATCTTCAAAGGATCTCCCATTTGTTAGCACAATGTCAACATTATCTGCAGCCATGTGGGCTCTCTTCCAAGGCAAGACGAGTATTGCTTTCCATTTAGCATCAAATGTTAGCAGGGAAGCCAGCTCGTTAAAATGTCTACGGGTGTTCAGCATGCTTACTAATACTTCTATCAATCTCGAAGACGATGATGAAGATGTTACCGACAAGCAATTCGCAAGATGTGATGACTTAGCCACGGTCACTATGCTGTACTTTTCTTTGAAGATCTCTTTGCAAGGCGTCAAGGAAGGAGATGAAAATAAGGAACAAGCGAGATCATTGTATGGATTAACGCTCAGGTTGCGCTCCTTGCTTGGATCACTCGATAAAGAAGACAGCAAACTCCTTGATAATGATACTTTTGATGCTGCCGTTGATTGTCTCCAAGTTACTGGCTACAAACTGATGGGTTTTGAATCCTGAAATTCTTTATTTTGCACTTATTTTGGTTTTGTATTATCGTTTCAATGTGGAATGTATTCCAGCGTAATATCGTTAACAGCGTAAATATACAAGTCTTCCAGTATCCTCATGAATAACTCTATTAGTATCATCCTGATGTAGTGTATAATCGAGTATCATCACCCTTTAATCACATTAATTTGAGTCGTCACTATCGGCAGAGCTACCAGTGCCATTACTAAAATATAACACACCCTTTCTTGGGTATAGGCGATATCAACAAAATCACCTTGCATGGTGTCTTCTTGCGTTCATCTAAAATAGCGATACAAATGGTCGCTGTAATTTGAGTAATTGGATAGTGACTTGGTCAAGAACGTCGCCGATGTATAGGAGACCTGATTCTTCACCAATTGACTTTTCAACTTTCTGATGATGTCCAAACATGAGAGGATATCAGCGTTACACGAGCCAGCTTTTTATTCCCAACCATCAGATACTGATTAAGGTTATTATGCAAAAGAATGGGTATCAACATGTCCGATAGCAACATAGTAGAAGATAGATCAATAATAAATGACTCGCAGTATACACAGCAGGAGGAGTGTCAGAATACAGATACAGGGCTGAACATACAGCATCATTTAGTGACTAAGGATAGAAGGAACAAGGAGTTACACCAAGAACCAAGAGGAACACCGAGGCGCAGTAGAGGACAAGAGGACGACAAGGAACATGAGGACAGTAGAGACTATATAAAGAAACATATCTTGTAAAAAGAAACAATCATCTTAAATGATCATTCTATAACGTACTTATACTTTCACAACCTATAATAAAGCGTGTCTGATATTTACGTACCAACACATCCATAGCGATAGTCTAGCGGTCTGTCAGAATACAGATACAGGGCTGAACATACAGCATCATTTAGTGACTAAGGATAGAAGGAACAAGGAGTTACACCAAGAACCAAGAGGAACACCGAGGCGCAGTAGAGGACAAGAGGACAACAAGGAACATGAGGACAGTAGAGACTATATAAAGAAACATATCTTGTAAAATAAACTATCATCTTAAATGATCATTCTATAACGTACTTATACTTTCACAACCTATAATAAAGCGTGTCTGATATTTACGTTCCAACACATCGACTTAGTACATTCGATTTCATGGTCATTCATGATCTACTCTATCACAATGATTGGTGACAATGTCTTCGATAACATCTTTGGCTGCTACTATTATTGCCTTGATTTCCATTTAATGCCTTAGTGAAAATATCGGCCAATTGATCGTGGGTGCGGATTCCTTTTACTTCTATCTCTTTTCGTTCGTGTCTTTCCTTACCTGCATGATATTGTACTCTTATGTGTTTGAGGCCAGTGATGGATCCGGGATTGAGGATATTTGTTAAGGCGGCGGTGTTGTCAGTCTTGACTGGTATTGGTGATTCTAGGTTTCTTCCGAGATGTTCCATAACGTTTCTGAGCCAAATAGCTATATCGGAGCCGTGTTTGATTGCCATATATTCAGCCTCACCTGTACTTGTTGCCACGCATTTCTGTCTTTTGCTGGTCCATGCTATTGCTCCTCCTGAGTATGTAAATACACAGCCGCTAGTTGATCTTGCTGTGTCCCAGCATCCGGCATAGTCTGCGTCTACATGACCTTTGATGTCCTTTTGTAGTATTACACCTTTACAGTATCCGTTTAGTGGTTTCATTTGTTTCTTGAACTCTATCTTAGTGTCTATGGTGTTCTTGAGGTAACCGTATATTTGTCTTACTGCATTCCAGTGTTTGATGCCAGGGTTTTGGGTGTATCTTCCACACATGCTAGTTGCGAAGGCTATATCTGGTCTTGAGGCTTGTGCTATCCAATTAAGTTTTCCTATTGCTTGTGCGTATGGCTTAGTTTTCATTTCATCAATATGATCTTCGATATTTGGGGAGTCCTCGTTTGAAAGTGTGAGGTTAGTACTCATTGGAATACTCTTTCTTTTTATGCTTTGTAGGTTAAGGTCCTCTATTGCTTTGGCAATATATCCTGATTGATCTATTGTGGCAGTGCCTTTTTCTTGGTCATAATCTACCTTCATACCCAATATGTGGTTGATGTTTCCCAAGTCTTTCATTTCAAATTCGACTTTCAGCTTAGACTTGATTTTGTTGGCCGTGGTAGTGGTTCTTGTGAGTATGATTAGGTCATCTACGTACACACTTATGATTGCGTCCAACTGTTCTGAGTGGTATAGGCATGGTTCAGAGTATGATGATTTGAATCCCATTTGTTCTAGGACTTTGTTTAGTAGTTCATACCAGATACGACCGCTTTGGCGGAGACCATAAAGGGCTTTGTTCAATTTGCAGATTTTCTTGTCCTTTTCGTTTTCATACATTCCAGGTGGTAGTTTCATGTATATTGGTTGATCTATGTCGCCATATAGGTATGCTCCTGTAACGTCCATTTGGTGGATTTGTAGGTTTTCTTCAACAGCTATGGCGATGAGTAGTCTTATTATTCTAAGACTAGTGACGGGGGCATAGGTTTCTTCGTAATCAATTCCTGGTTTTTGGCTAAATCCTTGGGCGACTAGACGTGCTTTCCATTTTATGGGTTCATTCATGGCATTAGTTTTTATATTGTAGACCCATCTTGATCCTACGATATTATTGTTTTTCGGCACGTCTTTTGGATCTATGAGTGTCCATGTATTGTTGCGGTCATGAGTGGCCATCTCCTCCTCCATACCTTGTCGCCATTTGATGGCATCTGGATGTGTCATAGCTTGTTTGAAGGTATTTGGGATGCCGGTGGTGACCTGTTGTCTGGCCAAGGCATACGCATGTCGTAACTTTTTATTGGGTTCAGCTTTGGCTGCTAGTGTATGATCGACGTGTAGTAGTTTGTTGATGGTCTTGTGAAGGAGTGAGTCCGGGTCTGGATAACTCATTTTCTTGTCGTTGTCAAAGTGTAACCACTGTTCTTGTAAGCGCTCGTAGTGAATATCTTCCTTGGCGTCTTTGGTTTTATTGCGTCTGTCGTCTTCCTGTTGCTTGGCAATCCGGGCTGCATGACGTGCTTGTCCTGGTTGAATTGGGGTACCTTTGGCGATGGTTGGATGGACTTTCCGTTTGAAGCTGTGGTTGAATCCAAGATATTCGTTTGGGGATTCTTCTTGTTTGTCAAATCGGTCATAAATCGTTTTGGCAGGTATTGGTATTATTGATTTCGCTTTATCAGTGTCAGTGTTTCTTTCTGTATCCATTGGGATGAAAGTCTCCGTTGAGTTGTAGGCAGGTTCGGTTGCATTGATTTGATCGTTCTGGTGGGCTATCTTTTCTCTTGTGTCTGTTACGGATTCATGTATTGGTTCTATGAATGATGCTGTTTCATGTGTAGGTAATTCGATGTGGTGAGGTATGTTAGGTGGAGTCCGGTCGCGTTGACCCTCTTCGCTTTTCTTGACTTTATTATGTAGACTGGTGAAATTTTCATGGGATGATGACCTGTCATCTGCAATTTCACTGTGTGAGCTGGAGTGAGTTACGTTGGGTATCCCCCCTTCGCTCTCTTCGGTTTCGGCATGTGGGGGTTTTTCTTGTTCTTGTACACTAATGTCACCCTGTGAATTGGATGGGGTTTCATCGGAGGAGACTTGTTCTTGCATATCGATGTCATCCTGTGGACTGGGCAGAGCTTCATTGGAAGATTCATCCCGTTCATGTGTGTCAAGTTCGTTGTGTGGAGTTGGTGGAGCACTATACTGAGGCTCCTCCTGATCGTGTATATTGATGTCGTCCTGCGGAATGGATGGAATTTCGTTGGAAGACTCCTCCTGTCCGTGTATATCGATATCATCCTGTGAGGTGGATTGAGTTTCATTGGAAGACTCCTCCTCTTCGATTTCATTATCGGTAGGTTCATCCGGGTCGTCATGGCTGGAAGAGAGTGGGGATCGATATGTGAACGAGTGATTTGCGCTGTGGAGGGTGTCGATATTGTTTATCCCGGGGAATTCAGATTCATTGTAGTACACATTGCGAGATATCAAAACATTGTCGTTGAGTTGGATTATTGCCCCGTTTGAGCTTTTGTCGAAGCCAAGGAATATACCCGGGGATCTCATTGGAGATACCTTGTTAGTTTCTATTGATGGATGTTGTATATATGCTCGACATCCAAAAGGTTTTAGTCGATGAAGAGATGGTAAAGTGTCAAATAGTTCTTCAATCGGAGTAGTTGCTATACTGGAGTGTGGACTACTGTTTTTGATATGTGTGTAGTAGTTCATTGCATATATCCAGTATTCGTTTGGTAGCTTGGCGTCTGTCAATAGTGTGGCAATGCCTCTCTGGATAGTTTGATTGTAGCGTTCGGCAATGCCGTTGGATGATGCTGCATAGCCTGCAGTGTGTCCATTGATTATTCCATGTGTTTTGTAGTATTTGAGGAGACGATCTGACATATACTCTTTCGCTCTATCTGAATGTATTCTTTTAACTTTGTAACCTGTTTGGCGTTCTATTTCGGTGTGTAGGTTTGTAATAATGTCAAAAATGTTGTGCTTATGTTTGAGTGGAAATGTCCAGCTGTACCTTGTATATTCGTCTATAATAACGAGAGCATATTTTTCGTCTGTGTTGGTTGGGATGTTCATTAGGTCGGAGTGTAGTATGTCTAATGGTCCTTTGGCCTTGTTGAGTTTTCCATCAAAAGGTGGTTGGTTCGTCTTGTTCATCTTGCAGCTATCACAATTGATTTTCTGACTGCGCGGGAACGTTATATTGTAGAGTCGTTTTAAGGTATTGCGGGTAGCTTGTTCGTGTAGGTGTGCAATTCGTGAATGCCATTGGGATAATGATATTTGCTTCATACGCGTGACAGAAAAGATGTATTTTGGAAGGTTATTAAATTGATTTTCACTGATGGTGAAAAGTAATTTTCCATTTGTGTATGGTACATTGTGTGCAGTTTCCCTATTGTGACGGTGGTAGAATATTGCATTATGTGGTGGTTGGCAGTCTAAACCTAAGTTGTTTTTGATGAGTAGATTCTGCGGAATGAGTGTTGAAGAGAAGTGCGGATTATAATGTGCCTCTGTGTCTACCCAATTTATTGTACCGTTTTTGTATTCTAGGTTAACATTTATTGTTCCTACGGTTGTTGATTTTACTTTTCCCTTCGGTGTGTCGAAGTAACATGGTGTAGCGAGTTGTCTCACATTGGTGAGTAGATCTCGTCTGCAAGTGTATGTGATGTCTGACCCTTGATCGTATAATGCAACATCTGGAGTGAGGTGTCCTAGTGACTTTGCATATTTCATAGGTGAAAGGTGGATTCCAGTGTTTTCTAATTTGCCAGATTCACTGACCCTTTTATGTTTGTCTTTGAGCTGTGGATGTAGGTGTCCACACTCGTTATCTGAGTGGGTGCGCGGTAATCTATAGTTGTTTTTCAGACAATAGGAACAGAATTTGATATCAAGGCGACGTAGTAGATCTGTCGTTTGACTTTGATTCTTGGAGGTGTTTTGGTCATCATACTTATCCACGTGTTCTATCTGAGTGACTTGGTTGATTGATGCAGCTTTGGCTGGTGGATCAAGTTTGATTGTGTCATTGTAATCTTTAATGATTGCTTTTGTGAGTTCATCGTAGTTAAGATATTGGGATTTTTGGTAGAAATGGAGTTTTGATGATTTTAATTCAATAGGTATTGTTTGTAGTGCTCTATATTTCAAAGAATTTTCTCCAAAGATTGAGTCTAATTTCTGTAGTTTGGTGAACAGTTTCTTTAGGTTTGTATAGAATTTTTGTGCATTTTCTCCATATATTAATGTTCTACTGAGGAATTCTGTTTGCAGTTGTTCCAGGCTTTCTTCTGGTTCAAAGATTTTGCAGATACTTTTGTAGACGTCGTTGGCTATGCGTGTA